GCGGCCGGCGGCCGGCGCGCCCAACATTAAGATCGACTGTGGTTGTGGATGAATTGGCTGGAGGATGATTCGATGATACATCTAGTCGATAGTGTTCCTTTGTAAACAGGTACCGTACCTCTAGTCACAGGGAATGGCAGAGCTCCAGGCTGAACCCTCTCCAGGCTGCCTCCTCCTGCCAGCCTGTGACTACCTACCGCACCTACCCATACCGTTTTGAAACACCGCTGAAATCTCCGAGTCTTGTCTTCAGTACGCATCTGTGCGCAGCATTTCAAAACCAAGACTCAGACACTGCCGTTCAAAGCCTTCAGCACTGCAAAACACTCTACAAACAATCCACAATCCGCCTATCGCAGTTTCCGAGAATTGCAAAGCTTGTTCCGGCGCCTAAGTCTAGGAGTACAGATTCTCAAGCAACAATGGCTTCCTCAAGGACCTCAGCGCTGCTCTTCACGTTCCTCGTCGCTGCTGCCGGTAAGCTGCAGCTCCCTGAAGATGCAAGACATGATTTATTGCTTTTCTGCTTCTCTCAGGTTTGATACGGAGAATGCCTCTTGCTTGTTGAGAAAGAACAGCTGAGATTTGCACTTGTGAAGCATCAGCCAATCTTTCAGCGAGCCAGGTCGGCATTCCAGCATTATAAGACGGCATACCATCTTCTTCGGCGCAGCTTGTTACAAGCGGCATTGCACTTGGCTTCGAGCCCCGCAGAGGAAATTTCTTGGATGACGCAATCCATCTGCAGATACTCCTTTTTCATGACTCAGTGCTCTCCTTTCCCCTGATCTTTCTGCTCCCCTGCCATGAGTTATTGTAGGGCATCCTGATGGCTCAGATCTTCTACACACTTTCTGACTCGTTTTTCTTCCTGGTCTTTGCAGCTCTGTGGATCCCAGCGGAGTGCGCTGGACCCCAGGTAAAGAATCTGACACAGGCTTTGGAAGAAGAAATGGTCAAGGTTCTTCCTTACCTCCTTAGAGCATTGCGCTGTCTTTGTTTGGAATTGAGATGCAGAGCTTCAGTCAGCTTCTTTATCAAACAATTGTCTTGAGTCTTGAGCTTGTTCTGCTTCTTCCATTCTAGTGCGGCGCTTTGGAACGCACTTAGATCTTGGATATCCTGACAAATCCTGGTCACTCGTAAGGTATGAAGACATTTCAAAGACATTCTGAGTGTCTCTCCTCCTTCTCTTCACGCTTCTATCACCTGTAAACAGTAAGATAAAACCAGACAAAGCTTTCAGCTGTTGCTGCAGAATAAGATCAGATTATTGTGGGACAACTCGGTCTGCATGTTGATTCCGGGGTTCAACAGTTTCTCCTTACACTCGGTCGCTCCTTAAGTAGCTGCTTCTTTGATGTTGCCATGCACCAGGCTTTCGCACCAAAGTGGTAGCAGTCACATTCACAGCATGCAGCAGCCTTGTCTCGGCATTTGCATTTGATACATACTTTTTCGCAGGTTCCTCCTCCACAGGTAATGCTGTTAGGACTGGTTTTTTTTGGGAACTACTTCCTACACTTGGTGTGAATCGAGCGATGTTGGTTTCCTTCCATTTGCAGCTCACCCTCTTTGTGACTGATGATGCCCTCAACCCGGAGGCGGCTGCCTGCGATGGCTCCACGTTCGGAGGCCTGTGCCCCTACAGGTGAAGCTCCTTTCACCTTCCAATCCCCGTATAAGTGTTGACAGCTCTTTTCGACAAGGAAAAAGCACTTCAATTCATGGGGAGAAGGGCATGAAGACATAAGAACGACTGAACATTATGACCGCTTTGTTACCTAGTTGAGGTTGGCGTTGGTGCCGGAAACCTAGGCAGGTTTGGCAGGTTTGGTAGTTCTTTTCGTAAGCAGCGAGTAATGGTGGTTAGATAGGAAAGCTTCTGCTTGTGTTTCTGTTTGGTTGGTGACACGGAGAAAAGGCCATTAGCATGCACTGACTTGTCATGTTTTGGCCAACGGGTGCTTCACAACTTGCATGTGATCATGGGGTCTTTCAAGAAGTAGCACATCACATGCATGAGCGTCAGCAAAGCTGCACTTCATTTGGAGCCAACAGCATTTCATAAGCACTCTTGAGTGCTGAATGCCATGCAAAGGAAGTCACCTAGATTTTCTCATGTCTCTAAAGTGGAATGACAAATCTCGCTCTAGCAGGCACTCAAGCTTAAAACGGATGGAAAACGTCCTTCTTTTCACGGTCACTGTAGAGTCCTCTTACAGCAAAAGCTTGCCTCTGAGCCAGCCTTTTGAAGTGAACCAACGAAGAAGCTCTCCTTCGACATCATTTGGCAGAGCGCTGCTATAACCTCATCTAGCTTCTAGGTAGAGGGCGTGGTAGGACTAGGGCGCCAGTTTTTCGGACTCCCTTCAGACACGCTTCATATGTGATTGGAACCACTTACCCCCTTGTGCTTGCGCAAGGCGACTCTTCCCTACACAGGAGAAAGTCTTGTCCACCAAAGCTGTGGCGCTTGGTTAGCTGGTGCCTTTCTACAAAGGAGAACACGATTGACATTTGAATCAATGCCATGAACTCACGTGAGTTTGGTGAACAACTTTCTGTGCATGCTGACGTTTGTTGACCGGCTCCCACTCCCTCTCTTTGCAGGAGCTACGTGTCCGACAGCACTGAGAAGCAGGTCGGATACGTGTCGGGCTTCTGCAGCTTTGTGATCCCTTACCAGGCTGACTCCAGCTTCGAGCAGATCTGCTACTTCACCTTCTTCTTCGGAACCAACCCCGACACCGTAGTGGACAGCATCAGCGTTCAGGGACACTTCACTTCTGCGGTGAGTGTGTCGACTCTCAAACGCAGCGAAGATATGAAAGATCTCAGCATGAAGATGATCAGACCTGCCCTTTACAAAGCCAAAAGCTGCTTGTATAGAGAGCTTATCAGCGTCGAAAACACAGTCGGACTTCCAGAGCGTGATGTGTCCGTGGATTGAGCGGAACCGTTCACCGTTGAGACGACTGTTTTGATTGACAACTGAGAAGAAATACGAAAGATATGATTCTCAAGTGTTGCAATTGATTAGTTAGTCCGTCAGCATGCTGACACACAAAAGGTGCGAAAGCACTGGGGTTGCGAATGTGCATGCTGCTGCTGACGTTGCAAAATAGAGATGCGAAGAAAACATGAAGGAAGGGAACAAGAGAAGTGGTTGCAACGCTCGATTCTCTGAGTCGTTCATCCCTAAATTAGGCGGCAATCCTTGTATGTGGTGTCACACGCAAATAATGACTTCGTCGCTGACTTTGCCGAAAAGAAATTGAAGGACGAACTGCGCTGTATGGTAAGAACGAGCCTTCTCAGACTTCACTTTCCTTCATGGCACTGGGCAAGCTTCAAAGAGCGCCGGATCCTGTTGTCTAGACACCGGACCCTGGTAAAATTGACCACTTCTAAAAATACATCGCTTTCTCCCAGGATGGCAACCTCCTGTCCATTGTGGGTGGAACCGGAAAGTACACTGGCGCCAAGGGATACAACAAGAAGACATTCGCCAGCAGCGGAGGAGAGGGCGACAGGTACTCGACGTACCAGCACGAGCTGTACCTCATGTAAGAAGTGAACAAATCTCTCTTCAGCTCGCGTATGCTACGAGGACTGGAGCCTCTACAGATGATGAAGCGGTTTAGTTCAGTAAGTCTGTTCCTGTAGGTTGTAGTCGTAACGTTGATTCGAGTCGGAAGGCAAGCACTCCTTGCCTTGAAGCAATAAAGAAGGCTCTCTCGGCCTTCCCTAGCACGCATTTATTGACCGGAGCTTGGACTTGACAATTCAGAGGTTTTGCGGACGGGTTGGAATTGGCCAGTTTTGGTTGCTGGGTTGGGGAAACTTATGGGCCATGTCAATCACCATATTTCAAGCTCCCAACTTCTGAGCATCGACAGCATGATTTGAAGATTCATTTGCATGATCTGTCCCACGAAGATGTGAGAGCTTTTGCAGATCTCGTACACGTGATATATGCTTTCATTTTCTCAAAGGCTTGACACTATCCTCATGTACTCATTGTATATGATTTGCAACCGCATCTTTTACTTACAACTTCGCATCTTTGTAATGCCTATTGCATGTGGATGTAGATAAACTCTTCAGGAGACAGTTTTGTACGCGCAAAATGGCATGAGGAAGCCGCGGACTTTATTGGATGGCCCACTGAGCGGGCAGACAATCCTGCGCCTACTGGAGTTGGACCTGAGGCTAAACACACATGCCAATCTTATAACGACACTCTCGACTTGTCGCATGCATCCATGCGTCATGGAAATGAGGAGGTTGCCATCGAGCTCCATATGATTGATGAACACCTCCTTGTCTTTGTATCAAACTTCACATACTGCACGCATTTATACAACTGGAATGGAATGATGAAAATCTGAATATCGGATTGCACATGCCCAACTTCTCCATGCAACCAAAAGCTGAAGGAAAGGTTACCTATGATCATCAAGTACAAAGCCGTGCACGGCAATACCACGGCTTTTTTGTTCACTACCACAATGCTATTACTGGATTTGACATAGATATGAAAATCGGAAAATACAAAGGAGTAGAAATGTAAGGAACAGCCTCTCCTTTCAATTAGGTACGTATCCCATTTATCGCCAAAGGCACGGCGATTTTGTAAACATGGCCATTCGGAAAAATCAGGGCCGCCAGAACTCGTCAAGAGCCTGTACTTTTCTAGCTCTAATCGAGAGGCGATCATCAACAAGTTACACAACAATCAACATATGATCATTGTCACTTTTGTTCTTAACTTCCAAGAGTGTCTGCATTGTCGTCTATGAAGTGTCCAACCTATTAATTTGATCTGCAATGGTCAGTCATCTCAGCCAATTTGAATATTGACAGTACTACTGTACTTTCAACGTACTCCCAGCAGTATATGCATGCAACTCGTTTTCCAGCCTGTAGCAGGCTTTCTGCCAACTTGGAAAACGTTCAGCAAAACATTACGGAATCTTGCTGACTAAACTTCTAACTATGCTCCGGCAGCTGGCTTGTACGTAGACTCATCCTCTGCGTACAGCTTTTGCCACATCTTTACAAACCTGACGACGTCAGGATGCGTCATGTCGGGCATCGAGGGGTCGTATGCCCATGGCTTGGAGCCCGCCACAGCAAAATGAATCAACTGTTGGCAAGACAATATGTATGCTTGAGTTTCCACGTGCGCAAGCTGTAGCTTAAAAGTTCAATACGTGTGAAAGTCAAAGTTTAAAGCATGGGAGAGGCTGCTCAGCGCCAGCGAGGAAGTTTCCAAAAGCAACTCTGGGAATTCCAGATGCGGGCATACATTCATTCAGAAAAGTGACAAGCCTGACAAACCAATCTGCATCTAAGCATGCGGCTTTGGTAATTTAGCCACTCCGTCAGGAAGTTGCTTAGACGGTCACCACCTCGAGGGAATCCAAATCGACTAAACGAAAAACCTTCATGCAGAGAAGGCTTCAAGAAGGGCAATCGATCGAAAACGTTGGCAAGAGGAAAGGCTTACCGCGGCGTTGTCGAGGTCTAGAAGATCCGGATGGCTGAAGAGGAAGTTGAGCAGGAGATTGTTCTCTGGCGGCAAGGTGCTGCAAACGGAGAGCGCATCCGGTCAGGCATACACGGAGAGATGGCAACGCTCCTTGGAAGAGATGTGCGGAGGAACGAGAAGCGCAACCGAACAAGGAAATAAGTGACCTCGCGCTTTGAGGTCAAGGGGGATAGTGTCAAACCTAACAAGGCCAAAAACCCTCCGACACAATGTAAATATTCAGGAACGAAGCACCACAAAACCAGAAAGCAAAAAGCACGAAGCACAAAGCACAAAGCACAAAGCACAAAGCACAAAATCACCGGATCCGCCCCGCCCAGAAGTCATTGAGAAAGTCTTGTTCCGCCAGCTCGCTCGCCGGAAATGCTGCGAGCGCGTGCTGCATCTGCGCGAACACCGCGCGGCTGGGGGCGAACACGAAGAAGCCGGCGTTTATATACGGGGTCGGCTCGGGCTTCCCCTCCGGAAATGTCCACGGGTGCTTAACCGGGTCAAATTGGCAGTAGGCCGTGCCGCAGACCCGGGGGTGGTTCTTCCAACCAACGCAGAAGCAGTTTTTGACGCCTGTAAAGGACAGAGAGACGGAGCTTAAGTTCCGAGAAGGCAGGCAACTCTTTGAGGTATCAGAGCAGGTAACATCCGCTTCACTACAGCACTAAAGCGGCAAGGCGAGCCTGAACACAGAACGAAAAAAGCGCATATGATATCTCCGGGCAACGTTTCGCATGACACAAAGGCGGCAAGGCTTAAAGACCTTAAAGAGGTGAGGAACCGTTCAAGAGACCAACTCTGAAGATCGCACGCTCTTTGCATCACTGAAAGATCCTTTAACTCTTACTAGAGAATTTCAGTGCCAGATTACAACCATTTGTATCAGCAGAAAGGCAAAAGTGCCAACAGGGGGAAACCCGGAAAAGAGACCCACAACTCGAAGGACCTTCTACTACTCTGCACCGTCCGTTCCGAAAGCACGAACGAATGTTGAAACTGATTGGAGCTTTGCGTCACAAACCAGAAGCTCAAGAAACGAAACGGAAAGGCAACCGGGAAAAATCAAGGGGGATCAACATCGAATGCAATGGGACGGGAAAGGGAAACAAACAAGCTGCTCCACTGGCAGCTTTTTGAAGCTCCACCGGATGGCAGACATTAACTAAGAGACGAGAATGGAAAGAAAGACGGAGGCGGAAAGGAAGCGGTGAGGGTGGGTGCAAACGAGACACAACAATGGGCTCGTCATAGCAGTCATTGACGGCAATGAAGGCAGCATGTAAAGTCAATCCCCAAAGATTGTGACGCGGTTGTCGTTTCTGCAGAAGGGTCAAAAGAATGGAAGCAGAAATGGTGACAGAAGCGGAACGGAAGCGGCGACGGACACGGAAACGGAAAAGGCTTTTGAAACTCACCCATGATCTGGTCGGACGGCAGCATATCAAACAAGTAGTCCAAGTTTTGCAGCACCAGCATGTCCGAGTCTAGATACGTCAGCTTGTCGAAGTCGTCGAACTGCCAGATGCGCAGCTTGGTGTATTGCGTCAGGTAGTACGGCCGGCGAACCACTTTCTCGGCGCCTGGAGGAGGCGCGACGTCCTGCGAGATTTCTCGGTGAAGCAGCTGACGTCATAGACGGTCTATCGAACCAACGCGAGTGTCCAGAGAATGCGTATGAGCTTTTCGCAAGTTCACCTTCCAGCCGGATACGAAAACAGGAATCACCGTTTGATTTAGTGAGCGGCAATGGACGACCCGTATCGGACGTCCTCAATCTAAAAATCGCCTCCAGGAATTTAAAATCCGTAGGCTCTTAAGCAAGGAAGGGACGAAGGATAAGAGGATTGCTCTGTCAGCTCGAGCACACCTATACAAGCCACATTAGCGACATCTGACTTCGGCCGAAACATACGCAAAACCCGTCCGTTCAAGCTTCACCGAATAAGAAGGAGTGTCTGACCAGGATCCTTGAAGGAGGACGCACCAACAAAGGTCATTTTGGCATCAAATACCAAATTTGACATCTCCGAAACAATCGCAAACATCGCTTTTCTCTTGATTCAGCAGTACCAGTCCCTTGTTCCTATCTTGCAGTGGCAGCCACTCTAGTGGACCACGAAAATCAGCAACCCAAACCAGACTCCACATACAGCTTCTTACCTCGATCTCTCGCACAATACATCCATGCTGATCCGCCAGCAGCTGACGCAATTTGGACGACACCCCTTTCATCACCGCCACGATTAGTGGGTATCGGCACCCCGTGGCTCGGAGGCTCTTTCCGAGCACTACCGCGCCCTTCCAATATTCGGAGTCGTCGCACAAGAAGGTGACGTAAGCGCAGCGACTGCCGACGTCACTGTCTCGCGATGAGGAGCTGCTGCTCGGGCGAGCAAGCCCCCGAGGGGATCCCTCTGCAAAATGTTCCGGAAATGACATTAGTGCTGCATGCTGGGAGCTCTGGTAAACCACTTCTTGACCAGCCTGGAGTTACTAACCACTCGTCGAAAGCATTCAAATCGTTTCAGGGCAATCAATTATAGAAATGCTGGCTTTGATCCTCTTCATATGACAGACTCTTGCATGCTTCCTCCGTGCGAGGTAGCAGGTCAGTAAGGCTTGAGAGCTCTTGCACAAAAGAACTTTGCAATGACTTCAGGCGTCACAATCGCCTTGGCTCAAAAGGTCCCTGACCAATATGACCAGACAGCTTTGAGCGCTTTGGAATTAGGAGCTTTACCACTGATGAATTTGCTCGGGAGCTAAAAGCATTTGTCTATGTCGCAAGGAGGGTCCTAGGTGCCAGTGTCATCTTCAAACTTCCCGCCACCCAAAACCACCACAAGCAAAGAACCAATCTGCTTTCTAGCTTGCTCACAGCAGAGCAACACCAATACAAGTTTGTGTCAGTGGAAGCCTCTGTTATCAGAATAACCACTCCCTTGAAAAGTAGGCCCTGGCGTTCTACAAGTCCCAGCTGCTCTACTGCCAATGAACGCCTTACCAGAGTTCAAATTTCCCTTCTCACGTCCAGAAGCCCTTCAAATACGTTCTGAGATCAAGATGAGGCGAGCAAGGACACACCCACGAGCACATACCCAGATCTTCTTCACTCAACGACTCCCCCCAGCTAAAGGTCCCATCCTCCCGCCTCTCCCGCTCCTTCCAGTCAAATATATCGCCACTCCCTCTGGTCTTGAATGCTGGCTCGGCCGCAGCCAAAGAAAGTTCAGAAGCTTTTGTTTCCTCAGTAGCAGGCTGCAAGCAGAGATTTGTTGTCAGGATTGCCCCAAACACTATCTTTGTTGCAAAATAGATAGCGGCTTTACCCAATGCCAGATTGTTTTGCAGAGTCTTGTTAAGCAGAGTGAAAATCTTAGTCCAGGGGAGGTAAATGAATGTGACTTGCTGCAGATGCTGAAACGCGCAGTTGGTTGCGTCATGAATGACCGATCAGAGGATATGACTTACATCAAACAAGGCATGAGAGAGGAATAATGCAAGAAGAAGAGAGCAGGTCAAGAAAGGTTTCAACCAGACAAACACACGTGTACAGATAACTTCTGCCACTATGAATGATAGGAATGCAACACGTTCTGCATAAATCTACAAATCATGAAGCAGACGCAGAAATTGCAAACATCCAAGCCTGGAGAATCCGCAGGACGTGTCCCAAAGTCCAGAACCTATCAATGAAAGAGCGACACTCTTCTCATTCTCATGAAATTCTTACCTCGTGCTGAACTGGCCCAGCTTGGGGCGGTGCAGAATCCATACCGCTTGCTTTCTGTAAGCTTTAGCTTGCCTTTGGCTGTGTGTCTGTAAAATGACACTGAAAAGCGAGGGCTACCGCTTCCTGCGTGCACACCTGTCTACTAGCTCAGGTCTTTTAAGTGTCTGTCAATCAACGAGAATCTTCCTTAACGTATTTTGAGATCTACTCCCTAATGCTGTAAGTGAAAAGGTTTATCTGCTGCCAGAGACTCGTATGCACCACTGATCCGCTGGAGCCGATGGTTGCCAGTAAGCAGTGGAGCAATCTAACAAGATATAGCGGTTACCTGCAGGGATGCTGTGATGTTGTGAGCAACCAGGACTTTGAGAAGAATCTGCCTCATGTTGGATCTATGTATACAATACACGCTTCGATGGGAAGTGCAGGCAGCGTTGGAATTCAGTCTTCACGCAGATCCAAACACAGAGATGCTGTGCAGGCAGCGTTGGAATTCTGTCTTCACGCAGATCCAAACACAGAGATTGCTGTGAGGATAACCTTCAAAACACCCCCAGGAACAAACCATGGAAGAGGCACTTTACTGCGGAAACCGTATGGTGGTGTTAAGTGGTGTTTTCCTACATATAACTGAATGTTGACTTCTGCAATAGCCTTTGAAGGGCTGGAAGTTTGTTGCTTTCCAACTGACAATCTGAATGATTACATTCATCTGGCTGGCACGAGAAACAAGGTACAGTATAAGCATGCATCTAGTCCTTCTTACTTCATCAGCCAGCTGACTTAGATGTTAAAGGCAACCATGTGGAATGGATCCGACTGAGCAGCTTCACATAACCCCAGCACCAAGACAATATGCATCGAATTCCTTTCACTTCTGAGACTTCATCAAAAGCTGGTTCAGGGGACATCTGAGAAAACTAAACCACCAAATAGACAGACACTCCTTGACAAAAGCTATAAGATCTGACACCAGAGACAAACCCTGAGATCCGTTGCAGACATAGACGTACCTGCTGTCTCGAAAGCCGTCTCCCTTCAGTGCTTCGGTCAGGTCTGCTTGGAAGCCATGAAGCTTTGCCTGTAGAGGAGACAAGGGGCAAAGCAAAACAAGCTACAGAAACAGGTATGTGGCAATGCAGATTGCAACGCTAAGCCTAGAGCGTGAGCTGGAAAGTGCATACAACACATGCAGCTTTTGCAGGCCGCGTCACTGGCAACAGCCAATCATGAATGAATGCCTCGGCTTACAGAAGGATTCAAGGCCACCTGGCACCATTATGCACAGAATCCCGAGTTGGCCGGCTCTCGGCCGTCCGATGTCAGCAGGTCTGAATCGAGGGCCGACAAACCTAAAGTTTCTCACGGTCGAAAATCTTCCACGTCAGATCGCAACTCTCCGGATTTGCGCAAAGCAGTTCGCATCCATGTGGACGAACGAGAACCTTCGCGATCCGAGAAAGTGAATCCGCATTTACGAGCGCTCATAATTGGTAATCCTGGATTCAGCTAGCTGCCTGCTGTCCTACTGTAGTAGGCCGCTGCAGTCCCGTTCTGATCCGATCGCCAGCAAACTACTCACTACGGGGCCAGTACCACGCAGATGATGAAGAACAGCAGGTAAGACGACTGATCGACTGGAATATGGGGAAAGCATGCGATTGCATGTGAGACGAGGCTAGGAGTTTTGATCAATTGAGTATCCTACGTGGGAAGCGCTTGTCTACCTGGGCAGCCTGTCTGATCAAGAACTAAAGCATCTCGACAACATCGTATAGCCTGGCCAGTGAGTGACGATCACTAGGGTCCAAGGAATGCAACCGGGTTAAGCCCTCCTGAGAATGCAATCGGAAGATCGGACCGAGCTCACTGCATCAGACCAGATTGCCAAATCTCATGACTTGTATTTCAAAAGGTTGCATGTGAAGCGCAACGTGCTAAAAGATGTACCTTCAATTAACCGAGTTTGTCTGCTCTAATAGTAGAGTACTCAAGTCAGCACGCTCCACCCAGGCACATTTCCTGAAAGAAAGAGCGACAAGAAAACGCACCCGGAGAATATGATAGTTTCTTGACTTGAGCGACATAACATGTCATGCTGTGTTTGATGCACATTAATCGATCCCAAACGAAGCGAAAGCAGATTAGTGAACCTTCGTCAACCTTGTGCCCTTAGAGTCAGCCCTGACTTTCGGATCTCATTGACTATCTTCTGATCTCTCTTGCCTGCCGAGTTGGCCTGCGACTCGCGACAGTGCTCATTGGTTGATTGTTCGCAGCAGCAATGGCGGGAACTGCCTACTGAATTACTGTATTACCTCGACCAGAGATGCCGTACTCGAAGTCCCTAGCATCAAAGACCCACGCAAGCACCGCTCGTTTGTTAGCCTCACTACTTCAGCACAATGCGAGTCCAGCTGGACCTTGAACCTCGACCTGAACTTCCCTCTCCAACAGCAACAACGCAGGCCCCTAACCCGGGAACTTCAAACCAAACACTCCGGCTCTTCCCCATGTTCAACAGGCCCTATTTGGGGACTTCAAACCGAGGACTCTCGCTCTTCTTCTTGCTTCGAGTTAGAACACGAGGCCAGCCAGGGGATGGCCTGGCGGGTACAACCGGGGTCGCTTCGCCTGTGCCTGCGGGAGGTCGTCGGGCGCGCCGATCATTTTTTTGGCGGCTTCCGGGTCCAAGTGGGCCGCCTCGGCGATGGCCGTGGTGCGCACCCGCTTCACCTCCGCTGCGTCATTACCCTGCGAAATGGTAGGCGCCGAGTTTTACATCAGTTTGGGGTCCTTTCTTTCTTTTCCAGCAACAGGTAGCTCTTCGTGAGAGAAAGGGAATAAACCCTTAGCGATGGCCGCGGCGCACACGCGCTTCACCTCCGCTGAATCATTACCCTGCGGAATGGTGTGCGTCGGGATTCTTCGATTCCGGTTCCCTTCTTGTTTCTCAACCTTAAACAGGTAAGTCTTTGTCAAACTTAAACGGCGGACCCAAGCTCGGCAGCGGGTGCGGCGTGCATGCGCTTCCCCGCCGCGGTGTCATTGCCCTGCTAAACCATGTGAGCTTCACTTTGGTAAGTTTCTTTTTGCGCTTTTCTGCTCCACTTATCCAATCAATTCGCTCCGATTAAGCAAATGTTTGGTTCTTTTCCGCTCCGTTCCTGCTCAAAGTTCCTCTCCTTTCCAAAGGACTCCGCTGCTAGCAGCATGGGCAACTCACAGAACCCCTGTCTTACTACATCTTTAAAACCACTCCAATGATGACGGTTCTGCACAAGAAGCTTCTCAAAACGTAACTCTCTCAGGCTGACGTCAAATATCTTTGATCATGCCTGAACATACTCCTGATTGCCACCTCCAATTTCAGCAATCAAAAGCAAAACCGTAGGTTAAAAATCCGACCCATCAAGCGGTACCAATCGAAAAGGTCTTAATAGGGCTTCAATTCAAACAACATCCAAGAGACCAAGGCGTTTCAGGATTTTTACGGAAACTACAGAAGGTGGGTCTCAGCAACTCACTGTGGTGTACAGGTTGCACTTGCTGCACTGGTTGCACTTGCGGTCCGGCTCTCGGAAGTGCTGGCAGAAGTGCGTATAGTCGGGGGGGATCGGCGCGCGGCACACATAACACATCGTCTGACCGCAACGACACGTTACCTGAGAATGGCAGAGGGATTGTCTCAACAGCCATACGTGTCTGAAATGGTCAAATTCACGAGAGGCATCGAGGCTTCGGCCGACTATATGGCGCTTCAAGAAGGGACGCGCGAACCTATGGCCTGCACTTCCACTTTGCCGAGCCCAAAGTTGGGCCGAAGGGATTTTGGATGGGTGATTTGCTACTGATGCAAGTCGAGCCACATCTAGGATTGGAGATGGTACGTGGCGCTGAACAAATCCGAAAGCATTCTGCGGACATCGCTCGAAGCATTACTGTCAAGCGGCGGGAACAACTGGAGACTACAAGCGCCCTGGAAGCTTCCAGGATTAGTTCACCAGCATGCGGCTGCAGAAAGGGTCTCTGTACTGAACAAAGAGCAACGTGAAGGGTGTATACAACGCTACCCAACTTGTAGCGCCCCCGGTGCATAAGCACTCCTCTTTCGCGCACCAGTTTGGACTGCCTTTAGTGTGTCGCCTTTTTAAGACTGGCAGGACCAGATAGGAAATAACAGAGAAAAGCGGTGAGAGCTCTGCCCTACGAGGAGGGAGTCCAGTAGGGAGGAAAAGCCCTTCTGCCGAGCAATTTCGGAAATGTTTTAATCACCTTGTTGCAGCCGTGGTCCTTGATGAGCTCCGTCTTGCACTTGGAGCACTCCCGCACGAGCGCGCGCGTCATGAGCTCCTCCACGCGCGTGCGGAACGCCGTCTCGCCCTTCTTCTCCACCTCGCTGCACTTGAGCGGGATGTGGCTCGCCTCCTTGCACTCGCGGCACGACGCCTGCAAAAAGGCAGCATTTCTCCACGGACTTTAGTTGCAAAAGAAGCGAAGAATCTCGCATTGTCTTCCGCCTTGAGCGGGATGCGCCTCGCCTCTTGCCCTCGTGGAACGACGCCTGCGACGAAGATATTCGGTTACGAGGATCTAACAAACTCCACATAGAAATGCTGGACGGGCGGAGGTGCTCGACTCTTTCCGCCGAGACAGGCCGGCACAAGCCAAAGGTTCCCCTAAATGACGAAGGAAAGGCGAACAACAGAGCGGGATGCGGCTTGCCTCCTTGCAGTTGCGGCGCGACGCCAGAAACATATAAAGCCTCAGGAAACCGGAAAAAACATCCACGATAGGTTGCAGAAACAAGACTTAAGTGTCTCAACTTGTCGTTCCTACTTCAGCCAGAATCGGCAGTCATGTTCGAAAGGTTCCCTTGAAATTTAGGACACAACCACCCTGCCGAGTAGCCAGAATCCAAAGCCCCGAAGTCTCCCTCGCTCTTTCGAACGGCGAGACTGTACAGCACTGAATCACGGAAAAACCGCTACATCCTCGCCATCCAAAACGTTCCGAAATCATCGAACCTTTATGAGTGTCGAAACTGCAAAACTCTTTAGGCGCGGCTCACCTTCTTACAGCCGGGGCAGTCGAGGACCCGGTTCCCCTCGTCCACTTCGCAGGCAAAGTCGCAGAAGGGGCACCGCACCAAATTGTCGAGCTTGGCCGAAAGCAGGGCCTGCTCCGTTTGGCGGGCCTCGTACTTGGCCAGGGTCGCCTCTGGGAGGGCTCGTCGGACCTGGGCAGAAGAGCGACGGAGGTGGAATCAGGGCCTCCGTTCAAAAGCGTGACGAAGTGTCGGGTAGAGCCGGACGCAGTCTTTGATCCTGAGAGCGGTGACCAGACGGAAAGGCCAAAGAAAACGGGCTGATCTGGGAGAGTGAAATGTTAAAATCAGCAACCTGATATGAAAAGCAAAGAAGGCTTAGGTCTTCGCAGGGCCGAAGGTTGCAACATTTCAATATTGCAAAGCATGTGTATCTGCGTAACTTTAGGAGTGGCAAGCTCCTAATTCTCGGAACTTAGACCGTCCCTCCCGAAACCCAGATCTTCGCCCGGGCGCAAACCTGCCCCGCTTGCAAACACCTTGCGTTCTCGTCTTTGCAGAGACTTGCAACAGACAGCTCAAACAAAGCTCTTTGAACTTTCATGTTCAAGGAAATCCACATTTCGCGAAGTATGGTCTGCCTCACTTCGCAGTGTCAGAGACGCACCTCAGCGTACGGAAACTCCGCCTCGCACCCGTCCGTGTCCATGCACGGGAGGGATCCCCCTGCCGCGGCCGCCCCGAACGTCGACTCCTCCACGCGGCGCTTCAAGCAGGCGAAGCAGAACAGGTGGCCCTCCGCGCACTGCACCATCTTCTCGAACGGATACTCAGAGTAGCAGCACCCGCACTCGATCTCCTGGCCCTCCCCCGCATACTCCTCCTCGTTCAGTTTCTGAGAGAAGAGGAAGAAAGTGATCAGGTTCACTGGAGCGAATTTAGCTCACATTCACATAAACCTGACCCATGAGATATTTTGGCGTGTATTCAGCTTATGACTAGAAGCCGTGAATCGTGAATCGTGAACCATGACCCGTGAACCGTGCATGGGTAGATGCACAAGCCCGTCTTACAAATCGAGCTTCAGGACACAGAATGCATATGCGCTACCCAACCGCCACCAGCGGTTGCACGCAAGATTAGCCCCTCCAAGGAACAACGAAGGAGATGCAAGCATGTCAAAGGTATCCAATAAACTAGCTTTCCATGCCCATTCCAGCGGCCAGCTTCTGTAAACAAAACCGAACGCAAACTCTGATGACTGAACATTCGTATCCTTGTAACTCCGAGCGGGCCGCAGATGAGTACGGATGCAGCTAAGCGCTCCCCCCTGTCACATAAGGGGTCCCCCACCTCTGCCAGCAGCATGTCCTCCAGCTCCTGGTCTTTCGCGCCCGCCCGGCGCACCCGCTCTAGTTCCTCCTGAAACTCGAAACACTCCTCGTCCGGCATGTGCCGGGGTTTGGGGCGGGGCTTCTGGAGCAGCTTAAAGTTAGGCGCCCAGTATGCGGCTTTGCTGTCGTGGGTCGATTTCTGGGGGCTCTCTTCCGCGATCGCCTTGCCTTTTCCTTCCGCTCCGGAGAGACAAATTTTCTGTACCTCGGTCAAGATGGACTTATATGCGGGGGCGTACCTGCGGGCGACCGATTTGCCGTCAGGAATGTAAAGTGGACGCTTCAGGTTTGGTGACCTTTACAAGACTGAGTGGTTCCTTTTCGAAGTTCTTGAGGGAATCCGATTCAAGAACAGGAGCCTCAGGACCCACTTGTGTGGGGGTGCATTTCTGAAAGATTCACAATGGCAGGACCCGCACCCTTCGAGAGTCTGACAGCTCTGTTCCAACTCTTTGAACGAATTTGCTTCGACACAGAGCCATTGCAGAAAGCAGGAAGCAGGTGATTGCCCCGTACAGGATCGGGTTCAAATTCATACCAAGTTGGCTGGCTATTGACGGAGAAGCAGGGGCCGCAGATCATCATTTTGAGTATGCTGCAAAGGACCTTTATATTGCATCTGGTGATGATACACTGCCCAAACAAATGCTCCGCGTCAGTCGAAGAACGTTCGGAGGTCCAATTGAATCAAATCACAAGTCAAAAACGTCGAGCTGCTTCTCCGAGTTGACTGGCTGATATCCGACAGCTGAGAATCTTTTCTACAGCCGAGGAAAGTTGTGGTAAAACGGAAACGTTCAGCAAGTCTCGAAATCGATTCAAGCCATGAAACGAACGAATTAGACCAAAACATTGCCCCACCTTTCACCGTGAACTTTGAGGCACCGCCGCACGTCCGTGAGGCTCACTCGGGGGAAGTCCACCTGCAGCTGGTACACCGCCCACTTATGATAAGCGGGCGCACACTGCCTGGGGGGCGAACCGAGTGCAAACACGTCCTTTTCTTCCTGCTTGCTGGGGCCTGCGCCGTCTTGAGGGGGTGTGTCGACCTTTGGCTGTTCGCGTTTGGGGTATCCGTTCTCGAAGTAGGTGTTGGTTACTACTTCTAGACCTCGAGGCATGCCCTGCATGAGACAAGCATTTGGGTATGATCAGCGAGCCGACAGATTTGAAAAGAACGAGGTGATAGTAGGTGGCGAATTCGGGCTGAGTGATATGCCGAGCACACATACGAGAGCGCAAAGGGACTCCTAAGCCAAAGCTGCTCAGAATGTAAAGTGCATGAACGAGTGATTCCAGTTCGATTGTGACCTGCGACCTTCAGTGACAGGTGTCCTAGAACAAGCAGTGACATAAGACGAATGAGGTGTCTTCATGAATGACAACCTCACAGCCAGAGTCTCGAGGGCAGTTGTTAATGGCGCCGTTGAACATGTCTTGACAGAACCCATGGAAGGAGAACGTGGCCTGCGGTTTGCAATCCGAGACCCCCACTCCGACTTTCATATGGTGCGCGATCGTAAAGATGTCCGGTATAATCACCGTCGCTGCGTCACGTCAGAAGCAGTCGCGAACTCGGATGTTGGAGTCTCCGAGTCCTGAGTACTGACTCCTGAGTCCACACCAGGACGGCGACCGGATACTCCGGCCGTGACGTTACACTTCGCGCACGCACCGAGTACCGAAGGGTGTGGGGGTCACAGATTGCAAACCGCAGTCCGCGTTCTCCTTTCATCCGTTCTGACAGATTTAACATTCAATCTGGTGCTAGGGTGTATTCAGGCCATGTCGAACCAGCGGAATAATGCAATATCAAAGATCTGGCTACAGGTGTCTGCACAGAGCAACTTTGCCCCTTCCTGTCAAAAACCGTAAACCTCAGCTCAATCTCAAGCTCGACAAGTCATCACAATTTTGACAAACCTGAGTTAGTGCAAGCAACCTCAACAAAAAATCCCAAAACAGGGGCCACAGGTCAATGAGTATTCAAGTGAGTTGATGTGCCTGCTCACATGTTCTGCGATGCTCACAAACAGCGCCTCCCTCGCAGCCTCAAGGTCGACCTCTGGAAAGATCTCTGCCAGGTTGCTCAGCGCCTCTGCCACCACCCCCCCATTCCGCTCCCCCCCAACATCAGCGCCCCTCCCAGAAGGACCTGCGCCGTGATCACCGAGAACAGGCTCTACCCGCATTTGCACCCTCTCCCGGTTGATAAAAATGTTGCGTTCCAGAACTTCAACGTTCGTCAGGCCGCCCCCAGTGCCTCCTTCGTCGTGCCTAGCCCTCTTGCGCCCGCGTTCCTGTATCTCGTTCCTGGCCACAATTTCTTGCAAGTCTTGCAGCCTGTAAAGGAGCCCTTCGTCCACTGCTTCACCCACACCGCCACGCCCCCCCTCGTCTGCCTGCCTTCTGTGGCCCCCCCTCACATCTCCCCTCATCTCATCCCCATTCTCACCAACTCCTTCCCCCCCCCTGGCTCCCCCATCATCCGCCTGCCTTCTGTGCCCCCCCCTGAGAAGCCCTAGCACTTGCTGGGGTCCCCTCATGACGTCCTCTGGAGTCTCAGGACCAGCATCAGCGAGCGCTTGCTGGCGCCTCGCGGCCCTCTCCTGGAGCCTCCTCTCGATGTCTTCGGCGACCCGCCGCCGCCGTTGCTCCCACTCCTCAGGCCCCTCTCCGTGCACTTCTCCGGCTGCCGGTACCCTCTCGCGTTGCTGCCTCAGATACGCTTGCCGGCGCGCGTTCGCTTCGACCGCCTCCCTGTGAAGCTGTGCCTGGTTCTGCGCCAGCCTCCCTTCGCGCACAGCGTTCCTCTGTCGCTCTAGTCTTTCATCCCGTGCGAGCCTCCGTGCCTGCCCCGCTTGCATCTGCGCTGCCTCCCTTGTCCTCTGCGCTGCCTCCCTCGTCCTCTGAGCTTCATCCCTCATTCTCTGAGCCGCATCCCTCGCCCTTTGTGCCGCGTCCCTTGTCCTCTGTGCTGCATCCCGTGCTCTCTGCGCTGCATCCCTGGCCCTCTGAGCCGCCTCCTCATGCAAATGTTCCATTTGTGCTGCATTCACATGTATCGCTAGACCCTGAGGATGAATAGCTGGGGGGGCAATATTTCTGGGGTTTGCTGGACCTTGAAGGATGTGACCAACTGCGACCTGGTGCCTATTGGCTACTCTTTCCTGGGGGGAGTCGGTCAGGTCGATGGGGGCACCGTAGTTGCCGGCCATGCTTGCAGTGTCAGGAATCCTTCAGGGGTCTTCAGGTTTGCCAGACTGGAAGGGTTTTCTTAACCAGAGGGGTTCCGGTGGCCGGTCAAAGGGGTTTCTTGGTGAGGGCGTCTGGCACTTGAAGAAGCATCATTTGTATGCGTCAGGGGATGCTACCTGCAAGAGGAGCTGGAGAAAGGGATATCTAAGCAGAAAGGTCACATCAATTCCCTTCCTCAGCAACAGCATTAGACGAGACTGTTTAAAATTGTTGATAGCTGAGCATCCTCTGGGATCTAAACATGTCACTGACTGCAGGCTAGGTTGGAACGTGCACAGCGAACATGCTGAGCCTCTGTCTTCACAAATCATCTGCGAACGGCGTTTTGGATGCTCTTTGCTCCTGCATTATATGGACTCATAAGTCTCCATCACATCAAAGGCCACAATTCCTGTCAACAGTCCAGAATTGACAGGCGCTGACTGGACGATCCCCTACTTCAGGATTGAAATGCGTTCGCCACAGAAGCAGGAGGCACATATTTTGCAATTAATGACACGGGGACGATAGATTAATGAGACAGAGCTTACTTGTCCTTCTGAAGTCTCTTGGCACCACCAAAGACAGCACATTCGACATGTGATCAATTAGTTGATTGTCTGTCTCTGCGCCGCCTCCTCAGGCACTTCCCTGGGGGACTTTCGCAAGTCGGCAAAAAGAGGCCCTCCATCCAAGTCACACACAACGCAGGGTGTACGAGAAGCTCCTGTGCAGAGCGTGTTCCCGTCCCATTCTCAAATCACAACACGGCAATCTCCCATTTGATCAGGTGGCATTTCAGCGTGGCAGCTTCTCAAAGGCGACGGGCGCGGCCGGCCGGTCGGCAGACCGTTGATGAAACCTCGGGAACCTCGCAGGGGTTTGGCAGTGCGTCGCGCGGCCGCCTCCGAAAGTGTGGCGCGCTCAGGGAAGGTGGAACCCTAATCTTGAACTTAGCGAGCTGCCAGGGGAATACTAATAGTAATAGGGAGAGGATAGGCGCTATCCAAGGAAGCGCGCTCAATGCCAATGGTGTCTTACTTTCATGTATAGTATCGAGATTGTCCTTGTAAGCAAGTCTCCCTGGGAGCACTGACTTGAGGCCCCATGTTTTGCAACACGGCGGACGGATCTTCTGCACATTTCCGCAGCGACACTGTTAGTCGTGAGAGCTGGCTAGCTCAAGAGAAGCTGGCGGAGCTTTAACTTTTGCCTTTTCCTTTGCTAGCTCTTCCTTGGTACAGTGGCACGGCGCTTTTGCCCACATGATTGCTTAGCATAGCTCGCTCCTCGTCTATACTTGGATGTACATGGGTTATGACAAAATAATCTTGAGTGGGAATCTGGAGCTCTACAAGCAGCTCGAGAAAGTCAGAGATCGAAGCTAGGTCTACTGTGGGAGCTAGCAATCTGCTCAGGACTTTGAGCTGAATGAGACGATGGCCAGCCCCAGCCAAATGCTGGGATACATAACCAGAGACGGGGCCCCAGCCAATCTTGCTCGCTTGAGACCCTGCCCTTACCCCTGCGATCCAGACGCAAAACCTGCGGCAGTCCGGCACGAGGGGGGACCCCTGCAACCGTTGCACCAGAACGAGAAGTCCTTGGGGGCACCTAACAAGGTTGCCAGGAAGCCTGCTCTGCCCCCCTTCTGGAACGCTGAGCTGTATGGGGAGGCGTTTGGCGACTTTCAGGGGGGAAGGAAGAAGGATGAGGTTTTGGCGGGGGGGGCAAAGAGAGTGGGGGAGAGAGCTAGGGAGAAGAGGATCTCAAGCACGATGGGGAGGAGGCTGGAAAAGCTGACGGATGCAATGCTGGCGGCGCTTCAGAAGAGGAAGGATCTGCATGGGGGGTAGGCTACTTTGCCTGCTTGATAGTTCTAGCACCGTGCTTGGAAGAGTCCTCAAAAGAGATTGATTACTGGCCTCTATTGTTCCTTGCCCTCTGCCCCTTCCTTGTTTACTCCGCGATATTTCTCTTTGACCCCCTCTCCCATTGGGGGGTCATAAGGTAGTGCTGTGGACACCGCTCTTTGAAATTCAAGAGGGGCGGCCAAAAGCATTTGATTGAGGGTACTGCAATGCATAGGTTCTCATATAAACGTACCTGTAATAGGTCTAGCCACGAGATCATTTTTTAGCAAGGTCCCCAGTGTATCTCTTCACAATCTTGCTTATCATAGCACCAATCTAATGACATGGTCCTACCATTCTCTAGCTAAGTTGACATTTTTCCCCCCACTGAAAGCACACCTGGGCCTCATCGCCTCGAATCTCCTCTTCTCCGTCTTGCTCTCAGGGAAAAGGGTGTCTTGCTGAACGCATTTCATTCCATCGACGCTGCAAAATTGGGAACGGTGTCCCCGGGGGGGTTCATCAAAACGTGGAGCCTGCTCGGCGTTGCGGTTACGAGCGACGAGGCCATGGGGCTCTTTCTGAAGTATGGGCATGACAAGCAGGGGCGGATGCCTTATGAGGTGAGTGCTTAAGCTGTTGCAAGTTATCAGTCGGTAGCTCATCGTTGCTTCCGTAAGTCGAAGTACTTTGGGATCAAAGATAAGAGCTTTCAGCAATGATGGTACCTATTCTGCAAAGATGTTCTCTCAGTGTGATTCGCGAGCCAGGCATTGGGTGGTCCTTGGTGGGTTAACTACCAATCATCACTCGACTCAAGTTGAGCGTCTCCACCACCTTCTGTCAGAGGACTTGTGCGAGTCGCTCTTGTGCCTCCTACACTCCTGCCCCCGGAGAATTGATGTTCTGACTTCTGTGAACCTGAATGTTGTTTTGCCTTCAATGCTCTCGCCCCTGAGAGACGTCGTTGTTGAGATGAAGCAAAACAGAAGTGCTGTGCAGAAATAACTTCTGAAGGAGACACGAATCGAGCGAACTTGCTTCTTACAAACCTCTGGCACGAAGTGAAGGTCGCAGAAAGACAGAAACACCAGAAGGACACATTACGTATCCATGTCTCCAGGTCTTTACCAGCGCTCTACTCGCGGGGCGTGCCAAGCTGGTTGGCATGGCCAGGCAGGTGAGAGGCCCGTTCCGCCCCAGTCAACTCCGGCGGATCGACTTCAGCGGAAAGATCAGCTACCCCCAGTGCCGAAAGGCGGTGTATGCGCCGAGCGGGTTTGACGCCAGCCTGGCGGTGCGTTCCGCGGAGCTCCCGAAGGCCTCGCTCTGGCTCGAGTTTGTCTACGGTTACAAGTGAGTCGCAAAGAGAAAACTGCTTATGTTTTATAATAAGCTGGCAGTCTCTCCAAATGTTAGGATGTGGAGAATGTGCGACTCCACACATTTTAGAATGTCCTGGAAAGAGGCCGTGATACCAAGCTCGGCAGAGGATGAGCACGCAGATTGTGCTCGTTACTAGGAACTTCATGGGGTTGCAGTCGATGCTAAGAGTGGCTAAGATCCACTTGCTCGCACATTCGAGATTTGATTATGATTCTCAGAAACAAAGCGGGCGCAAGTATGTGAAACAGGCGCTCCTCCTCCTCCAGAAGGATCTTCACGCAGGTTGTTGCACTCGCTCTGCTGCAGTGGAATTACTACTACAAAAATCCTTCTACACCGCCACCGGCGAGGCCATCTCCTTGACGGCCGAGCTGGCAACACATGGCTGTAAAACAGTCGTCTAATGAGATTCGTCTGTTAAGATTCAAATCCTTCTGATTGCAGTGGTGTTACTAATTCGTCCAACAATCTGTTCTGCCCTCCTACTGGAGAGGCCGTCTACACGACGGCCGAGCTGGCAACATATGTCTGTAGAACATTCGTCTACTGAAACTCGTCCGTTGAAATCCAAGTCCTTCTGGCTGCAGTGGTATTTCTACGTCTGCAGTGGTATTTCTTTTTACTACGTCCAACAATCTATTCTACACTACTACTGGGGAGGCCGTCTACTTGACGGCCGAGCTGGCAACACATGGCTGTAAACCATTTGTCTGTTCGTCTTCTAAAAACGAAGTCCTCTTGGCTGCAGTGGCATTACTACTACGTCCAATAATCTGTTCTACACCGCTACCGGAGAGGCCGTCTACTTCATGGCAGGGGTGGGCATCGTGTACGACCCCGCCGCGCACGCGCAGCGCTTCTTCCTGGGCCACAACGATGACGTCACCTGCGCGGCGATGCACCCGGACGGGAAGCTCGTGGCCACCGGACAGGTGGGCAACGTCCGGGCCTTGTCCGAAGGAAGCGCAATCGTGTATATAAGGATGTGCTCGTATGTTACGAGCCGTTTGTTTTCCTTATGGTTCTGGGTTGTTGATCCGGTGACAACAACGGGTGCTGATATTTGAAAAATGGTTCACCAAGGTCGCGCCGATCTGGCCCTGAAAACGTACCCTTCTTGGACTTGAAGATTCGACGCAAATCCCCTTATTTCACAGGGTTTAAGAAACAACCAATACTCTTGTCAATCTCTGTATGAAATACAGACTCCGGACGGCAAGCTCATGGACACTGGAAAGATGCGTCCGCAGCTGAACCGTACGCATATGCCTGGTATCTGCGAGTTGTCGCTGAGGCATACGCTATAGCAACCTGAGAGGAGAGCGCCGTTGTCGACGAACCGCGTGCTTTTTGTCTATGGCCATGTTTTGGCTCTCGAAGGGTCAATCGTCGCGCCTGTTGGTAACGTGAATGTACTCGAAAAGCATGCTACTGAGGATTGACAGAGCATTTCTTTCATCCTTATATAACGACTTCGGAAGGAACTGAAAACGGGAGTGTCTGAAGGGCTTTCGCTCAAGAATGGGATTGTATTGTGCGAGATACGGCAAGTTGGGCAATCTTGACCCACAATGCTTTGGATTATGAAGCATAAAACTGACCGTCCGATTGTCGCAGGTTGGCCGAGAGCCGTACACGTGCATTTGGGACACGACGACCTGCCGAGAGGTGGCCCGACTGCCGGAAGAGCGCGGCTCTCGGGGCCTGGTCGCCGTCGGGTTCTCCCCCGACGGTCAGAAGCTGGTGACGGTATGCACCGACAACCAGCACACGGTCAAAGTATGGGACTGGCGGGCGGGGCAAGTGGTTAGCGAAGGGAAGGGTCACAACGGGACGCCGCCGCAGGTGGGTTTGCTCCTTTGATCCGGTATCTCGGAATCTTCGAAGTGTTTAGTCAAACTCTCTGAGCCTGGGTTCTGATCTTGCGCCGTCCGATGCATTCCTCGTTGTCGATCGAACGGTTCAATATCAGAAATCATGATCGGAGCATTCAAAACCCGATGGCAGGAGAGCTGTAAGTTGGAAAATCTATTGAGGATCTATCCCCCAAGTCAGATCTGACGGGGTTGCTGATACAGGCAATGACTGAAGATTCCTGGGACGTTTCGCGTCCGATGCTCTCTTCGGAAAGGATGCGAGCAGGACGAAGGAGGGTCAATCTTGATGGTAGGTCCCATTGCTCCAGTCACCCATCTGGAAGGAGGCGGTTTCGTTCTCCTGTTCAGATAACACTACCGAAACTTCGAGATCCTTCCGAAATCTGAGCCCAACGAGAGTCCTACACGAAATTGAGTGCTCGGTTGTCTCTCCTCCAGGTTTTTGGCGTCACCTGGAATCCGAACCCTGGCTGCGACGAGTTCCTTACTTTCGGCGTAGCCCACGTCAAACTGTGGAGAGCCACCAAGAAGGACGGCTACAAGCCACGTGCCCTGTCGTTCAATAAGGTATGCGGGCATTTCTGCCGTCGATAGTCTTGCGGCCGCTGTTTGAATACCTTATATCTGTGAAAGGTCCCCCCACCTTCTTTCCCCAGAAATGGTCATCAGACTGTAGAGACGGCTGACTTGATTCCTTCGATTAGATGGAACTGTGGCGACTGCTGACTTGGTTGCTTGAGAAGGGTATTCTGGTAAATGGAATACGCAATTGAGCACGTTTTTTAAAGGGACACTCTCGATCAGACGCTTCCTCGCACCAGTACTCCCAATCTTGGACTCCATGCTTTCCTTCTGGCCGAATCTGCTCTTCCTTGCCGCGGTTCCTTTTCGCACTTTTTGCACAGCATTCTTAACGCCACTGCAAAGCGGTTGATGTTGCCCTAGAAATTGTATTACAGCATGAGTGGAGCTTGCCGCCCTCTGACACTCGACCTTCTTCCCACAGATCTGCTCCCCCTTTACCGTGCACTGCGCGGTCTTCCTTCCCAGCGGAACCATTCTCGCCGGAACGAACATCGGCAGCATTGCCGTCTTCAAAGACGGCAAACTCCGGCAGGTCGTCCCGGCGCACAAGGACCTGGGCGCGCGCGCGGTGGCCGGGGTGCTCTCCACACGGGGCCTGCGCTGCCTCTGCTTATCCGGGGATAAGCGGACGGCCATAAGCGGCGGGGCGGATGGCAGGTCAGCCTCTCAAGGGTTGCAAAGCTTTTTTTTAGATGCTCGAGGTATTTGCGGTCGCGTCAGGAGTAACCTTGCACCAGGGTCAGAGGTTGTTGTTTCAAGCAAGCAAAGCATTCTTTCTGCCATGCACCACAACGAGAAAGCTAGGTCTGTGCCTTCAATCGCCAGATCGGCTCTTTGGAGCTACTTGCGGATCCCTTGCGCCCGCCTTCGGAAACACTTTTCCCATTGCTTCCTTGCTAACTCTGGTAATCTTGATTATCTGCAGGCTTCTGTTCTGGGACGTTTCCAGTGGTACGCTCGGCGATCTCCTCCGGGCGGTCCCTCTAGAGAGCCCATATGGCGCCGGAAAAGACGCCCCGCCCAAGATACGGGGACTGGACTGGCGCCCCGGGGAGAAGCCCGGGGAGGGCTCCATCGTCGTTGGCACCAGCCGGTGGGTCGTAGTTTTGTGTGGTTTTCCTTCTCCAGCAGTTAGAGAACTTTGGAGCCTAGCTTGTAGCGTTCCCTCTTTGTTCTATTTTGTGCTCCCATGTGCCAACAGTCTGCCTGTCCCCTAGCCAGGGACTGCCGCTAATGTATTCTATCACAACAACTCTGTGCTCCGTACTAAGTCTCCCAACGAGTGACTCTGCGTGTTCTGGAATGGCGTGAAAGGGAGCTCGATCAGAGCATACGTTCCCTCCTTACAGCAGGATTTAAGACGGAGAGGGGTCAGCCTCAAAATCAAGGCAGTTACACAGTGCTTTCCTTCTTCGGGGCCAGATTGTGGGCCCTGATTTGCGATCAACGACCAGGCTATTGTCTCTAGAACCGCGAGTACCACAGTTTGAAATAGACCAACGCTTTTGCACCCACTGGGGCAGTCAGCTTTTCAGCGCCATTTCTACGACTGGGTTAACCCCCAAACTTGCAGAAAATGACAATCTGAGAAAACCCGACATCACCGCTACGCTTGGGGAGTCAACTGTTCAACGGCACTCCTTTTCGAACCGACTCTTTCCTTCTCAATTGCAAAAGAAACCAGTCTAAGACAAGGGACACAATTCCATCCACTTGACAATCAGTCGCTCAGCGCCTTCACATCGCCCTTTTTTGCAAACCGCAAATCCGACAAACCCTAAAACACTGAAAGTCAAGTAACGCTTTCGATCGCCGCTCTGCAGAGGCGATCTGTGGCAGATGGAAGAAGCGTCCGGCTCCGCGCGCGTGCTCATATTCGGACACTCTGCGGACCTGTACGGGCTGGCATTCAATCCGGTGAAAGCCCACGTGTTCGCAACTGCGGCGGAACACGACCGGATCTTCGTCTGGGACGGACGCCGGCGGCGGCTGCTCCGGACAACTAGCATGGGGACAGAGGTGCGAAAGGGTGTGGACTGAGATACGGAATAATGGATACTTCTTTCCGTGCGGTGCACAGGTTCAATGTGTGAGCAAGAAAGAGTTGATCTGGACGATTTGGATCCGGACCTGAAGAAGAATCTCAAGCTTGCATGTGAGGTTCTGAGACAGATGTTACGGCGCCGCAACGCCGAGCGAAGACAGGACAAGGGTAAAAGCAAACACTTCAAAGTTGCGGGTGATTCTTGCAAGTAGTCGGCAAAGAAGGCAAGCGTTCTGAGCTGCGCAAGAGGACAGTGTTGGCAACAGGATGGTTTGAAAGAGCGGCCTAGACACCGGGGTGCCATGCCGTTCATTGAAAACTTTCCCGCTCGGATTAAACAGTCTCTATAGACCAGATTGCAAACAAACGTCGTAAATCATTGCAGGTCGCTCGCGCGATTGCGTGGTCCAGCAACGGGCTGCATCTGGCGGTCGGAATGGCTGGGGGCGGGGTGAAGGTCTTGGATGCGGCGAACCTGCAGCCGCTCTACTGGAAGAAAGACAGGTGGGCAAATTTTCGCTTTGTTCCGGGGAGAGAGGGGGAGGAGCGGGGAACATGTTGAGCACCAATAACTTGTCGGGGAAGCAACTTTGCTCCGCTATGCTTCGAGTGGTCAAAACGTCCAATTCCACGCCTTCTGGCTTTCCGCACCGCAGACTCTCGGAGAACTCGTTCTTTTCCTTCCTCGCCAGGGACCGCCGCATATCAGTAACTGCAGTACTCCGCGTCGCTAACCTTCCAGCGGCCAAAGCGCCGCAACTTCACGCCCTCTGGCCTTTCGCAAATGCAGAGCTCTCAATTTCAAACAATTCTCTCCTGGCCAGGGAAGCCGCAATCAAGGAGATGAACTCATCTCTGTGCTGGTATCTGAGCGGTTGAAGCGTCTCTTGCCTTCTCAAACGCAGACCATGGAAATCGCAATGGGAGACACCAACGACGCCACCAGAGGATGCGGAGAAGGACACACAAGTCACACACGACAAAATATCGACAGGCCCTACTCTTGATCTTGCATAACACACGAGAACTTGAATCACCATCTCCAATTCTTCTTTCCTTGCCAGGACGCCGCAATCCAGGAGATGAAGTACTCCCCTCCGCTATGCTTCGAGCGATTGAAGCGTCGCCATTCCACGTCCTCCGGCCTTTCTCAAACGCAGGCTCTCAAAAGGTCCCATCGGTTCATTCCATGCCAGAAAACGCCGCAATTCAGGAGACATAATCTCTTCTGTGCTGTCGTCTGAGCGGTCAAAGCGTCGCCGTTGCACGCCCTATGGCCTTTCTGAACCGCAGGCTTTCAAACTACCGTTTCTTCTTTTCTGCCAGGGACGCCGCGATCCAAGAAATCAAGTACTCCCCGGACAGCGCGCTGCTGGCGGTGGGCGCCCACGACTGCCACATCGACATATACAGTGTCGCCCAAAACTACAAGCGAATCGCCCGGTGCGTCGGCCACTCGGCGACCGTGCGACACTTGGACTGGTGTGTCGACTCCGCCCTGCTCCAGTCCAACTGCAGGTGGGAATCTATACCTGACCCCTCTTACCTCGCGATTGAGAACTGCTCTGTGAATCTAGCTTATTTACGTGTCCTCTCGATGTGACGCATTAGGCGGTGACTTGGAGTGCTTTGGGTACGCATTGTCGCCTTGAGTGAATATCGTTACAGCGTAGCGCTCTATTTCTGCCCCCTAGATCAAAACACGCTCGTTCCTTCTGGTTGAGCTTCAAAATGCAGTTCGGTGGTACGTGATACAGAGACACCTTTACGAAATGGTTTTCGTCCTTGAATATACCGCTTCCTAGGCCTGAGTGAGTCCACGTTGGATGAATATCTCTAGCACAATGAGCGCTGGGATCATCATTTGCGAGAGGCACGTATCCTTCTCCCAACCCGGCTTTTGTTCCTTCCTACCACAGCGGCTACGAGATCTTGTACTGGGACGCCCGCTCAGGAAAGCAGGTTCGACAGAATACACGTGACGTCAAGTGGGCCACGTGGACGTGCGTGCTGGGATTTCCGGTAATGGGCATCTGGGAGAAGGGCTCCGACGGAACGGACATCAACGCAGCGAGCAGGTTCGGACACGCTACTACTTCTTCTTGAGCTACCTTCGCCGTTGAGAAACGAAAGATAATCTGGAGAGCTCAATGAAGGTGAACTGGACTTGGGAGGACCGTTTGTCTGGCAAAATCTCTCAAGAGTATGGGCATTCACGCGCTTTCGGCCGCCTCTATTTGTGCTTTTGGATCTAGAGACGAAAGTCAGGACTTTGTGACAAGACTGAAGGAGACGCGAAGCCCTCGGCGAAGATACTGAGAGGCGGAGCGGTTTTCGAGAGTTGGAATTTGTCAAGTGCTTTTGCGACGGCTGCCGAGTAACGGAAGCATTTGCTGCTGCCTTAAAGACATTGCGTTGGAACCACAAGGCTGTAAACTGTTGCTGATTGCACGTTAATCTGAGGGATGGCTGAACAGATCAGCGGAGATAAAGTAGATCGACTTCGTGATGGAAACTTTTCATCCATGTCATGACGGAACTTGTCTGGGTGACTTGCTGCTCGCTTGCTAGAAGCCTCCTTCACATCCCCTGCGACGGGCATCGTGTCAAGTCAATTATCCTGGTGCCGACTGTCTGACACACCAGCTTGCCACGTGGCAGGTCGCGGACCGGCGACTTCGTGGTGACGTCCGACGACTTCGGGCACGTGCGCCTCCTCAACTGCCCATCGCTTCTCGAGCACGCCCCCGCGCGGCAGTACGCCGGGCACTCCTCCCACGTCATGTGCGTCCGTTTCTCGCCGGACAACAAACGGGTGGTCTCGGTCGGGGGAAAGGACCGGGCAGTGTTCCAGTGGAGAACACACGCGTTGGTAAGCCCGGAGGAAGGAAACGCAGGGAATGATGAGAATGATAGGCCGCGGTTAAAGTGCGAGATTGAGAATTGTAGGGTGTGCGGGAGGGGGTCGAATGCGACGGGGCCGATCGTGCCCCGGGCGCCGTGGGACGGAGGGGAACTTGGCCGGGGAACGTGACGGATTCCGATGGAATGTGACGGAAAATGACGGACTGCGGACGTCGACAGCCAAAGCAAAAAGGATTGACTTAGTTTACGAGTGGTAGCTTGGGAAATAGACATCGACCCCCCTATATCCAAGCGGGATCGGAGGGCAGTTAGAAGAGAGGTCTCAAAGAACCGCCCCTCACTTGAGCCTAGGAAGAAACACTAATTATCTCTCCAAATTTCAGGGAAGGGGCCAGATCAGCACATACTGAGTGGTTGCTTAACTAACTAAGCTGTCAACTGTGATTGCTCCAGCTTAATCAGCTGCGCTGCCAGTTGTTGATGCTTCAGTGGTCTTGCAGTACACAAGTAAAGTAAGTAGTTCTTCAGCTCTTGACTGAGCGCTCGGAAGGGGCCCTTTGGGCTGCTGCTGGAAGAGCACTGAGTATGGAAGGGGGCCGCTTCTCGCTGCTTTCTTGTCCCCGTATGGCCACATGTGCAAGATTTGGAGGCGTCGCCTTTCAACATCCCTAATCGGAATTTGCTCACGGGCCTAACTCTTTGAATCAAATCTCAAATGCACCAGGCTCTCATAAGAAGCCACACGACAACTCAGCTTACGTGCAACGAGCCTGCCACTTGTCCAAGCGAGCATCTAACAAGCTACGACAGACACAAACTATATAGCTGTACTCTACTAATATACTCTCTATATATTCTCTGTGACCCTCGCTGGATATTGCTCGTCCTGGAGGAGTGGAACGTAGAGCAGTGAAGTTTCGAGAACAACAGCTACGGCGTTCCTACGGCGTCCCGTACTAGGCTACCCTCCCAGCCTCGGCCAGTCACATGCTGGTGATCATATGTATGTATGCATCGTTCGATTCGTCGGCGTATCTGATACGGTATCATACACGGATGCACGGACGTAGTAGGTACCGCGTGCGGCGTGCGCCCGCCGGCCGCGCCGCCCCAAGCTCGGGGCGGCGCCGGGCGGCCGCCCACCTGCTTTGAAATTGAAAAGCGTACGGTCCGACGAGTGACACGTGCCGCCCGCTCTCTCGGCGGCTCGGGTCGCGCGCCGGAATCGTTTATTGGTCGGATCAGAATACCTATTTACTGGTAGTGTGCACACGCACAAGCCCAGTACGGTGTGCTCATCACTGAGCTCAGTCTTGCGACTCGCGAGTCATGGATACTTCTCTTATAGTCATCAGCCCTAAATGCTTACCGGTAACGGCCATCAACGTATACACTGTACAGGATTGAAATTTAGGAGACCACAGTCATCAGCCCTAAATGCTTACCGGTAATGGCCATCAACGTATACACTGTACAGGATTGAAATTTAGGAGACCACAGTCCCAAGAATCTACTTGCTACGGCAGGGCCGGGCACGCCGTAGGTATTTCGAATTTCGTTCGAGGACATTTAGAGGACTTTCTAGCCGGCGTGAGCCACCGCCCTCTCTTTTACCCCTAAAATCGGGGGAGGGTCCCCGAGCCCCCGGCCGCTCCTTCCTCAAGCTTGCGGTCTCGACTCTCTACGTCGTGAATTGCACGAATTAAGATGGACAATAAGATTTTAGATAGATACCGGTACCGGGCGCCTTCAGAGGTTGGAATTCACGAACAGGTACGGTAACCAATCCATAGGGTTGCCGCGTTATGGGAGCGGGCTGCAGGTTATACGGGCAGGTTATGAATGCAAATTGATTTCCTAGAACCGGAGCTAGCAACACTTGAATCACTGGGACAAGAGTCACGACGGCGACCCTTGCCCAGAGCATTGAAGCGAATGCTTCAAGTTACTGGCCGCGCCGTCTCGATTCTCCGACTTTCGTTTTCCGATACGGTGCTCCGAGTCTACAACAAACACGCGCAGTTCAAGCATATGCTATTAAATCTCGATCTGCCGTGGACTCTAGCTTTTGCTGCACAGGGCGTTCGCTGTTCGCACGGGCCATATTCTGGATTCCATTCAGTCTGCATAAACTTGCCTGCCACCACTTACGGTATTTGCTATTCATCTTTGTATGCTGTGCCTGCACGAGTGCTCTACATTCATCAACCAAGCTGGTCTCGGAAACTTCCCATTCCACTTCGGAGCCACTACATTAAGCAAACCCAACGGACGCCCTGCCAACCAGATTGCCAAACCAGAACTCCAGCGCAACAGCAGTGTCGAAAAATGGTGCCTTCTGCGCTCGTTCTGGCCGCCGTTCTGGCGGCCTCTCTTCTCGCCCTAGTTGCTGCTCAGGGCCCGGGGTGCCCTACCGGGTTCACTGGTTGCTACACCAGCCCTGCCAGTGGAGCCCAAGTGAGATGCCCGGTTGATCTTCCTGTCTCCTGCGTTGCTCTTTAGTATTCAGTTACTTGTTGAGCTCTCGCGATTTAAGCTAGACCCAGTTAGTGGCGAGGGAGTCAACTGTCAATTATGTGTAGGGGCATCAGATTGCACTTGCCAGATCATTGGTCCGCAGTCTTTGCTTGTCAGGCGGTGTTGGGATGAGCTCCTTTCAAGGCTCCTCCCTGGTAACACAGTTCTTGTTGTCACCCCCTTTTCTGTCTGCTTTCACACTGGCAAGTCTGAACTTTGATGTAGTCTCGAGCCCTGGCTTCTTTCATCAAGAGGCAGTGTTGCTTGAGAGAATACTTTCAAAGGAGAATGCTGGTCTTCCTGTGTTGATTTTTTTTCGAAATGCCATTGCTTCACTTCACTTGCACGATGTGGCTGACCAGAATCAGTATATTACTAGTCGGACTAATGAAGCTATTCTCTTGCTGAAGTACCGTCTGCTCGCTTTCTCATGACTATGTGTGGAATGGCAAGCTTGCTGTTGGTTTTTACTTAGAGCCCTTGAACTCGTTTCAGTTTTCAAAGGTGGAGTTTAAGAGGAAGATATATGGTGGCAGTTCTCAGATCTTCAGGCGCCACTAGTCCTCTTTTAGCGGGTCGTGTGGTTCCATCATACTGCAGCGCCGGTTTCTACTCATCACCACAGCAATGATGCAATCAATGACCAAAGTAGCTCGTCATAATGTGCATCAGCTGTTTTCATTTTGCGCCCATGCTCGTTTCCAGCATAGAACTCAAGAATGAACCATTGCTGTGCCCTGATTGAGATTTTCCCCACCTTGCGTCAGGCACCCAATGCCTAAAAATCTTGGTTCTAGGATTTACGATCTACGAGTCATTGCCATTCACCCGCTTCAAAGAATAAAACTAAAAGACAAAAGCAGCATTCAACACAATCAGAACACACAAAATGATTTGAGAAGCGTCTAAACCGCCCCTCTTCGTTCTTCTCGTGCAGACGCTCTTCTGCTGCCCCTCCCCCGCCACGTCATGCTCTGGCAGTGGTGACGTCTCGTGCGTCACAACCGGGACGTCTGACGAGGTTGCCGGGGCTGCCTACATCCCTGGTGAGTCGCTTCCCTTCAAATCCGCTCAAATTGCACGGTTTGCATCCGCTCGTTGACTGCCAGAAGTTACATCTGAGAGTTTCTCTACTAGTCATGTACGGACGATTCGAAGTGGGTCCTGGTGAAAATGTTGCCGCAGTCTGCAGCTCACTCACCTTTTCTTCCGACTGTGATTCCCAAAAGTCTTCTGAAGTGGGCACCGAAACAGAGGTCAGCGCGCTTATAGGACTGCGGTACGAGGGTGGCGTGACTCAGAGGCCTACTCTAAGCCGTCCGAGATCCTCAATCGTGCACACCATCCGAAATCCAGATGCAGAGCCACTTTGAAGTTCCACGGTCTTAATCCTAACAAGTAAAATCCGTTGTTTATATGAAGCAAAGTTTGTGGAACAAAGTTTTTGCGCGGCCTAACCCTCTGTTTCTGTCTTTCTGCAGCCCCCAGCATGGGCCCCAAGATCATCAGCACCGTGTTCTACTCCAAGAACTCCAAGATCCCCAGCGCACGCCACACGCCGGAGCCCTTCTTCGTATTCCAGCCCCCTCTCAACCCCGTGAGTGTCCCTGCTTTCTTGTTTGGGAGATTCGCCTTTTGCTTTTTAGTTTGCTGTTCCCACAGTTTCGACTTTTATGAAAGCAATCATGTGCTAATGACCCCAAGAAGCCCATGTCGACGATTCTTCTGGATAAGTAGAGCCAGAACAAGCAGAGAAGTTTCCCTTCGCGCCTGGATTCCGGGCCATCCGTCGATCGTAGTGGGCTCGAAAGCCGTTGTAATTCTGGCGCTTTCAAGCCTTTTTGTTTACAAGAGAGCACGAGTAAGACGGCTTCATTTTGAAGTGTAGCAGACCGACGAAACCGACGTAAGATGTGTCGAGAAACGGGCTGTCGTCAGCCCCTAAGCTGATAGTGTCTCTCGCATCAGCAGATCTCTTTGAGACGACCCGCCGAGTCTTTCTTTCTCACCCTTGGTCTTTGGCCCCTGTTCTCTTCCCGGTTATATTCTGGCCCTCTCATAGGGAGCTTTCGCTCTCACCCGAATCCGGTCTAAACAACTGATTAGCTTTTTACCAGCTTCGCCTGGCAGAAGGGCTTCTAACCGCGGAACTAACCCGCTTCATTGACACTTCTTTCCCCCTGCCTCTTCCCGGCCCTAACCTTTGACCCATTTACCGCTCTCTCTTGTGAGTCTCATTTTCGGCACCCCGGGTGACATCGACAACTTCAACCACTCTTAACCGCGGTCTAACCCCGCTTGGTTGACGGTAATTGCCCCCTGCATCTCTGAAACCACTGATCTCTAACCCGTTTTTCGCCCTCAGATTTTCGGCACCCCGGGTGACATCGACAACTTCAACGATGATCTGCTGGACAAGCCGTCCACGGACCCGACCGCCAAGAAGATCGGGACCCTTGTCGGTTGGTGCTCGCTGACGTCAGTCCCCTCCGCCGACCCGGAGGTCATCAGCGAATCGGTAAGGACCCTAACGGAAAAGGGTTCCCATTTGATTCCGAGGGCAGGAACGGCCCAACTGCGAAGCACACCTGCAGAGGTGTTGATTTCACGAACATGAGTACGTATCTGCTGGAAAGGATCCTCAGCCCGCTCTTTTCAACCCCGTTGGTTGTTGCGGGTCTCTGAAAGATTGCCGTGCGCCCGGCCTACTCGAATCTTCGGCCCTTTTAACGGAAAAGGGTTCCAGGAAAGAATGTAGTCCGCCGCAGCAACTTTGGACCCCAATGGTTGCTGCGTGTTTGTGTGAGAGATTTTCTGTGCCCCCAATTGGGGTCTTCGGTTTCTTCTTCAGAGTTTAAGATACTCGAGCAAGGATCCAGCGAACTTTTGGCGCTGGCGCCTCTGCTAAGCCCTCCCAGGAAACGCGTTCCTTCGGCAACAGTGGGAAGCGTGGATATATTGCGTGCTCTGTGCCCCAGATGTTCTTGATCGTCACCGGTTTTGATATATTTTCATGCCCGAACCGGAAATCTTGTTGAGAGCTCTGGAGACAAGTGGTTTGGCTGGCAGTCGGTTTTGGGTACACAAAATATTTACATTCGCAGCTGAAATGAAACGTGGACGGAGCGGGGTGAACGTTTTTTGCGACGGTCTGAATAACGGCTCTGAATGTGGGGTTCACTCCTGTTGCTCCTTCTCCTACTGCCGTCATTTTCCCCTCTTGCTGACGTCATGCCCCTGCGCCTGCCCCGGAACAGGCCCCGCCTTTCCTGGGCGCACAAGAATTGAAACCAACCCACACGACCTCACAAATCACAAACAAAAGCGTGAAGACGTCGACGTTCAAGTGCAAATGGTACGAAACTGATTCACAACAGTATCCTGACTCTCAGATTCAAGCGCAGACCTGCTCTATACGCGTTCATGAGCGATCAATCGACTAGCCACTTCTCCTCTCCAGGCCGTGTACGGGTGCAACATCATCTACAAGTTCGAGGGCGACAACCTTCTCACGGCCGTCGGCTTCGCGGAGGAGTTCGAGGGTGACGTCAGCCTGACCGAGCTGGCCGCAATCACCGGGGGCTACGGCGAGTATTTCGGAGCAACCGGGCAGGTCCGCGAGTTCCACGACGCGACCGGAGGAACCTACCAGGCGACCATCGTCCTGCCATACGGCTCTGCGTAAGCTATAGTCGGACCCTACGGGTCCGCATAAGCTATAGTCGGCTGAGCCCGGGGACAGATGGTTGGTTGGGTTTTGAGGAGATACTTTTTGAGGGAGTGGAGAGATAGTTCCTGAGGGAGCGGATTGGCTCGTAAGATATTTGGGGCGCAGTCTTTTGGACTAGTTGGGAGGGAGCGAATGTCTCAGGAGCGCTGACGTGATTTGTTACGCGGATACGTCAAGACTTTGCGGGCTTTGCTAGTGCATTGAAGAAAGAGACGAGCATTTTTCGAAGCAATGGCCGATAGCGAATCTGAAGCCTCTATTCAATAGGTAGGAGACTATTTTGCATACTACGAGCTCCTAACGGATCCAGAAAGACCGGCACAAGGTGACTTTGACATCAGGTACTTTATAAGCGCAGTATGCGCATGTGGGCCGTACAATTGCCGTTGGTAGACGTTCAAGTTAGAACCACTCAGGCATGCAACATAAGACTCGCTGATTCCAACGGTTGCTGCCGCTCATACTGATATGCTCGATTGTTGAGCTAATCAGCCACTGATAAGGTTCACTCTCTTTCTATTCCGCTGTACTATTCATTGGATGGCCAAAACTCATGTCTCAAAGCGAAGACCGACGGTCTTTCACGCCTAGCTTTGGGATTGTCTGTGTAATCGAGTGCGGCCAACGCCTGGCTCGCGAAGCGATGGACACGTGGCACGAAGACATTTGGTATAGGCTCTTTCGTATCCAACCAAAAGTTTATGCTTTTTCTACGCTTCTGAGACCAAAGGTGATCTGCGTGGCTCCATAATTCGACCAAGAGCCTATGGGCTATTTGGGAATTTGCGGAAAAGATGAGAGACCATCTGGTAAGATTCAGAATCCTTTTGGTTACTCTAGGTAACTCTCGATTAAGATAACACACAGATAAGCACCCGGAGAAGGGGAGGGGTTAGCTGGATGCTTAGGCTGGTTAAGGTGGGCGCGGGTGCGGGGCGCGTGATGATTTTTACTCGAGCATCCTGTACCTCAAAACAAATGGCAGTCAAAACAATCTAGAGATGCCAGTATTCTTTGGATTGTTTCTATAATGGGCCTGTTTATACGGAAGCTTTTCTATGCAATGGAAGTGACTCGTTACATGGAAGCGGCTGTTTTGGTTGCTGTAGGATCTGTCCATTGAATCAACGTCTGGTTGAAACGTATGAGTCTATTCTTCATTCTTCCGCTGCTACTTTTTGCTTACTCCCGGCGGCCTCGAGCGCTTAGATAGTACCATCCGCTTTGCTTTCCTCATGCGGTTTCAACTGCAAACGGAAACAGTCGTTGAGTCACGGGAGAAACTGAAGCGCTTTTTCCGATATAGCAGGGACCCGCGAGAGGATTATCTGCTTTGCTTGGTGAAAATCACACTCGAAAAGACCAAGACAGATGTTACCTGGGAACTGATGACCTTCCTTAGTAACCGGAAGCAAGTCGCAGTACGAGCAATATATAAGATTCAAGCAATCACGGAAACAGGGGACGGACACATCTGTGAACATCGATGGCGATGGAGATTCCTTAATCTTCTAAGTGACGCTAGCACGTAAAGGCACGGTCGATAAAATCTTGAAGGACGTGGCATAGCAGCCGAAACGTAAGTCAGTGTTCACCGCGGCTTTCCAGGGCGACCAGACTCGCTTACCTCCAGTGAAGTGGTCGCCAAATTCTTCCCAAAACAACAAGCCCACGCCGACCCCTTCCGCTTCCGCTCCGTTCCTCCAATTCCGTTCACCGGGCTCTCTTGAGCGGAGATGGTGCCCGTTGCCGCGGCCGCGCCCAAACCCTCAAACCCTGCTTCCCTTCCCCCGTTCCCCTCTAGGGTCGCGAGAAAATTCGGGCCCCCTGCCTGCACCGGTTTGCTGACGTGTCCTTCCTGGGGGGATGCCATGTCGCCGCCACCAAGGATTCCAGTCTCCATCCACTTCCCACTCTCCGTCTCGTGTACGGCTTCCTGAAAAGGTGCGCGCGCGGCCTGCGCGCTCGGCGCGTTTTCAAGGTTCTTCTCAGGCGCGCCCGGCGCGCGAGCGCCCGCGGGCGGCCGCTTGAGCGCGCCGTGCGCGAGCCGGAGCGCGTTCTCCCTGGCCTCTAGGAAGTCAGACCAGTCGGCGAGACTGCGCGTTGTGATTCTTCGCTGCAGGGCCGTGCGGGGCGACCCGTAACGGCCGATCCCGCGGGAAATGGTCGCCGAAGGAGCTGCGCGGACGGCGTTACGGACCTCGTAGAGGTTGCCAAAGCTACGGGTGACGGCCTGCGTCAAGACGAAATTTGTGATGTGTTTTTCGTTTGGAATTCTGGGGGCAGAAAGGCAGGAAAGGGTTTGGAAAGACGAGGGGAAAGGAGGCCAGGGGAAGGCAGGCCGAGAAAAGATGATGATCAGCAACTGGATCAGAAGAGCAGAATTGCACTGAGTAAGGAGATGATTTGAATCTACTTCGAAGCTGTGCTTGAGTACATGTAGGACTAATCTGTTGATCTGATGAAAACCAGCGTATGAGTTGGCCCTCAAATGTTTGAAAAGCGCCGTTTAAAGAGTAACCTCAAATACGATACTTGAACTCAGAGCCGATGGAAGGAGGAACGAATTGGAGCAGGAGAGGTAGCAAAAGTCGACAATGTCAATCGATTCTTGAAGACGTCTCTAGCGAAAAGCTTTGCCAGTGAGCTGTAAGGCAGAAGGGCCTGGCCGAAAACTACGCTGAAACTACATTTGAAAAAGCGTTTCCTACCGAAGTCCGGCATCCTCCGATTGCGTCCCTGTTTGGAGGAAAGAAACCAACGGCGAAATGGATCTGACAGATACAACTTCTGTTCTAGCAGAGCGCGATGCCCGAGGGATTTGGCGCGGGATGACTTCAGGACCGACCGGCAGCCACTTGTTCTTACGTTAGCCGTTCGATCGGGGGACACGCCAGGCTTACCAATCGAGCGACTTCCCTTCGCATCAACCGTTTAAATCAGAACCCGTGGCAAAGTATAACGAGCCAAGGATCTGAAACCACGTCCTTCTCACCACGAAACTCGAACACTTCGCTTAAACGTACGTCCTAATCAGAATAGAAGCAAGGAGAAAAACGATTTGTCCTCACCTGATCCACTCACAACGCTCTGCTCAAAGCCAACTCACTTTCGAAATCCAGAGGTAATAAGATAGGTTTGAAAATCTTGATCCGGTAAGGTCAAACAAAGCAGGGGCAAGGCGCCTTCGTTCTTTTGCTGTTCACCTGATCCGATCCGCTCGTTCGGCGTCTCGTCCGGATCCTCGGCAGCGCCCGCTGCTCCTGAAACAGGTCCAAGTCGAACCAGTCGTCCTCCGGGGGACTGGCCGGGGGAAACGCCGCGCTGTCGGGGGATCCCCCCGTCCCCGAGCTCGGCGGGCTGGGGTTCTGCTGCCCCTCGCCCGGTTGGTACGTACCGGGGGGTACCTTCGCAGTCGCGATCGGGCGCAGAGCTCCCCCCCCGACGTGCTTGAAGTCCCAGTAGTTCTTCCCCGGTGTGCGTCTGAACGGCGACTGAATGGGCAGTTTGAAACTGCTGCCGGGGGCGTGGGGAGGTTTCAGAGGTTTCGGCGCGGCCGCGCTCGCGGCCGCGCGCTTCAGCGAAAGCTTGACCACCCGGGGAACGTACGGGATCTCCAGAGACTTTGACTGGATGTCGGGGATCACTAACCGCTTAGTCTGAGGCGCTTCTGTGTTTATGAACATAGTCGGCGTTCCGGTTGGTGAAGCGTTCCGGGGAGAACAGTCCTGCCCGCAAAGAATCATCCCCGGTTGAAAAGGCCCCCCGGTCACTGAGTCGAAGCTCGCAAAGACACCCTGATCGACCGTTTCCACCGTTTGAAAGAACCCCACCCGAAGTTCGTCGGGACCCGGTGGAAAGCCCCGGGCGCTCGAGAAGGGCCCCGTGTTGGGGTCGGGCAGACGGTGCGGGGAGTCCTCCGCGTCGCTGTGAATAACCGGGTTCGATCCGAAAAGTGCAGAACTGATTGGGGAATCGGCCGGGAGTGGCGAAAGGGGGCTTGACCCCTGGTCGGGGAAAGGATCAATATTGCCGGTTGAGAAGGGCTCCCCGTTCCCTGCTCCGGTGGAGTTGCTGTACAAGGGTCGGAGTGATGGACCGCCTTGTCTTTCTTCGTTTGGGGAGGTTAAGCGCAGGTTACGCAAAGACCGCGTTGGACCGGTTAGCACTCCCCCGGAAATATCAACCGGTTCCGTATCCTCATCCGAGCGCAAGCTTGGATCGTCCTCGAGCGAGTCCCCCGAGCGCGCCCGCGGGGACGAGGCTCCGTCCAATGCGCCGCTGCCACGTGGCGTGTGCATGAGCTGGTTCGCGGCCGCGATGAGCCGCCGCACCCGGGGGGGAAGGGACACAACCGGGAGATCGCTCCAGCGCGGCGAGGAGAGCTCGGAGTTTGGGGACATGGAAGTTTGGCGGAGCGCGGCCGCGGCCGCGAGCGCGGCGGACCCGGAGGGGGACGGGGTTTTGAAGAGCGCGTCCGCGGCGTCGAGCGCGGCGCGGATGCGCTCGAAGTCGGGGCGGGGGAGGGGATGGCTGTGGAAGAAGTCGCTGGTGGAAGACGGGAGGGGGGAGAGAGCGGGGGAGCCACAGAGAGAGGGAGAACCTATGAGGACGAGGAAAGAACGGTGAAGCTGATTCTCGAAAGAGAGACGTGAAAGTTTCAGGAGAATCTTGTGAATTGACGTTGCTGCCCATGCGTGGTGACTTCGTGAAGATAATATCTCTGAAGAGTCAGGTGAGGAATGATTAACCATAAGATGAGATCGATGCATCAATTTCAAACAGGCAGGTCTATGGTAGAAGGATTGAAGATCTTTTCATCGTACTTGAATCAATTTCAAAAGTCTCCTAGAAGTTTCCTCAGAAATGAGGACCTACCGTATACTGCTAGCTTCGTGGATTGATGCCTCTTCGTTCATTATTGAAAGATCATCGGCGCGTCCTCTTTAGATCCAGCTTGCCCTGACTAAACCCTCCAAAAACAGTAAAGATAAGAGAGCATTGAAATAGAACAAGGTTGCAGGGCCATACTTGTCAAGTCGTCTTGAAAACTTTGCGTTGTTTTTGCTGGTCTCCGTCCAATCAGAAGCAGCGAAATCAGCTGTTCAAATGTTTTACCTCCTCCTCAGGCGAACTCACCTGGACCGGAAGGCTCGACAACAGAAGAAGAGGGATCCCTCAAGATCTCCCCCTCGCTGTCCCGCTTCAACTGGGCCAGGGCCCTCTCTGCCTGTTCTTCCAAACTCTCTTCCTGCTCAATCAACGCTTCTTGGCGACCAGTCTCTGCCTCGACCAACGGTTCTTGTCGCCCAACTTCCAGCAAATTCTCGTCCACATTCCTTCCAATCACATCTTTCCCTTGGACAAGTTCTGACGAAGGGCCATTCTCGTTCCTGCCTGTCTCCCATACAATCTCCGCCCCTTGAGGCGCGCGCGCAACAACGGCTGAACCCGCCTCTAGAGGCAGAACAGACTTGGATCTCTCAGATTCCTTTTCCCGGTTCTGAGAATTATTCCCATGCAGCCCAGTTGGAACTTGCAGACCTGACACAGGAGGTCCAAAAAGGCGACCCTTCCCCCGCCTTTCCGCCTGGCTGGAGTCGCCGGAAGGCCCCTCCGCAGAGATCCACTTTTCGGACAGAAAAGTGGCGCCGCCCTTCGTGCTCCCAGCACCCCGCGTGAAAAAGTCCTTGGAGGAGAACTGAAGATCCGCCACGTCACCCGCTTCGGCGGATTCGGGCGGCCAAAGGCTGGGCGCCCCGCGCGGGGCGTCGCCCAAAAGCATGAGCTGCCTCTCCCGACGGCTCGCTAAGATCCGGTGCATCACCGCGCTCAAGTAGCAGCTAGCTCTAGTAGCGAAGAGCTCTTTCCCGACGAGTGAGTAGGCAAGATTATGCTTTGCGGAGAAGTTTGATGTAAGAGTTCCAAAGCGGTGCCTTCGTTTTGTTGCGTAAAGAAGCGCCCGTTCTTCGAAAGAAGCGCCTCATCTTCAAGAAATGAATGGCGGTTTGCACTGTGAGATCGGATCTCTTTTCAGAAGAAAGCACAGGGCCCTCATGGTAGTGCGGTTCTAGGCGCGAGTAGGAGACGAGACTCTTGTACACAAAGCTCGGTCCAGATGGCCCAGTCGGCCCAGATATATAGTAGCTGCCTCCAAAGTTTGATAGTGTAGAATTATGCAATGTTCAAGCCGTGTCAGGCATCATCAGGGCCGTTCGTTCTTCCCTTGAATTCATACCCATTACTCTTGGGGCACCTCAATCCCTTGTCTCCTGTGTCGAAGCCGGCACTGTCAGTAGCGAGTCCTACAGTAGTACCAACTTGAATAGTGCGGCATTGACGTCCTCGAAAGGAGAGAGTCTTTATAACGACAATTTCGAAGCACCATAGCTACAGCGGCAGGAGCTTCCCAAGGACGGTTTTATTGGGCATTCAGATTGTGCGCGCCTCCAAGTATACGTTCCTAGTCGAACTTGGTGAAGGCGCACTATTCAAGATAGGTGCGCGCTAGTAGACATGCTCGAGACGAGAATACATGATTCAAAGGGTCCAACAATTACGCCTTGGTGGGTGTGCAACGTGTTTGCATATTGATGCATCTTCACACGATGTATCGAATGTATAAGAATTGCATGGACGAACCTTGAAAACCGCAAGTAACGACCTTTCACTATGATTTACAAGGATAAAACCACACCCTAACATAATCTAGCTGATCTGTTGAATAGATTGATGGATGAAGTTTATGCATGCGCTGCATGGAAAGCAATGACCAGACGTGTCTTCATTGCAAGGAACAGATGGGGCGGAACGGGGTATAGTAGCCGCATCGAATAGTCGTGCACTTCTGTTCGGTTAAAGAACATGCATCACGCGGAGGGTACCTCAACAGCGAACCATTTGATATGAGCGCCAGAATCTTGAAAAAGCGCTCGAGCGAAGGGGATCGGCTGGACCCAACGTCTCTAGGTATGTATCCGGATCTGACAAAAATTAGCAAAAGGGTGATTGAAAAGGGAATTCAACAAGCGGTTGATAAGATGAACGTCAACTCGCGCTTGCCCAGATGTGGAACTCTTTTCGAAGTGCATCAGCTTCGTTTCTCATTTGAATCGTTACAACTAAATCTAGATCCGTTCCAGACTAGTAACTGATATCAGAATGGAATTTTCGCACGTTCTGCTTTGGCCCAGATGCTTCGGGCATCCCCTCGGTCCCAAGCTATTCAATCTAACAATAAACGCCTCCTAAGTCTTCACTGCCCCTGCGACTGCTTCTCGGCTTCTTCTCTGGACGCCTCAGCGCCCCGCCCGACTTCTTGCCAGGGGCCGGGCTCGGGGAGCCTTCTACCGGACATTTCTGCCTCCTTGATTGCCTGTTCCACAGGCACGTGCTCAACCACCAGGCCCGACCGGGGGTCGTCTTTCGGGGGCTCGAGGGCGACCGTCTCATTCGAAGCGGGGTCGTAGTAGACGCCGCGGCCAGTGTCGAAAAACGGGGCGGCAGTTTGGGGTGTTGAAGGCAGCCTGAAGTGTACGAAATGGCAGGGGTTCAAAAGCAAGGAGAGGGTTGTCCGTCTTCAAAAAAACTTCATTGACTTCTGATTGTAAACTTTAATTATGTCGATAGAGAAGCGGTGCTGCAAAACGAAAATATCAGCTTGCGTCACAGTAATCATTATCCCAGCAGACAAGCTGCACAGGCTTGCATTGGGTTTGCAACCAGTCTGCTGTAAGTCAGAAGAGCCATGTAACGGGTTGAAATCTATTACAGTGCCAGAACACCAAGTTTCTGATTCGGAAGTAGCTTGAGATAGAAAAGGAGCCGCTTTTTCCGCTATTAAGTTTGGATCAAAGGGAAACTGCGAGTAAATCCAAACCTTGAATCCGAAGCTGAAAAGCTCAGCTTTCCGAGTAACGAAAAGTCTGTTTCGGAGAAGACCTGCAGCAGCCTCTATTCTAATTGGTATTTCTTCCTACCACCCAAGTCAACTTCCGCCTCGGATAAAATGCGAGCAGCTCTTCTAACGTCTTTCAAGTTGCTCAAACAATGCTCAGGCCACTACTCGGTGAACGAAAACAAAGCAGAGCAAACTCTGCAAAGCACGCTCTCGGCTCTAGCTTACCCCTTTGAACCACTGGTGTCCTTATTCTCCTGCCTTTCGGCCTGCTTGGAAGCCATCCTTGAATTAAAGGCAGATTCCGTCCTCTATCAGACTTTACAATGTCTCAAGTTAGTGAAGAGGACCACAATTAACTTGGAAGACGTAAAATCCTGCTTCAAAGACCTGCGGCATGCAAGCTTTGGCCCCCAAAAAATACACAATCTACCGAGTTTTGCCCTCCTTCCAGTAGCGGTTTGCGCAAGTCTCTTGTGAAATGGCGCTCGCTCAATCGGGTGCTTTCTTCGAGCTTTCCTTCGGCAATAAGGTTCTGCGACGGTATGAATGTTTATGTGGATAATGCATGCATGCTTACTGCATGCAACCGTGACATCTGCATGCAGACCCCGTTCTCGCGGATCGAGGTCCCCGCCCTGGAACCTGTAGCGGGTTTCTCGGGTAGGATGTCAAGCGGCTTCGCCGTTCGTCCATGTTCGAAGGACTTTGTTCTCGGGAGCTGTCCCCAATGATAAACTTCAAGGAGCGCGCGAGCCGGTGCGAGCGCGGCGGGCGCGCCCGCGTAACCGCCCCCGATAGACGCTGCATGCAACTTTTCAGAACTAGAAGGGTCCGCAGTAACCACTGTAAAAGGACTTGCTTCAGAGAATTTTTGTGGGAGAACGCTTGCACTTATTCTATTCTTCTGATGAGGCGCCTGCTGGGGCGCGTGCCTCCTAAGCTCGAGGAGACAGGAGTAAGGCCCAGGTGTCCCTGACATAATTCTCAACACTCTTGTAAAAATATACCGGAACTTAGCTTCGATATTCGACAACATGGTGGACAACGCTCCGCTCAGGAAGTGCGAACGTTAAACCAGCCCGGGCTTTTCTCACCAAATATACGACTTAACGTCTCGAACAAAGGCACCGAGAACCGTCTGGTTTCTGTGGGCACGGGGAACAAAGCAATCCAGGTCGAAAGGAGCCCTGCACTAGAGGTTAGGTCGGAGGGTCTGCAAGACGTGACCGGGGGGACAGAGATGGCCCACGAACGCCCCCCACTCGCTGAAACGAGGCCAAGCACGCAGCACGACGAAGCTGCTGATATCGGAAAGAAGATACCAGGACCGCAAGAGCAGAGCGAAAGGTAAAACGCTGCCATCTCGGTAGTATTTGGGTCCTGTCGGTCTATTCAATTCAAGCTGACATGCACGAGGGTCTGAGCAGCCAAGAAGGCGTGAGAAGGCAGGCTGGACGTAAGATTCTGTATGGCTTTCTTGTTACAGACACTGTGAAGGTCTTCATAGTCTCAGAAGCAGGCTCGTGGAGACAGGAACGCAGCAAGTCCTTACCTTTGGCGGTCCTGAAAGCTGCTCGAGATTGATCAAGCGACAGGAGCCAGGAGGTTCACTAGGGACCCCTCATACCAGCACTTGATTTCCTCTAAACTTTGAATGTTAGGAATCTTGAGGTTCTCGAGATTCAACACATCAGTTCTTGCAGAATGAAGATCAAGGAAGTGTGGATGCTTGAATTGAGCAAGTCAGCCTTATTCACATGTCTTGCACCTCTCCTCTCTCAGGTCGCCAGAACCGTCCGCAACGAGTCAACAGGCAGGCTCACGTGGTAAAGGAGAATCGCTTGAAAGCTTTCTAGCCGAGTAAGACGTCTCCAACTTGGACAGTTCTCGACTACGTTGACAAGGCGCTTCGGTCAATTGAACGTCAATCGAAGTCACATATCATTCTAGCTTCAATGCTTATTGTTTTCAACATACTGCTATGGAATCTTCTATCTATTTCAGGCAAGATAGGCTTTCAAAATCAGTCTCTACAATTTGTTGGAACTCCTTCACGTGTTTCGATTCGGATGTATAGCACTCGTCAGCTTTACTCAGCCGTTGACCATTGAATGCAAAGTTCTCAAGCTGACTCGGAGCTGATAAAAGTCACGAGCCATAACTTTCAGCTTTCCACAGCTGTCGTCTATGGGCCCCACAACGCTATCTTCTTTCTCGCCCCTTTCCATTGCAGTGGCCAGAGTCAGCGGTCGCACCAGCTGGGGGAGTGGCCGGAAGTCAACAGCGCATTGGATCGCGTACCACACTCTTCAGACCCACCCGCGCCCGAAGCTTTGCCATGTGTAAGCGATCCGAGCCCGGTCGAGCCCGATGAGATATGTGACGCATGCGCACGAGCATCAGACCTTGCCGTTTGCCTGGTCGTGGTGTGCTCGCCTTGATTGGCCGACTCTATTATAGTAAAATACAGATGGAATTCGGAGCTGATGTTTGAACACGAAGTGTCGAACGGTCACGTTCAGCAATCTGAGTTTGTCAGATCCTGCCAAGCACATGAGAATGCGTGACGAAATAGTGTTTAGAAACTTTTCTTGTCCAAAGCACGCTGGAACCGGAAGTTGGAAGTATGGCACTCTTCTGGGTGTACATAGACCTTAGAGACGATTATTCATAGTCCTACTTCAGGCTGCCCCTAAGCACAACCAGATTCCTGCAGGCTGATGCGCTGGACCGTGACGTTGGGACGGCTCGTGATGTCTCCTTAAGCGTTCAAAATACTTGATAGCGTATGCTATTTCATCCTGGCCGGCGGCTTGATCCAGCTGCTTATTTTAGATTCATCGACATCTTACCTGTTGACTTACCAGACGATTCAACGGCTGAGCGCCTTGATGTACGTAGACGTCCATCACGAAATCTGAAGTACATGATGGCATGCATTCAAGAATATCCTGTTATGCGTGCGTTTGATGCTAGGCGCTGTTTTGTAAGCCGTAGTGAGCTGGCGCTCATTGAAAAGCATCGAGACTTATATGACGTACTTCCGACCGTGTATGAACTCGACTATCACATGCTATGATGAAACATGCGGAACCGTTCACATGTGCGCGTGTCATACTGCACGATCGTCTTCTGGCTAGCAGCTAGCTTTTGTCACGCCGTGACATTTAGTTGTATATATAACAAAGGTGCATATGTTGTGCTCGATATATTATCCACTAGGGTTTGCGCCTCATAACAACGGGGTTTAGTCAAGCCCGGCCCATGATGGTCAAAACCTAGCCAGGCGGCACATGCATGTGTCTGCACTGTAACCAAGGATGGGTCTTATGATCAGTATAGACTGATTGGTGCCCAGCAATCGACATATTATGAGCGGTCTGTCGCTGCATGTCCATATAGGTGTGCATGCCAGCTGCATACGATGACCGTCAATCGTCTGCCTAGCCGGCTTAGCCGATATGGTTTGTATTGGACTGTACATGAGAGACCCGGCTCGCACACTGCACGTTTTCGCCAAATGAGTAGAGCTTTTTCGAGTTCACTCGAAATGCAAAACTCGAAATGCAAAACTCAGTATATCAAAAGTGCATATATGATGTTCATCCGACTAGACTTTAAGCTTTCCAAAAGTGGATCCAACACCGATATAGATTGAAGGCGTCCGCTATTGCCGTCAAAAAGTTGAGAAACTCTCGGTGTCATGTCGAACACGGCTGGAAGCAGCCGTGACGCTTGTGCAACTGTCTCACCTAAATTTTGACCAAAGGTACACACAAAAGAAGCATGCGGTTGCAAATAGAATCACGTGTAAGAGATGCCCATTCGTGCTAACCTTGAGACTTCTATCTAATCGTTTACCCATTGTTTTCAGCATCGCATTTGCTTTCGCTACGGTGTCTTCCTGCAAGCAAAAGGCAAAAAGAGTCCGTTCTCAGACGGGTGAGACCGGGAAGGAAAGGAGATGCAAGTAAGACATTCTCAGGTGGCCAGCACAAGCTAAGTCATGATCGAGGAATCCGCGCAAACTCAAACCACGAGCACAAGACCTACAGCAGCTTGAAGGCCACGGACACAAAAAAACCGGGGGAGACTCGAGACTTCTTACTTCTTACCAGGTTGTTTATAAGAGCGTTTTGCGTTTTCGTTTCCTCCTCGATCAGGCTCGTGACCTGGCAGAAAGAGAGGGGAAAAACACATCGGTTTCCGATCTTGACCATCTCAGCTGATGCGCGAACGGTGTACATAGAGGGTAAAACGTCAAACAAACACGAAGCTGCCCACATCAAGTGGAGATTGAAAATGTAGAAACTGTATCGGCTGCGTCAAAAAACGTCTGTACAAGACAATCTTATTTGGACCGAACAATCAGGCCCATGATACGGGCGATGTGCACAAGTAACAAACGCCACGTTCGAACAAGAAGTCCGAAACAACAGACAGCGAGAGTGCAGAAACAAAACGATTCCGGTTCTGATTCTCAAAGTCGAAGGACTGCAACTCCTGATGATGCCAGAATCGTTTGTAGTCAGGTCGTTCTTATTTGGAGCCTTTAGCGGGGTGCCATATAACTTGTGGCGCGTACCTGGTTACTTCTCACGACAGCCAAAGTACAATTGCAGACTCTTGTCTTGTTTAAGAAAGGGCTGTGGCCTTCGACATATACTGTTGACGACTGGACGAAACGAATCTCGTGAAAATAAAGTAGTCCGACTCAGCACCGAGCACCATGCAAAATTTACTCGCCGCCTAGCAAAGAAGTTTTCCTTACAACACTTTCTTGGACCCTGCTCAGAGCAGGGTCCCGTAAGAGCCTTGCAGGCAATTCAGCAGGTACTCGAAGGTTTGGGACAAGGAGCGGACTGAAGGCACGCACCTGTTTTAACCGGCCCACCTTCCCCATCAGCCCTTCTATTTCTGTGTCCAAGTCCTGGTCTCTTGGATCTATCCGCAGCTGAATTTGTTCACTGTCACCGCCCAAAAGGCTAGCCCGGTTGTTTAAGCCATCTCTGCAGAACAATGATACGTGCTCAGTAGGTCAAGTAAACCCTGCCAGGGAGACTCACTTCAATAAAGCAGGACAGGAGGGCAATCTCGAAGTGGAACACTGGACTGACCATGCTGAGCCGTCAGGATACCTTTACTGTGACCGTTGAACCACTTAGCTGATCATTCATTTCTCCAGAATCCAGAGAGTTCACATGGAAAAGAAAGTATTTTCATCACTCAGTTGCAAAGCAGGAAGACCCTCAGCCCCCTTTGATGGTGTCAAGTATCTAACAGCACAAGCAGAGACGCTTTAACAAGCCTCCTCTGATGGTGTCAAGTATCTGACAGCAGAAGCTGAGACGCTTTGAACACAAACAAAGTTGTCAGCAAGCCAGGCACTCTACTTGCTGCATGATTAGACAGTCGTGCGCTTCTCTGTCAGAGTTGCACATAGCCGGACAGCCATCGCCCAGTGCAATCTGCCAAGAGGCTGGACAAGATAGTTCAATTAAGCAAACATGTTGGCAAGGCATAATCGTGGACACAGGCCTGCAGCAGATGATTCAAGCCCCTAGTCCAAGCCAAAGAAGACCACTTTCAGACGAGTTCCTCCCTTCATCATGATGCCAGAGTCTACTCTGTGACACCTCTGGAAAGAGCTCTTGATAATTGCATTCTGCAGTCTGCCCTTGCAGCTTCTTGCCCGTGAAATCAAACTATGTTCTAGCACAAACCAAGTATCAGCATGACCTGGACGGGACAGCGAAAATCTCACCTGCTTCTGTTCCCAGGTTTCCAGGACATGGCTCCTCTCCAAACAGTGGTAAACTTGCTTTGGCCCCTTCCAAACAACCTCTTGAAAATAAGACTCTCTTAAACCCACAAGCCGGCATTTCAAAACCTAAAAACGTAGGACTTGAAGGCGTATGGTTGCCTGTTTGAGCCCAGGCCGCTACTCAACGAGCTTTATGATCGTCCGTACTCCTCACCACCGTACAGCTCAGGGGAGGGATTCTCAGAATAGAAAAGCGCTAACCCGGAGCAGGAAGCAGGAAGGTATCTTGCTTGATAGCTTTCTGTCTCAACGCGAAGCGTGAGCTTTTGCTGAAGGCTGCAGCAGTGAAGGAACCTTTTCAGCTTCAAAGTTTGCCCGCATGCACATCTTTATCTAAGGCGATTGCATTATGGAGGGTTAAGGTAGGTTAAGCTCCGTACTGTTGGGGTAAACCCTTCACCCCGATCGGCCGTCTTTAAAACCGGTTCACCAACAGTCTTGTCATGCCGTCGTGTATTGGAAACCGTTATAAAGAGCGGCATCTGAGGCAAATCTGGTTAAAAACAGGACAGACAGGCAACTTGCTGGCGCCCTTTCTGCTGATGTGAATGTGACATCATCATGGCTGAACGGCCCACTTGTGGTGGTTGGCGTCATGACGTTGTGAACGTCTCGCATCTTTCTGCGAGTCTCACGAGAATGGACAGATTCCAAACCAAAAGCTTCCTTTTGTAAAGAGGTACAGGAGTCCGTAGGGAGCGAATGCAACGTGTTAGTCAGCAGCAACAGACGAAGACGAGGATTTCATACTCTCGAGCGCTGACATCAGCTGCGCTGGCCTTGGGACCAGCTTGGAGTGCTGCCGAAAAAGGTGAGGAGAACCTGCGCTGATCAGTCTGCAGCTTATGATGGAGTTGATTCAGCTGAGCAGCTCACAGGTTGCAGGTCAAACGTGAGCTGCTGGTGGGTCATAGGTCGGCATGCATTGCACACACTTCCTTTCAGGTCATTGTGCTTGGCGATTTGATACATACCATACCACATCCCATTTGAGAGCTGCATGCTTCTTTCAAAGCAATCAGGTGATCTCTGTGCAACCTTGAGCAGATGTTCATGGTTTCAGCTCATCCCTTGTGTGAACAGGGAAAGGAAAGGCCCCCTTTTTCAGGACCCTGCTCTTGTCTGAACACTCTCGCTTCCACCAGGCCAGAAGCGTCCACCAAGCGGTGGCACTGAGCACGATTACTCCCCATGGCCACACGGGCGTGTTGCATCACTGGCCACATCAGTGAGGGCACTCCCACAGGGGAGTACATCCAGATTGGGGGAGTGGAAGCTTACGTGGCAAAACCAAAGGAGCCATCAAAGGAGGCCATCGTGATCTCGACGGACGTCTTTGGCCACAGGTTGTCAAATGTGCAGTTGATTGCTGGTAAGAGCCAGACACCGCTGCTGTACTGCCTTTCTTTGGGATCCCTTGACAGCCTGGGATATGCCCTATCAATCAGAGATCGCATTCCTAATTTCCTTGATGTCATGAACAACATGAGTTCCATCAAAAGAAGCTTTCATTCTTATCAGATTGCTCTCGCCCCACACAGATTGATCTTTGTGCATTATTCAACTGCAACTTTCTTTTCTGCTTATCCTACCCACAGTGTGTGGCAGAACAAGGTATGAAGATACTACAATGCTGAAGACTTAGAAGCGTCAACAGGAGTCACACGCACTATCACACAAGAACGAAAGCAGTGCAACTACAGGCCCTATTCCGTGCCTGATCCATGTCTCAATCCTCTGTTCTCATATCGCAGATGCAAGTTCTGAGGACAACCTCCTTATTTCTGGTCATTTTCAAAACGTCTGTAATAAGAGGATCGCCAACTCTGAGCTTGCGATCCTTGTCTGTCAAGACTGAGACCCCAGAAGCTCAACGCCTGATTCCCAAAACTGTCCAGATGCGTTTGCCAAGGACGGCTTCCTCACGGTCGTCCCCGACATGTTCAACGGCGGGGCGCTCCCTCGCTGGATGCTGGACGCTCTGCCAAAGATCAGCGGGATCCCCGGCGACCCGGCGGGGCCCCCCAGTTTGTTCTCCCGTATTACCACCGTCCTGTCCCTGGCGCCCTTTTTGCTGTGGTTCAACATCAGGAATCGCCCCGGAACTAAGGTCCCGCTTTTGGAGGCGGTTATCAAGGAGGTCAAGGAGAAACACGGTGGGTAATCACACCTGCTGCACAAGCTTGTGAAGGTTCTCTTGCAGGCGCTAGTGCCACGTGTCGGGGCAATCGTGTGAAGTCATCAACGAGGCAAAGGCACAGTATAGTCAGCTTCAGTAACTTTGAGAAGGATCTTCGAGTGGTTCTCGAAGTTTTTACTCTGCAATTGCGATTGGAGGGTTGTTGGGCAGGTCGAGGCGACATTGGTGAATCTGTATACTGGGTTCTCTCCGCGGTGTTTTGCTCTTATACCGATCCGATCAGTTCCAAGGATCGGACACAAGATACGCTTGTATTTCGTCAGCGCTGTACGTACTAACCCCCGCCTTTTAATCCCCTGACCTTGATCACTCTGAGGGGCTCACCTTGCGGGCTTTAGAAGGGCTGAAATTTGAGCAGTTTTCACCTCTTCGTTCTGGGGCCAGACACCGCTCTCGAGGTTTAAGCTGTTTGAAAACAGACTCTTACACTGGTCTGTACGAGCATGAGTTGAACCCGTCTGAACGGAGAGTGCTTGGCTCGGCGAAATTCATAGGGTCAAGAAGCTTTTCGTCCAAAGGAGCCAATTTTAAAATCAATCTGACGTATCCAACTGTTCTGCTTTGCATCCGCGGAACTGCTTTCGATCTCTGACGAAGTAAGATATATCCTTGAAAAAATGGTTCTTCGCGGAGATTATGCACGTCTCAAGGTCGGATCGCATTCGGGGTCGCTTCCGACCACCTCCGCTTTCCACCCGTATCCAGACCGCCTGCTTTGCATTCCTACAAAGGTCAGTTCCGCTTTGACAAAATAGACTGCCCTCATCAGAACCATGGTGGTGCTACGATCAATGGGGTGGTGTCAAAGTCCATTCGAGGCCACGGCAGAGACACGTGTCTTTTTTCTCGTGTACAGGGATCACGAAGGTCGGCATGATTGGATACTGCTACGGGGGCACGCCCATTTTCATGATCGCCAAGAAGGAGGGCGTCATCGACACGTTCGTCGTTGCACATTCCCAGGTCTCTGTCCCTGCCGACATCAACACCAACAAGGTACCGGGTTTGATCATCGCAGCCGAGGCGGACTTTGCGTTTTCGGACAAAGCGCGCGAGCAAGCCCAGGAGATCATTGAGAAGGAGAGTCTTGCGGATAGGTTGAGGATCAAATACTTTCCCGGCACGTTTCACGGGTTTGCTGTAAGAGGAGACGACAAGGTAGAGTTGATCAAGAAGGCAAAAGAGGAAGCGTTTCACGATGCATCTCAGTGGTTCAAGGAGCACTTGAAGTAGGCACTGTCACGGTTGTACGGGCTCGCACATGCTTACAATCAGATGGGTCGGTCGGCCTTTTGGTCAGGTGGATAAGGTAGAGCAGAAATGAAGTTGCTCGCGAAGTTGACGCGCAATCATTTGTAAATAGATTGGAGATAAAACAGGCTTGCGGATGTGGAAACTGGAATGACCAGTGCCACGTCCTACGCTGAAGGTGCACGCGGATTGACTAGTATGAAGTACACCTAGATTCCAGAGTCTGCTTTTCATTTTCGACGCAAATGTTTATTGAGCTCTACTCGGAGGATCGAGGCAAACATCCTTACAAAACTTGATGGTCCAAGTTGTATGTGAGCCGTGTTGTGTAGATCATGCCCATCATGCATGAACAATCAAATCTACTTCATCAAAGCCGCAACTCAATAATTAGTCGCGAGACGTAAAAAAAGTCGCATTTTGACTTAGCCAAGTCGGCCGGCCAATGTGTTGCAATCTGTTAATTGTAGCCATGCAAGACGCGTCACGTGAATAAAACTTGAGAAAGGAGCTTCATATTAGCTCGAGCCTAACCATTTGTGTAAATGCCACGCGAAAAACACGGTTGCTAGTCTCTACAGTAGCTTAGTCCATGTGGTACGTACATGCAGCTAGAGATCCGATGATGGTTTTTGATGGCGATCATGAGGTAGCTGATGCATCGCCACCCAGCTGATAGCAAAGTTCGACGGGCCGGCTAGCTGTCTGAATGATGCCATGCGCTGTGGTGGAACGCGCATGTGCTAAATTGAAGCCAACTCACTCTCAATGATCATTTCGTAACACCTGCCACTTAAGCAAAAGCTGGCCCGAAGCACCTCTTAGTTGGTCGATGCAACTCATTTACAATAAGTTGTGGTTTGGAACCGGCTCGAAGAAGTTGCGGCATCAATTGCACAATCGGCCTTTCGAACGAGTCACGTTGCTGGACATTCCTACCGTGCCCCATCTGAGCAGATACACCGGCCCGGCGGCCGCTAAGGCATGCATCATGGAGTTCGTTTGTCCCAAATGAACTCCATCATTTGGTCCGCTGATATTTCGAAATAGCTGTGCATTGTATACTTTGATTCATTCTCAGCACAGCCAAAACAAATACAGAAGTGTATGCCACATGTAGAGACAAACTCGCCAACGCGGGTGGCTAAGGTTGCAGAGTTGACAAGGAAGAAACTTCCAATCTGATAACTGAGACTTTCAAGCTTCGAAGACGGCGGCTGTGGAGTCTTTGCAGGTCTACATTTTACAAAGTGTCCAGAGTCATCACTGTGCGCAGAGATTGACTTCAGGGCCAGATCTGTCAGCAATCGATCTTCTCAAGCTGGAACACCACTTCTGGAAACTCCCTCTGCAATACAAAGAAGCTGTTCATGGACTCTATCAGGCCGTCCGTTTCCGCTTTGTTATCTGAATCTAAAGAGGTAAAGACCTCAATTGTAACCAGTTTGAGGAGTGGACAGCTCGGAAGAAGGTCTTCCAGACTCTCCGCGGCTTCCAGGAGGTTGAAAATCTCGAGTCTGCTGATTCGAAGATCTCGGAGATACGTCAACCGAGGTCTTTGCTCTACCAGCTCACTTTGGGGCAGCCATGCTGTCTCGATTTGGAGTGACTCCAGAACAGGGTTTGACGTCGCCAGCTGCTGGAAGATAGTTGCCAGATCTGTCGGTCCTTGCAGCCACTGATCTACTTTGAGAATTCTCAAGTTGGGGCAGCGTCTTAGCAGAAGGATTGTTTGCTCCCAGGAAACGTTTCTCAGCTCGACAACTGTCAGTGAAACAAAGTCCCGCTCGACGAGTAGGCTAGGTCTATCTTCCAGGTTATGGCGAAACCAGAAATCCTTCTCGTAGAAGATTGATAGGTGCTGCAAATTTGGTGTCGATCTAAAGGTGATGCTTAACGGCTCTGCACGAGAAGCTAAGCGGAGGTTCAGGACCTCCAGAGGCCCGAAATCCAAGCATAGCTCTCCTTCCATTCCTCCGGCTAAGAAGAGTTCCTTCAGAAGGGGACACACTCCAGGCAAGCTACACGTCTTCAGCACCTCCAGAAACTCACTTCCAAAGCAATTATGAAGCTTCAACTCTTGCAGGTTGCTAGGAACCGAAAACTTTCCCCAGCATCTTCGAGAGCGGACAATTCTCCGAGTGCTCAGTTGTAGCCGGTTCAGGTTGCCACAAGCAGATAAAGAGTCTAACATCAGATCAGTGAAAGTGAGCTCATCGTCGTCATAATCTACGCTAAACCCGGGCCCAATCTTGATGGCATGCGGGTCCTGAAAGGAGAATGATTCGAGACTGTCCTTCAAAGACTTGATCCATTTACTTGGAAAGAATCTGGATGGATGAATGCTGTGTCCTAAGTTCCTGCACTTCTTACACGTGCGGCCTTCAATCTTGAGTTGCAGTGCTTTGATCTGAGAATGCACGAGGAAGCGAGCATACGCTTTGGTTGGTTCGCAATCCTCACTGCTTGCGCAAGTCATGCAGTCAATATCCATCTTCGCATCAGTAACTCCTCTGACTGCCTCTCGGAATGCTTTGCCTATTGTCGCAATCTGCAGCAGCTCCTTGAGGTTGAAACGGGCCTTTGTCAAGATCAGAGTGAGAACTTCCGATGGGAGACATTGTATAGGAGACGGTTTCGAAGTTTCTCCGCGCTTCTTCCTTGTTCTTCTGGTCTTCGCCATCTCCCCCGCTAGATTCACAAGCTCTTCAACTCTAGCGATCGCTGGACTAAGAACGTGAAAGGACTTCTGTTTTATGTTGCAAATTTTTTGTAGCGCCAAGCCATCTTCTTTTTGTTTGTCTCTCAAAGCCTCGAAGGGAATCCGACGGTATCGAAGACCGCGGCCGACCGCGGCCGCGACTCCGTTGCCTTCAAAACCCTTTCAGAACCTCTCTAAGACGTCAGATTATCAGATCACACCGCACGCGGCCGCGCGGCAGCACGAGAATTGATATGAGACTAGTACTTCGACCTGCATACCACAGGTCTCTGCACGGATGATGACGATGATGACGACAAAATCGTCACAAAATCGTCACATCTTGGCCTCTGTCGCGGCGCGGCGCGTGGCTGAGCTCATCTTCTCAAAGCCTGCTGAGAGAGTCTGGGTGAACAAACTTTCTCTTTCGCAACTCACGCTCTCAAGATGGAGGCTCTTCAAGCGCATCTTTTCGACCATCTGTTGGGTTTCCTTACACCGGACTCAGCTTGCAAGCTGACAGCGGTTTCGAAAACGCTCAACGGACTGGTGAAAAAAAGCTTTGTCTGGAAAGACTGGTGCGAGCTTGCATGCCCCTCTCTGAAGACGTCTCCAGCACGAGACCTGGTCTGCAGATTCTATGGTGCAAGCACAGAAAAGTTTGCCGGCACTACTTACAAGGACCTGTTTGTGAAGCTGGCGCCAAAAAGGTGCCTTTGGCTGGGGAAGCAAGCATGGAGCTCAACGCTGAGCTGCGCATGGCCATGGGTATGCGTTTGGCCATGTGTTTCAATTCCACTGTGGCTGAAGACGAAGCAACTTTCGGATTACGTCATGCTGATGGATGTGTATGTCAAGGGAGAGGGATACTTATCTTGTTCGGCGGATTGCAGCGAGCTGGACTCAAAGTTCCAAGGCGACCGAAGAAAAGCTGTTTAGTTATGCAGTAAAAATGGTCGATAGAAACCCTCACGAGAAGCACTTCGACGAAACGGTCCCGGAGCGGTTCAAGCTGCGTCAGCATGACGTTGTGGCCCTCTCCTGGAAGCTGATGCGCAAGGCGGATGGAAAGGTGCAGATCCTGCTGGACGGGGAGCCCGTGACCATGAAAGACCAAGGCGTCGACCCGATGCTCATGGTTTCGAGCACTCAGGAGGAAGGGCTGCCATACCATCTGCGCGGCGAAGCTTCCACAAATGTGAAGGACGCGTCTGGTAGGGCCTTGCGGTACTCCGATAACTCTCGTGTCACCTAAAAGCCATGTGACCTAAGATGGGCACCCGGGGGACGGGTGGGGTTGGTATGGTGGTTGGGGTGCGGAGCGGGTGATTATCTAGGTTAGGTTTGTTTTTGTTTGAAGTACCCGGGTAGCTCGTAGCTTAGGTCACACGCCCGTTAGGTCACACGAGAGTTACCGGTATCCTTGCGGTTCGTCCATGCGGTGATGCGCTTGAGTTGTTATTACAGGAATCCAAACACCGGTGCAGTGGCTGGAGACTCGCTCGAGCGTGTGGCGACATTACTATCTTGGGATCCGCCGTGCGGCGAGGTGCAAGGTTTTGCTGTGGAAGTCGGGCTCGCTGTGGCCCACGAGACAGTCTCCCCTCATTATGACGCCGTCAAGTACCCGGTGAGTATGAGGACCTCGATTTCTACCTCTAATGCGTGCTTCGCAGATGGGTCTGATCGACAAGGCACCTTTGAGGACCCGAGATTGGCACAGGGAAAAGGCTATTCCATGACAAGAGGAGGCAATTGAAAGCCCTTTACAAGGTTGGTGAGACAACGACGTGCACCCTGCTGCCAATACATACTGTCTGATAACGTTAAGTGGGTCGCTTGTAGGAACGTTGACTGGTTTTAATATTAGAGAGGCCTCTAAGCTTCCGGCGTGTTTCAAGTCTGTAGTTTGGCGAGGGATTGCATCCTGCGCAACTTCATTGTAAGGTTTCCCGACGTTCAATCTCGTCCCAATCAGTCACAAATCTTCTTCTCCGACCGCGGGATCGGAGAACCGCGTCTAGTTGGATCTCTCAATTCCGTAACTTGTGACTCCACCATATGAAGATCTATACGCAGTGCCTATAGGCGGCAATGGTGACAACAATTAGAAGCTCATTTATGCCAATTCTTAATCTATACGCAATAATCGCGAAGCATTAGGCATATAGTCGAGAGGCATCCGCCCAACATCAAGGAATCTTGCGTCTTATTTTACAATTATGGGAGCATGAGACAGCATTTTATATGAATGAAATGGATGCTCGAATCCAATGAACCTAACGCATGCATCTTATTGCAAAACGTCGATCGACAGAAACCGACGGCTACTTTCTGAAACATCATGGCCGGCCACATCAAAGACCTGGCAACCACAATGTTGGCGCCCGCTCGTACAGTCGGACATGTCTGACGTCATTCCCACTTGCTGTGGACGCAAAGCAAACTCCTGAATTCGGATAGTAGGACAGGCAAAGTCATCAGACGACTGTCGATATCTCGGCTGGACATTCCACTTTTGATAAAGCGCAGATAAGACAGCCTGCTGTAGCAAAGCACTGCAGTCTCGAGCTCTGTGCAAGAGGCACGGCCAGTGGTCGCTCATCATCAATATTCTGATCTGCGCAAGCCTTAGGCGGGCGGTCTCTCTTGTTGCTTACAGGACCCGATAAGGTCCAGCAACGCCTCGTGGGCCTCCCTTGTAATCGAGTTCATGCGCAGGTGGAAGTTCTGCACTAGTCAAAAGAGATGTGCGATTGATATCTTATCTGTGAAGAGTCTTTTAAATTGAAGACCAACATCGACGAGCCGTCAAAGTGGTGAATGAGTTCAATGACCCCTCTAACTTGAAAAATTGCAGGACTGAATGGTTCGACTCAGGAGGCGCTGAGGGGAGATGCTTCCTATGGACAGATCCTGGCTACTTGTAATCACGAGCTTGCCGGAGACGTGCACGTCAAGAGCACTGCCGGAGGGAAGATGCGCATTGCAGAACTTTTAGACCGAAAGGCCTATTGTCTTGGTCCCGAAAAGTATTGCGTCGACCTGATGGAGTCAGACGGCACATAGCAAAAGGAACGTTGAATCTGCATAGCTTCAAATCGTCGAAGGATGACACGGCCGGGCCGCTAGACTTTACTTGCTGCACTCGTCTACAAGGGCGTTTCCCCAAGCTTGGAGCCGAAACCTTCGATGAACGTAAAACAGCGCTTTCCACAACCGATTGAAACAGAAACGGAGCGGGTCTCACCATGAATCGTTCGAGAACAGGCACCAGAGACGATGCGTCGCCTTCTGGCAGGCTCTCCGCGACTGTCGTCCTCGCCCTTAAACTGCACGTGCCACAAGAAGCCGTCTCTAATCACAACTTCGATAAGCAGCAGGGACAACAAGGCGGATTCGACACGTTCGGCTTTCTAAGTCACCACACACCCCTGAACTATCCCAACAGTCGCAGGGAGTAACCGGGTACTAGTTGTGAAGGCCTCTCGTTCCCAAATCGTGACCAGGCACGGACGGAGGGTTGATGTCATGATTTGTCATTATCCGGACGCCAGCCTTATGGTCTCAGCTTGGATTTGCTTTCAAGCGCCAAAACAGCTCAGACTTGTGCTTCCTGTCGCTCATACTTGTGCTTCCTCTTGTGCAACCAGGAAATAGGAAGTGGCCGCTTGCCGAAGAGCTCGGGCGAATGTTCCTCAGCGAGTTTATTGTTGAGAACGATTGGCAGCCGACTAGGCGGAGAGTCGCACTTCAGGGAGGTTCTAAGTATCTCTTTTGCGAGCAGCGCAAGGAGCAGCGCCGCAAATACTTCCAGGTAAAGGTCCGAGGGGGCTTTCAACGCCCATGTGAGTTCAGTCCTGGAGAGCCCCGGCAGCCCTCCGTCAACTGTAAACGAATGATCAGACCACAAATCCGCAAAAATAGTTAAACCCGCCGAAAAGACCCAAACAACACCAGAAACAGACTGAAAAGAGCTCGAAAACGAAATCTCAGAAAGACTTTAAGGATACCTTTTAAATTCGCGAAAAGTAACTTACTCATCCTTTGCGAGCAGCGCGAGGAGCAGCGCCGCATACGCTTCCACGATCATGTCCTCCGCCTCGCGCTGCCCCTCGAGCAGGCGCGTCTCGTCATCCATCTGCAGGAGCGGAACCGGAACGATAAGGCAACGGAACCCTTGGTTTTTGGTAACCATGCCAAGTGGCCTGCGGGTCGAAGAAGTGCTAGCTAAGCAACGAAGGAAACAGAAGCTATGGGACGGAATAACTTTTGAAAGGTTCTTTGCGTCAACACAGTGCTTTCCCGGTCTTGGACGTCCTTCAGTTAATGCAAAACCTGGCAGCTCGAGGATTCGGCGTTGCGAACTGATTTCAGTATGGATGAGTCCGTGCACTCTGCTTAGCAGCGTCGCGGCAAAATAATCACCCTAGCCGTAGCGTGAACCGCATCTAATTCCTGGTACACTCTTACAAATACCTGACGCGCATTCTACATCACAAACCGGCACAGATCTGGAACGCTGTCCAGCGCCCTCTCTAAGCTTTTAGACCATGCTAACCAAAACCTTTTACGAACGTGTGAATATCGTACCTCAAAAGCAGCCATTTGGTTCTCCACCGACTCCGCCTTGGCGCCCGCGCCCTTCTTGCTCAAAAACAGCGCGCACAGGAACGTGACCATCCCCGCCCCCTCTAGAGGTTCCCCAGCCTGCCCCCTTCCCCGGGGGAACTCTAGAGCCGCCAGCGCGGCCCGGTTTTTCCGGTCTTTCTCCACCAGATTGATCAGCAGCGCCAGCACAACCGTCACCAGGTCCAGGTCTTCGGACGGCCCCTCCCCAATCGCTACGATCTCTCGCCCCGCCCCGTTCCCGCTGCCCATGCTGACGTCATCATGTTTGCTGACGTCATCAACCGAAGCATTTAATTTCGCCGCCCCCTGCGTGGCCCGCCCATTCCGCGGGGCCGTGCTGCTGACGTCACCCCCCTCCGGGGTCGTGTTGGGAAGCGCCGCACCAATCAGAGCCGCCTCGGAACCCCCCTCGAACCTCAACTCCGGCGCCAGCTGTCGGTCAGCATCCCCCGCGTTCCCCTTTCCGTTCTTTCGGGCCCCCGTCTTGAGGTTTCTCCCCTGTACCTTTTCCTCACCAGACGCCAAGGTTTCCAAACTACCTCCGGTAGAGTCTCCGTTTGCAACCGAAGCGCGATGTCCGGTCCTAAGGGGCGGGCAGCGAGAGACCAGAAGAGACGCGACTGAATGCAGGCCTCCCGCCGCCGCGATCTGCCGGCATCCGTCCGCGTTGTCGTTCGTCAGGTTCATGAGCACCTGCAAAAGCAGAGAGCGTTAAGAAACAATTCAATCGCACCATGCGGAGGCGATGCATGCGTGATGAAAGGCTGAGGTCTGGGCCATGTGACAGACGTGTGTGAGTTTCCAGAGCAGAATTATCATGCTTTTGTTGATAGCACATAATCTCGCAGAAACAGCGGAGATGACATCGATTGACAGCGACCGGCGATGCTCCAACAGAAGGCACGCTGGAAGTATTCCAAAGAAACCTGCCCCGGACAGACATAATTGAACAAGCCGATGGTAAGTGCGAACATATCTGCAGGAAATGCATATCAGGAAAAGCAAAACCCTCACCTTTACCGAGGTCACGAGGCACTCCGTCACCAGCCCTTTGTCCAGTGCTTGGCGCAGGTCTCGCCTTGGGCCCTTTACTTTCTCTTTCATCTCAACCAGATCCGGTTCGTCATTTGCGTCGAAACCCCTAGATGCGTTCAAACCCTTCCGTTCCCGCTTCTCTGCAATCGGGTTAAATGAAAACGCCGCCCTCGCTGCCGTCTTTTCTCGAAGGGCAGGCTCTTCCTTCGCTCGCGTTCCGGCGGACGCTTCGTTCCGGACTCCTCTAGAGTTCTTCCGCTCTAGGGCTGGGTTAGCCTTGACCTCCTCCCTAACCCGGGCTAACCTGCGTCCGGAACTGCTCGCTCTCCTAAGGGGCTCTGCTGCTTGGCTCGAGGGGGCTGCCTTTTCGTCAACTTCGTCGAAGTCGAATGCGGGTTTTCCGATCGTCTCTTGCTTGACTTTCAAATCTCCAGCTCTTCGGTGCTTTTCCAACCCCGCACCTAAAGCAGGAACGTCATCATCTTCCGTAATCTCAAAGTCAAACGCACCCAGAGGCTCGCTCTTAAGCGAAGCCGCTTTCGCTCCCAGCTTCCTTTTGCCGTTCCAAGACGACCTCCTGTCCAGCTTCTCATTCTCCCCTTTGTCCTGGCTACTTTGCAGATTTAGACTTTCCCCTCGACTCAGAGCATCTAGGCCGGCCTTCCTTTTCGCGCTTGTCTCCGCAAACTTCCGCTTCTCCCGTAACTGCCCGCTGTTTTGACTCGATAGCTGCTGCGAGCCCTCAGTCTCCTCGTCAACGAATTCGAACGGGTCTGAGATTTGCGACGCCGTGTCCCCCTTCGATCTAGTTCCACCATTCCCTTGCGAACCCCCACCTCCATTCCCCATCTCTTCAACTCCCCCGTTGTCCACTTTCCGCTTCTTTCTGCTGAAAGTCCGCACAATCGGCGGCCGGTTCTCTTCAGTATCGCTCCTCCGGTTGCTGACGTCCCTCGACGTTTCCATGACGTCACCCGAACCTACCGCAGACTCGACCCCGCTCTCTCGCACAATGTCCATCGCCTCCATTTCCTCAGACTTTCGGACGCCCGAACCCACCCTCGCAATCCTCCCAGACGCTCTTCGCGTTATACTCCGCTCTTCCGCCACGTGTCTGCTCTCCGCACCTGCCACGCGTTCGCCCCCTGAGCTCTCCCCTTTCTCTCCTTGCCCCGAAACGCCTGGCTCCGCATCCTTTCTCTCCTTTTCGGACGCATTCTCTTCATCGCTGTCTGGAATCACCTCGTCTTCTCGGAATGTCCTGCTCCCCCCCCGCTTCACTTTCGCTGCGCTTTGCCACTTCCCCAGCGGCTTGGCTGCCCCTGCCTCGGCCTCCCTCTTCGGCTCCCCAGTTTTAGCCCCGTCTCTTTTGCTGTCCGTTCTCAAACTCGCTCCTGCGCTCCCCACCAGCTTCGATTCCTTGATATTCTGCTCACTGCCCAGCGTTTCCTTCTTCATTCCTTTGACTCCGCTCCCTGAACGCTCTGTATTCCCCTCAGCTTTTCCCTTCAGTTCCGTAACTTCGCTTCTCTTCCCTAATATCTTGCTTCCCCCCAACTTTCTGGCTTCCCCCCCCAACCCTAGCGCCTCGATGCACCCCAGCACAACGTCCACGCACGTGTCCGCCCCTCCTTCCCTTCCCCCGTTTTCGTCTTGTATCTCACCCCCCCGTTCCGAAATCCTAAGCTGCAACAGATGCTGCTGATTCTCTTCACTCACGTACGTCACGTGCTCCAGCACCCGCAGGCACCGGAGCAGCATGGCCGCCGGCCTCCCGCTGACGTCATCGTTCCCGCGGGTGACGTCACTGGAGCCGCCGCTGACGTCATCGTGCAGGGCGGCCTGGCAGGCGGCCGCCAGGTGGCAGATGGTGGCGAGGCCGCCCTGCTCACGCAGGCGGTCCTTGAAGCGGTTGGCGCTCTTGGCGCCGCCGATGCTCGCCTCTGCGGTAAGAAGCGTTTAAAACTAGGATTATCAGTTCAGTGAAGGAGCTTTCAGACCTGATATTCCCCTTACATCCAGGAATCTTCAATTTAGCATTAGTAAGCTTTAGCAATAGTAAACTAACCAGCCTGGGATGGGTAGGGTTAGTCTGGTGGTTAAGGTGGGTTCGGGTGCGGAGCGGGTAATTTTGTGGGTTAGGTTTTTAGTGTTAGTGCGGGAGCTTACTATTGCTCGAGCTTACTATTGCTAAATTGAAGAGACATCTTACATCCCCGATCCCGAGTTAGTGAAGGGAGATAGTACACTGGTGAGCAGAATCGTGTGTACCAGTTTGAGGACAAAAACAACAAGAAGAAGAGCCACCTTTCACAAAGGCGGTACTACATATTGTCGACTTCTGAAAACCGGTCAGGAATCTCAACGCAGTGAGGGGACAAGCGGCGTTTGAATTTCGACCAGACTCGCTTTCAAGTTTACTTTCAGAAGAATACAACAGGATGCGCTTTTCAGATGGTCAAATAAACCCTTTGCGTCGACGGCTAACCTCGCTTCAAGGCCTCAGCGCCCTTGATCAGAAGCAGTTTGGGTCGCGCATTCTTTGCATCCTTCCTGCTACATCAACCATAACGCCAAATGACTTCATACCTTGTTGCAGCTGCGCTGCCGCCATGCTTGCTTGCTCCAGCGCCAGTAGCCCCAGCCACGCAGGCGACACCTCTCCCCCCCCAATCAGGCCCACATCTGCAGCCCCCCCAGATCGGAACAACTCCTGCACTCTCCGCGCCTGCTCAACCGCCACTTTGTCCCCTTTACCCCCGTCCCCGCCCCCGCTCTCCCCCTCGAGAAACCCGAGGACGAGCCGGATGACGTCATCCGAGTCGAGCAGGCTGCGGTGTGCCAGGTCATCGACCGCGAGGAAGTAGACGATGGCCGCGGAAGCGAGCCGGAGGAGGCCCGCGGAGGGGGGTAGGGTTGTGATCGCAGTTAGCAGCGGTTTGCCTAACCCGTGCGCTTGGAGCACCCGGCGGCGGGCGGACGTGGAGAGGAGCTGTGAGAGGGCGACCAACGAGGCGCGGAGGACGCGGGGGGAGCTGCGGGGGGTGAGGCCCTCGAGGGCGAACTTGGCCTCGTCGACGGACTCTTGCATCTCGCCAGACTCCTGTTGGAGGGGGCAGAGAACAAGGAACCGTGTTAAAAACACCATTTGACCAGAGAGCAAGATGGTAACGAAATCTCGCATGCAACAGTGAACCTTCTAAACTTTGGAAGCTCCTTCAAGGAGAAGAAGACAGATGGAGGGCACAAGGTAGCTGGACTATCCATTTTGGTACCATCAGACTATGCGGCTCGGTATGGGATCGCTGCATCTTCCTTCAGAAGAGGCAGCGACCAGAGCTTTACAGCAGCGAGTGATGCAATCAAATCGGCCCACTCAGAAGATACGGCTTACAAGCAAGTTGGAATAGCGAGTTGATCTTCAAAGGAAAAGCCAGAGTTGCCTCCTCATCAGCTCAATACGACTTGTTCTTGCAAGCTCTGACACTTTGGTGGAATTCTGGCCGGATGCACTGGCTCAACATGAGGATCTAGAAAGCTTGCCTTTGCTGTCTGATAGATGCCACTCTTGTCCAAGTATTCTCTCCTCCTTCAGCAAGCAATCAGCTGGTCGTACCTGATGTTCCATGAGTGACGATGACTGCAGGGCTGTGGAGAAGTGTCTCACACCCCTCCCAAAGCTACCGGCCAAGAGGGGGCTCTTGGTAAGGCCGCCTTTCAGGCCCTGTTCAGCCAACTGGTCGCCTCCAAGAAGAGAGGATTCTGAACCTGGGCCGGCAGTCCCTCCATGCTTATCTGCAAAAATCAAGAGCTGTCGTGAGGCAGCTGAACCAAAAGCCGGCCTTCTCTGAGCGGAATCTGTGACCATGAATGACTGTTTCAGAAGGAAGCACAATGCGGAGCAAATATTGCGGCAGAGCTTGCAAACGGCCGTCTATACGCAGTAGGGGCCGTCTGGTTTTAAAGAAGAAAAGCAGAATAAGGAGAAAGTCTGGGCTGACTGCTGCTAGGAAAGTGGAGACTGAGGAATACAGAGTCCTACACTGAAAATATGGAAACCAAGAATAAGGGCAAAAACGGAGTGCAGTCAAGTAGCCCTTAGAGTTGAACATAATTGATGCCGGGGGGCAATAAACCGCTGGTTGCAGATCCTTCAAGCGGCCGTACAAGAAGGTTGAAAACAAGACTCTAATGAGAAAGTTGATTAAGCCTACAGCAAAAAGACCATGTCTCCGAAAGAGTTCCCTAAACTCACGAGGGGGTTTCTTTGCTGGGGACCCCCCTTGACTGCCTCGCCTGGTAAGCGCTGAATCTTGTCTCTCAAGAGGAGCGCCCTGTCCAAACGCATCCTCTTCCTCATCATCCTCAAACGCAAATAAGTCAAGGCGGCTGCTCAAAGAGCCAAGCCTGTTAACAGGTGGCTGCTGGCTTGTTCTAATTGGATCAGAGAAGTTGAGGGCTGCATTTCCTTCTTGGGATGAAAGCTGTGAGTGGTAAGACCCGATGAGGTCCTGGGAGTCGGATTCAAAGGGTGAGAAGGCGTCTGGCTGGCTGTTGCTGCCGCCCTTGTTCCTGCGCTGATAAGTGCGGATCATTTTGTGCGTGCGTTGTGGACTTTTTGTGAGCGTCGTCAATCTGCTTTCAGGTATTGATTCTCGCTGTGTCAGGCCCTTACTTTGCTATAACCTGATTGAGCTGAATTCTAACTCCTGGACAAGCTCACTTCATTCACAGCACGTCTTCTTGAGGACGGAGAATTACATTCATGCGCCAGGTCTGAATCATCTCAGAACTTGGTAGAATCCGGACAATCTTCGTTGGGCAAAACAATCAATTTTGACAAACAAAGATTGAGCTCTGCGCGTGTCAAGAATCAGCAGAAGTGCCTGCAACTACGATGGTGCCTACAACTCATGCTGCCACTCTATATCTTGATAAAAAGTTTTCCCCAAGCCCATTTGTTCACTTTGCTCCTGATTGATCAAAGCCATCAAGAAACACTTAACTCACAATCCTGGCAATGCAGCACGCGAGCTGCCATAAGTTGGAAGATGAAAAGCACTTGGATTCTGCTCTTGGATACCAAGTACCACCATGTGAATTATCTCTAGGCTCTAGCTACCATGTTTCTGAAGCGCCTGAGCTGCACATCACCAATGTTCAACTTCAAGTTCAGGAGTAAAATACTGTCAATCGGAGAATTCAGATGTCTACAACGATCACTGCAAGCTGCCATTTTGAAAACGTCTTCGTATATTAGAAGTGTAAGTTTCCATGGCATCGGCGTCGAATACTTTGCAAGTCACATGAGGCTACGCAGGTCTCGACACAGCGCTTTAGATCACAGTCTTTCGGCTCATTGCTTGCTCCGCTTATTCAGCTTCCGTTGCGATTTTAGCAGGGTTCCCGAACTGTGGATTCTGGAATCTCTTAAATTGCAAGTTTTGGCTCTTCTTCCTCCACTTGGAACTCAAGAAAATGGAAGGCATAGGTCGGGTTCTTCTCCTGAGCTAGGAGTGGTGGCGACATGCATTTTGGTCTTGAACCCTCCGTCTAGGTAGCAAAACGTCCTCACAGGGGGTCCCGATCCTTAATCTCAAAATGGAAACCCAGTTACACTTTCCCTATGGGCGATTGCGCCAACTTTCATTTCCTGGTTCCCTCTTGCAAGGCAGAGAGAGCTCAGGATGCAGTCACCAATCATTTATGTCTTTCAAAAGTCAAGTTCTGGTTGCTGGTGCAGCCTCTGATATGTTGCGAAAGCCTGCAACAAAAGTGCGACGAAGGCATGATGGGGGTAAAACCAGTGCACGAGTGCAAGCAGCTTCTCTCACTTGCTCGGGACCTGCAGCCACAAGAAAAAGCGGTTGTTATGACTCAGGAGAGCAGAGAGAGGGGAGTCTACAGAAAGGTTTGAAGGATCACGCAGCAAAAGGAGCTCAGCTGGACCACCCTGAACGTGAAAACGATATGAGACCTTGTTGTAGTCTGTATGACACGGAACTCAACAGTGCTCTTAACTCAAATAGAAGTATGGTTGCTGCAGGGGATAAAATAGCAAACACCCTGCCAATCGAAGAGGTGAATAGCAAACGAAGCATAGACAGGCAGCTCAGAGCATCAAGTTCCCCGTGCGCTTGCAGTGAAAAGGGAACGGAGGGCGAAGATCCGTTGAAAAGCCACATGGGGGCTCCATTAGAAGAGAACTCAGTAGAATCTCCGTCTACCAGCAACTCCTCAGAACCTAGTTCAGCACAGATGTCGCGATCCATGTTAAACCCCACGGCTGTCGCCACTGTCCCTCCAGTTTTGAGGCCACCTAGTCAGCCTCCATCCAACAGGTCTCTAAACCAGCACGCTGCCACTTTAGAGGACACGCAGATGGTGACTGTGTTTTCACAAAAACGGGAGCTGTTGAGCAGTCTATCTCAGGAGTCTTTAGCCCAACATGCAAAGCTTGCTGTACCAAAGCACTTAGCTGTCATCATGGATGGAAATTCACGATGGGCGAAGACGAAGGGGTTGCCGACAGCATTTGGTCACGAAAAGGGGGTGGACTCGCTGCTCAATCTGGTGAAGATGTGCGTTCGATGGGGGGTGGTCGCGCTGACCGTGTATGCCTTCTCTACAGAGAACTGGCTCCGACCGAAGGTGAGTGGCTATTCACCCTTAATCTGTTGCACTTCAGTTGGAAGCCGTGATTCATGGGGTATTGCTATTTGTCTAAGGATGTCACCGTTAGCATAATGTCTGAGAAAGCTGTTATGATTCTCAAGTTGACAGCTTGTCTAAATGCTATAGATTCCTGTAACTTGCTTACTTTGAGTCTAGGCGCCTGCCAGATCAGGCTGGCCTACCCCTGTGAGTAGCTTGACCTCCAGTTTGCCGTTTGCAATTGCCTTCCGAGCTTTTGAAAGCAATTTTGCTAGTCCTGCTGCGTAGGCAGCGGAGGCGTGTCACTTGGCTCTTAACGAAGCTGTGTGACGTCAGTTGCTCTCTTTCCTGCCTCGTTCACTACTTTTCCGCACATCGTTGCTGTCCTAACCAGGATTCTTAGTCTTGGTAAAATTTTCTCCAGCAAACTCTTACCTGAGATGCCAAACACTTTCGAACGTGCCTCTTGACAGAGATGTTTGCGGGTTGCAGGGAGAGGTGGACATGCTGATGGGGCTTTTTGAGCGCGTCCTTCAACAAAATCTGGCTGCCCTAGAACGGTAAGACCCTTCCACCTCAAGCCTAGTTACTGGCAGGACCTCAGGATGTTGAACGCTACTCGAAGCTATTCGGCTTGCTGGTCTTCATTTGTGCTCCTCTTGTGGCAACGTAGGAGTCACCCTCGTAAGGCACGTCAGCATTTGGGAAACACTGGGAACTTGTTGAAGCCAACTGTTGCATTTGAAGGTCGAGAAAGCCGCTTTTTCTCTTGCTTTATCTATTCTGGTGGTATCGCACCAAGAAACCCCTTCTGCATTTCAGCCATTCTGTCTGCTGCTTAGGTTGGAGGCGGGTTCCTTTGACTGGAAGGTTTAGTACCAGGTTCATGCTGTGTGGTCGCTCTTGGTCTGAGTTGGTGCGCGCATCTATGCATTGGACGCTATCTACTGGGAACATTTTGGCCAACTCAGGATCCGACCTTCTGCTGGCTTCTCAGGAAAACCAATTGTCTGCGAACCGTCACATTCCTGTTATTCGAAGGTGCAACAATACTCGTGCCTTGGACGATAACTTTTGGGAAATTGTCGGCCATTTCACCATCCGACTTTCCGCTGTGTTCCAGGGAAAACATCTGCCTGAGGGTCGTTGGAGAGATTCACCGCCTGCCCCCCTCCCTGCAAAGAGCGGTCGCAGAAGCGCACGAACGGACAGCCGGGAACACTGCCCTTCTTTTCACAATTGGGGTCAGCTACAGTGGCCGGCAGGTGAGTCTGGCGATTAAGAGCATTCAGACTGTTGTATCTCCTCTAGTTTCGAGGAAGAACCCCGGCTGTTCTATCCACAGCTCCCCCTCGACTTATTTACCCTGCCCTTGGCGTTCTAGATAGCCGATTTGGTCAACCATCAACAGTAGAAGCGGTCGAGAAAGAGCTTTGTGTCGCGACCTGAAGATTGAATCTCGTTCGACCTCCTTTCTCCGGGACGGACTACGAGACATGCGTCTGCAAGTACCACACAAAGAGACGCTTGGCACATCTTCCGAGCGCCGCTTTGACTTATTTTAGATGCACATTAGCTGGTCGAGGTGACCGTTGCGAAGTCCCTCGAATGAACGGCTCGGTTGACTTGAGTGGAGACTGTTCTCTAGTATCAATGGTAGACATTTTTGAGTATGTTTTTAGACGCAGGGTCGACTCACGGGACAAGCTTGGGTGTGTTTTCAGACGCAGGGTCGAATCAGGAGTTAACGGACTCCTTCCGGATCCACAAGCACGTATTGACTCTACCAGAATACTTTGCCTTGCAGGACCTTGTTCAAGCCTGTCAAGCTCTGGCACGCAAAGTCAGCGAAGGCGGGCTGGACCCGTCCGAGATCACCGAGGCGTCCATAAGCGCGCAACTAGGTATGGCGACGGAAAACTCAGGTTGGCGAGGGGAACCGGTCGGGGATCCGGACCTCTTGCTTCGGACAAGCGGCGAACAGAGGCTGAGCAACTTCCTGCTGTGGCAGCTTGCGTACACGGAGCTGTTCTTCATGGACACTCTGTGGCCGGACTTCGGGGAGGCGGACTTTGTGAAGGCGCTCGAACATTATAGTCGAAGAGAACGCCGCTTTGGTGGCAGGCGGTAGAGAAGTCTCCATTGCAACCTATTGTAGTCAGTGTACGCGGCACTGTACTACGTTGGGAGAGATTGGAGCCCGAGTCAGAATTGTGGGACGGCCTAGGCGGCCTGATCACGTGAATGGTTGCCGTCGATGTTTCACAGCCGGAGGTTGAGGAATTGTGCACATGCGAAATGACGGCGTATAAGGTTCCTTTCATGATGCCTTTCGGATACATATATATGCGTTTGCTGGATGAGGAGTATACAATACAGCGCGCAGCTGCCCCGTGGGCAAGCTAGACATGGCATTTCTCATCATTGCCTATGAGTCCGCTCTCATGCAATCGCACGCTCCGCAAGCCTTGGAGTGAATCAATACTTTGCCCATTGAACCCCCATACAAGAGACACATGTGTCTTGACACATACGCGCGGGCCATATAGAAGCTCGACCTATTATAATTTATATACGTACAGAAGAAGTCAAGAGCTAGCTAGTAGCTGCGCCCCAGGCTGAGCTAGCTAGATCTACACTTGGTGCAAGATCGGCTGGGCCTCATGTTGTAACCAGGTCCGGTGCACCGGACATGCCTTCAGTGCACGTGCCAGGACACGAATATTTTCATTTGAGGATCTTGATTTGCATCGCAAAACCAGTGATACAGAAGTACACGCTGCCAGTGGGCACTATACTGCATTTTATTGTAAGATCCATGCCAGAGCGTAATCCCTGCACACATGATTTTTTATAAATTCAGGATGCAAAAAAATAAGATAGGGGCTGCAATCGGCATAGGTGGCACTTGGGTCCGAGCAAGAGAGTTTCACGCTAGCTTCAAGACAGAGTGCTTGCTTTGAATTGCGTCCCTACATGCCATTCATCACATCTTTTGACAGGGGTGAGCCCACGTGCATGGCAGCCAATCTGCTTTCAACCTAGTCACCTGGAGGATACTCGACTATCTACGGACGGATCCTCTACCTCGTTCACGTACAGGAGCCCTCAGCAGTCTCGGTATGACGGTACAAGGCGCAAGCCTCTCCACGCCTGAATACAAAGTAAGCGTAAAAGTTAAGCACAACCGTCAACGTTTGTTGAAGGAACCAGAAAGAAGAACGAAGATTGGTTGGAAGAAAGGAAGGATAGAACATGTCGACGCAGCACCACTACCATGCAAAATGATGCGCAAGGTACAGCTTGATTACAAAGAAATGCCGCGTCTCTACAACAGCGCCATGCAAGAAGCAACAGTATAAGCGCAGACCAGGATCTTTGGAGCAAGGACCTGTGTTTCTAATGGGCAACGGAGCGCTTGACTTCGTCAGAAGAGGAGAAACAAACGGTTTCGCTGATTGACTTGAATAGTTCTGGTCAGCATGTGGCTTACTCCGAGACGCGGTGTTGAAGCCTTGCAATAAGAACGGGGGGAAGAAGAACTCCCCTCTTCGGCTTAAGGCTAGAATGATGTCCGTAACGGCCAGCATGTTGACACACCGCGGCCTGGAAAAGAAAGTTCTTGGCTTGAAGATAAGAGGGACTGCAGCAGGGACTGAAAGATAGAAGAAAGACGGAGCTTCAATGGGGCGCTAATGGGGGCTAACAAAAAAAGAACTCATATCCAGGGACGCTAGGCGTTCCTCTAAGCCAGCCTATGTGTAAAGCGAAAGTAACTGATGCCACAGGGCCATTGGTCCCGCGCCTAACTTGCTGCTGAATTGGTCCTAAATGGAGGTTCGCTTGCAACAAGGAGGAGGTGACAATTTGCAGGCTGCCCCCCTTTTGCACTTGTTTGCGCACTGACGAGCAAGAACAAGCACTTCCTCAGGAGAACAGCCGCTTCTTGACTTGCACATCATCTTTTCAGGCCTCTTGAAATGACACAAGACTCCCTTGCTGAATCGCAAAGCTTCAAACATAGTCTGCACCACCTTCAAGAAACACATACTGCGATCAGAAGCCTTGTAGAAGCGGGCCTACTTTAATAGCCTGTGAATCATACAATTTTCTAAAGCAGATACTCAAGTCCGCATAAGCAGATACTCAAGTCTGCATAACAAAGCACAAGAGAGATGTCTGTCGTATATAGACGGTGACGCAGCCTCTCAAAGAAGTACCTAGTGCCTTGAGAAATTAAACTTCTTGAAGATGACGCGACAAGGGATTTACGAGTCTTGTTAAGCACTGATAGGCTGACTGAAATAATGAGCTCCAAGCAGCTGACTGGGTATAGACCTCTGGCTTTACCTCATTGCGAACCTGTCCCCAGAACCTTTTAACGAGCCCGAGCACTTACCTGGGCACGATTTGAATGCACCTAGCCAATGCCTCCTCTCTCCTTCTGCCTTTTGAACAAGTTGCGCAGCTCTTATGCTTCCAAGAAGGCTCACTGCAGGCCCCTCAGGACAGTTAACTAGCCCACTGGCCCCTCCGGACAAAGTCTCTTAGGAGCAGAGTATCGGGCACTCCTGCATTGCTTACAGAAACCTGTGAAACCGTCAATGGAACCCCGAGACCTGTTAAACTCCGCCACCTTCTTGGTTCTGCCACAGCCGCAACAGAACTTCTCTTCCCGGGAGAAGCTGGCGGTCGCTGCCATTTTTGCCTGATACTTTGAGGTGGCCTTTACAGTGCAGAGCTTGCAGAACGATGCGAGACCGGTGCACCTCTGCTTATTTGGATAAAACGCACTCGCAGCTTTCACCTGACCACAAGAGCTGCATTTCTGAGGAACATCCACTGGCGCAAAGGCGAGGCGTGCAGCCCTTATCTCGCTAAAGCAGGCTCGGCAATATATCTCAAACCCGTCACCCTTTCTAGTGTTCCGGGTATAGTCACGAATCTCCTTAACATGACTACACCTTAAGCATGCCTTCCCCTTATCCCAGGCCGCGTCTCCGCTAAGTGACAAGTGATGGAGAGGCTTTCCTGTACGCGCCGCCCGATGGGCAGCCAAGCAAGCCCTGCAAGCTTCGGTCCGCTTGTCAGCGGTGGTCACCGTCGTTTCAAAGTCGACCACAAATTTGGATCGCTTGCACATGGTGCATTTCTTAAGAGGAGCTTCCAAACTCCCAGACCCGGTGTCAAATCCTATGGCGCTGGACGAGGGGTCCTTCCCAGCATTATGAGCTACTGTCCCCGTCTGCTCTGGCTGGTTCGAATTGTCAAACAAAACAGGCCTGACGACATGCTCCCGCACATTTGGAAGGTTTCTTCTGCGGCAGATCACGTGAGCGGGCCGCTCAGGCAGGACTGGCAAGAAAGTGCTGAGAGTTGGGAAGGGAACAGAGTGGAGCAGGGCTTGTCCACCTACCGCGTCCCTTGCCCTGACACGACCATTGCAGCACTCCGCCAGCCAAGCTCTGTTTTCGCCTAAGAGGCACGATGTTGAATCAGGAGCGACCCCTATGGACTTGGGGCAGATCCCAGATGAATGAGCCGTGCAGAGCAGAGAGGAAAAGAGGGTCGCCATCCTTGGCAACGAGTAAGCTATCCAATGCCAATGGCTTGATGTACCTACGTAGGTGAGAAAGAGCACCTGCGAAGAGAGTAGGAGGCAGCCATTGCCTAGCATTTAAATTTAAATTTAGGTTCAGCAACGCAGCATTGTCTGTTCGAAGGCTGCCGTCGAAGGGACTCCAAAAGCTTTGCTGACGGGCAGTATGCCGGTTTTTGAATTTTAACCACGTCGTTGTACAGTCAATATATATAAATTCTGATGCCGTTTCTGGCTGAGCTAACCCGGGGGGTGCCGGCCATTCCGATGACGTACAGGAGTATTTTCGATGTTTAAAACGTGAACCTCGATCGGTGTCGATCAGATTCAGGAACCTTGGCTGTCTCGATCCGAGTCCTTGCTTGGACATTCAGAAGGTTCAGAAAGACAAGCAAGCCACAAGCAACTCTAGACAGTCAGTACGCACGTTTTGGGCCTCTTGACACAACGGGTCTTTTGACCGACCGCCGGGCGAATGTGTCAAAGCAAAAGTTCGGAAACGCGGCGACGCCCTCACTCAAATCTCGTGCAAAAGTCGCTGGCGAAGTTTAGGGGCCGACTTTGCGGTTGGCAGAGAGCAATAAATGCGACCTCCATCGGATGGTCCGGAGGGTCGAAGTTGGGGGCTGCCCCCATCGATGGACGGTTCCGAACTTTTGTTGCCGGCACCACGAGCGTGCGCACTGACTGTAGAGACTGTGAAGGAAAGGGGAGCCTGACCCAGAGGGCGCAAGCACCCAGGCAAAATAATTGAGCTCCAGTCGCGAGCAGACCATAGGGGCTCCACCGCGGGGGCGTCCACAAAATTTTGCAGGCGTCTTATATGGTCCTTTAGCAACATTTGGCACCGGTTTTTGGGTCCGCCCGGCCGGTGGAGCCTCTGGTGTCATTTGAAGAGTGGACCCATGTCTGCTTCTACCAGCTAAAACCCCTTCTTTTTGGCTGTTGAGAAACATGGTCAGCTAGCACCAGAATTTGGCGGAAACCTTTTCAGAGCATCAGTAAACATATTGGAGCACTTTCGAACTTGTGGGCACCTGAGAATGCAAGGACCCGTCCACTTACAATTCTGCTCGCACGAGGATTTTGCCTGGTGCTTGCGCCCTCTGGCCTGACCAACTAGTGGAAGCCTTTATTCTGATCAAGACCAAGGATCGCTTGAGCTGTACAGTTCGTAGATTGATTGGCAGTGGACAATCCGCGTATTTCTATGTACAGGGGATCAGCTTCCGGATCAGCATTGCTTTGATTGAAGTGGCACCAGCTTGGCGGCACCACTACCCTGGCCATCATATCTCCAGATAACGGGTCAGATATTTCCGACCCGGACAAGTTGCCCTAGGGACCTCCTGAAGCTTCAGATTACTCAGATCTGTCAGCTCCCAGTTCTTCCAGTCAATACAACTTGGGAGGAATCACTCCAGTGTAAGGCGATCACCAGTACGGCTGTTGTCATTCTAGTATCCTATGGCCAGCACGACACACACTCCAGGTTCTGGGGAGGATTCTGAACCTGCAGCACAAGATGGTGCCCCTAAGTCTTCCATTAGTACTGCGAATGGCAGCGTAGCTGGAAGCCGCCAAACTACGCAGGTAAACCACCCTTTCTTGTATCATAAGAGGCAGTCTTTGATGTTCTTGTCCGTGAATGTTGCCTTTTTACAAATCCATAGAGATGGACTGCCTGTGCTGATGGTACACTCCTGCGTACATTACAGTAACATCTCTATATATGATGAGTCTTGTCGATGGAGATGGCCATTGCTGGACAAGTCTGATCGGCAAGGACTTTTTCTTTTTCTTGGAACTTCTGCTTCGAAGCCAGGCTCCTTGTGAAGATCCAATGACGGGCACGAACTGTCGCCCTCGATAAGATTAGCCCTCATACCTTAACACTCAGAAGAGGTTCTATCTTGCATCTCCCAGGATCTGGTCGCTTAGAGAATGATCCTGACCACTATTCTTTCCATTCACAATAGGCCACCACTATGCATTGTTTGACCATACCACCCTCTCCTTTCGATCTCCCACAACTTGCAGAAGTGCACCTCTCTGTTTCTCCAGACCCTCTCCTACCCCTCTTTTAACACAGACTCTGGTTATAAGCAAACCCGTTCCGCCCATGCACTCCCGCAGGTAGCCGACCGCTTCTCCTCTTTCGGCCAAACCATCTTCACCGAGATCAGCGCCCTCGCAGCGCAACACAAAGCCGTCAATCTGGGCCAAGGCTTCCCCGACTTCGACGGCGCCGACTTCGTCAAAGAGGCGGCCATCCAGGCCATACGAGATGGGAAGTCCCAATACGCTTTAATGACGGGGGTGCCCGATCTTGCGACAGAAATCGCGGACGTGTTTGAGAGGGACACGGGAATTGAAGTTGATGCCAAAAAGGAAGTGACGGTGACTGCGGGGTGCACGGAAGCGATTGCGAGCGCCTTCCTGGGACTTTGCAACCCAGGGGACGAGGTTGTGGTCTTTGAGCCGGCATGTGAGTGCAGACTGCCCCTTTGCCTTTTCTCATCTTCAAGCTCCAGCTTCGCTTTACTAATGTGGAATTTCGGGGCACAGGACTTGATGTACTCGGAGCCAGCGTGCCAGGGTGGAGGTTTTTGTTCCCCAACCGTCTTCTTCCGCAAACCTCGTGCTTTCCTCACCTTTCGCCGTCAGCATCGTCGTTGCGGTTTTACAAGTTCGGATAAGCATTGTGAAACTCAGAAGGGGAAGTTTGAATTCATGCCGCACTCGATTTGTATGACTGATTCTGGTGCATTCATAAGAGTTCGATCTACTGGTCGAAATGAACCGGCATTGGAGATCTCTTACGTCGACTTGGTTCTCCACGCTTTCCAGTACTTTCGCGGCTACACATACAGAGGCAGATATGTTTCTCACAAAGGCAGAGGAGGGCGCGGCCAAGTCCTGCGATAGGCCGGCTTATGAAATAGAGAAAAGGTACCCCATCATAATTCTTTCGGACGTCAGGACTCGCTGACCATTGGTTTCTCAAACGAGCGCTGGTTAGACCACCACTGGGTTCGTAAGTCGACTGCCTTTTCTGGCTACTTCCAGCTAGGTAGCGCGAGTGTGTCATAGGAGCAGAGAAGGAAGGAGGACAAGAAACCCGGCAATCTATGGGGACTGCTCCGAGTTCCTGCCACAAAAAAGCTGCTCCATTGGCGGCTGCTTTCAGAAATGAAGGCCGGAAGGAGAGCAAAACTTCGCAGCAAACTCCCTGGAAACCCCTTTGGCTATACTCTCTCAGATCGACGGCACCGACTTTGAATTCCCTCCTAAAAATCTCAATCGCAGGGAGTGATAGCTAGTGGGTGTCACTGGCATCCGTTGAGGAAGTTCATGTTCTCCCTCCATCCATCACATCAGGCACTCGAAAGACGAAAGAATAGAGATAAAGGATACAACTAACAGAAGGGGGGGGACGTCAAAATCAATGATAACAATAACAAAAAAAAACAAAAGCAATCAGAGACCGGGGGCTCTTTTTGCAGACGACTCGTACAAGGCGGCGATGGCGATGGCGGGCGCGATGGTCAAGCCGGTCGTGCTGCGGCCCCCCGACTTCTCCTTCTCGCGGGACGAGCTAAGCGCGGCTTTCTCCAGCAAGACGCGGGTGATCCTGATCAACACGCCGCACAACCCGACGGGGCGGGTGTTCACGGAGAGGTGCGTTGCAGCCCACCCTCTTTGATTCAATACTCATTTTCTTCCGACGTTTCCTGACGTCTTCTCGTAATGCGTCCCTCTCCCTCAAAAGACACCTTGTCCTTGGAGAAGTCAAAGTACATCATTTGTGCAGATCGAAGCTGATACTTTGTCGAGGCTGGTCCTTTGTCAAAGCTGGTTCTTCGTCGAAGCTGGTTCTTTGTCGAAGCTGGTTTTTTCCCTCTAACTTCTTGGCTTCAACTTTTCCGCCTTGTTTGATTTCGCCCTGACATACCGACGCTGACGTCATAGCCCGTTCACCATCCGCTTTCCTGCTTCTTGCACCCTTGCGCGGCAATGCGCTCACGTCACGCCCAACACCAGCGAGATCGAAACAACTTCCTAGATGTCTTGTTTCGTTTCTGGAAACTTTGACTTCCGCTTTCTAGCCGACAGAGACTTGATTACATGCAAAGGGCTTCCACGATTGCAAGTGTATCGTCCTCGTTTCTTACTCCTGATGTCGCGTCTGACAAGACATTGATGTTATGTTGTAGTAACGCCAACGTCACTTCTCTCAGCGAGCTCCAGTTCATCGCCGACCTCGCGGCCCGCCACGACGCCCTCGTCTTCTCCGACGAGGTCTACCACCGCCTGCTCTACAACGGCGCCTGCCACGTGTCAATCGCCCAGCTGCCTGGGATGTACGATCGGACGGTCACGCTCAACTCGCTCGGGAAAACGTTCTCGCTGACGGGGTGGAAGGTTGGCTGGGCGATCGCCCCCCCGCCGCTGTCGCACGCCATCCGCATGGCGCACCAGTTTGTGACGTTCTCGGTCGCGACGCCGCTGCAGCACGGGGCCGCCGCGGCGTTACGGGCGCCCCCCCAATTTTACGAACAGGTGGGGGGTTCTCATAACGTTTTAGTTTCTTTCACCGTACCCTCGTTTGTGCTCGCTTTGTGTGGTCGTCCGGTAGTTCGTCGGCGTCCTTTGTTGTCGTGCCCTTCGAATAGCTTGTCCAGTTCGTGCTTTCCCGCTTTTTCCTGTCTGAGTTGCTCAACTCTAGTACCTTCCGCAAATCATTTTTGAAATATGTCGTATGGGGCCGACTGAGGCTTCAGCAGATTAAACGAACCGACAAGAAGACGCAAGTTCAGTTGGCAGAGCAAGTTGTCGCACCCGTTGCCGAGCTCAGACTTCTGTCGAACTGACAGCAACTCATTCCCGTCGTCATCTCCTGGGTGCGTCAATACTGGCGTAAACATGGCAATCTTGGACAGGGCGCAAGCGGCTAAGCAGTGCACACGGACACTTACTTGCTCAAACTTTTGATTGCTCTTCAAGAGCGAGTTCGACCGCGCAGGATACAAGCAACGCGCTTGAGGAATGCATGAGTTGATTGTGGTTGTTACATTGCATCACTGTAACGCGACTCCTGTGTTCTGCTCCTTCTGTATCCTGTTCCGACCTATGAGCAACTTCTCAACCTCAGCGGAATGTGCATAGCGCTTTTGAGTGGTTGGAGGAGTAAAGCAGAGTCTCTTCACTCCGCAGGTCCGGGCGGACTATACGCGGCGAAGAGACATCCTGCTGGAAGGCCTACGAGACGTGAGTGAATGGACAACACTGAGTACCCCCATATTATCTTTAACCTCGCCTAGATACCGGCAAAGCCAGGAGTACTGTTTGCGTTACCTCTGGCAAGATCTTGCTAACTTCCGCAAGCCTTCCCGTCGATCCGATTGGATGCTATCTCTTAGGCCTAAGAGACGTGAGGAAGGGACGACCCCGAGTAATTTGAATTCATCTTTAATACCTCTCCTACTTCTCGGCAAGCAAAGAGTACTGTCTGCGTGACCTTCTGTCCAATTCTTTACAATCTCTGAAAGCCTTCCTGTCGACTCAATTGGATGCTATCTCTTAGGCCTAAGAGAGGTGAGGAAGGGAGGACACCGAGTAGTCTGATTTACTCTTTAAAACCCCTCCTAGTTTTCGGCAAAGCTGAGAGTACTGTTTGCGTGACCTTCCGTCCGGATTTGTCAATCTTTGCAAGCCTTCCAGTCGACTCGATCAGATTCTTTTTCTTTCAAACGAGTCGCCATCCGCGCGAGTTCCGGTCGCTCTCGTGACTTTCACCACGTAACATTGCCTTATATTGCTCTTTCCGTCAAACTGCAGATAGCTTTGCATATGAGGTTGAAGACAGGGTATGCCAATGTCCATTATTGTCGAAGCGATTCGTTTCAAGCTAATTAGCTAGTCAAGAACCTCATGAGACCGGGCAGAAAACGGTTTGGTGGCTTGTTGGTGCCTCATAATCCCCGACTGGCAACCCCAGACCAGTATCGCAGAAGGCGGATAATCTCACAAACCCCGCTCTGAAAAGTGCCAATCAGTCGTTTAGTCAGTCGAAAGCGACCGGTGCCCCGCTGGAGACTGTCAACAGCGCCAGCGTTGCCACTCTCTCAGTATTGGGCTTCGCCTGACCCGCTGTATCAGATGTGATACGAGTGTGATAGAAAGGCCTCTTTGATTGCCCAGCGTTAGACTTTCAATTGTTATTCCCCGACACTCTGCTTGCAGGTTGGATTCAACGTGTTTGAGCCGCAGGGATCGTTCTTTGTGATGGCCGACTTCACGCCATTCGGCTTCGACGATGACGTGGCATTCAGCAAGCACCTGATCGAGAAAGTGGGCGTTGCCGCTATTCCCCCTAGCGGCTTCTACTCGTGAGCACCCTCTTGCGCAGGTTTTCCCCCCTCACGATTGCCAAGGAAGTTTATGAAAGGGCTTTTCAGCAAGCACCTTATTCGGCATCCTCTCAAGGCATCCAGTTTTTGACCGCCCAATAGCTTCACTCTCTCAAGTGCAACTCCAACCATCACAGGTTTGCGACCTGGTTGTCGTGGCCTTTGCATTTCAGTTAGCCCTGAGTTGTATGTCATGACCTCTTCCCGGAAGGACGTGCAGCACTCGGTTGCTGTAAAAGAACTGGGCTTGTCCTGTACAATAGACTCGAAAGCAGAATCGGAACAAGCCTTCAAAACGGCTCCGGCGAGTCTCCGCTATCCGGATGGTTGATTGAGTGCGCTGATTGATTCTCTTTCTGGTTGCAGGAATCCAGCGGAGGGCAAACACCTGATACGCTTTGCTTTCTGCAAGACCGACGCCGTGTTGCTGGAGGCAGTTCGGCGGCTCAAGCAACATCTAAAGCTGCAAGAACCCTGTGACAGAAAGGCTGTTTCGTAGCGATTTTCTAGAGAGTCCGTCGTCTGAGTCGCTGCAATCTCCTTCACGTAGATTTTATTGCTCTGTTCCGCTTTTAAATGCACATGTGAATTGCCAATCGCTTCACCGAATGATACAGTAGAGTGTCACTGTCCCCCTGTGGCGGCCGCGTCTGAGTAATGCATGTGGTGCCACCGTTATCACTACCGTCTTGTCTTTTATTTTTGCATCAGATTCTGTGCGCCGGGCGGCGTGATTGGTGAATAAGTACATGATTGTCAGGCAGCTACATATTCCAAGAAGATGCTGTCCAAGTTCCGATCCTGGTTTGAATCCTGTGCGCGGATGGCCCGTCATGCAGCTAGCCCGGAACAATGCTCTATCTTTATCAAACTTTATTACGACTTGCCAAAATACGTTGTCAATGTGCAGACTTGCATTCCTATAGTATTGTGTTGAAGAATTTTATTTTGCCAACTGCAATTTTAAAAGCGCGTGCTAAGCCAGCTTGAGGCTTACTTGTAAAAGACACCCATGTTGACCGGACTCGACTTAAGCAGGGCGAATTTGATCGTCGATTCCCCTGGATCTTTCGGAATTGCAAATTTATGCATTATAATACTCGAATCAGGTTTTGCTTATGGTATTATCAAAGTGTCCAATCAACCTAGAGGGCCGTATAAATGGACGGTCTATGATCACTCGAATGACCCAACACTGCACGTACGAACGACTCGCCGAACATAGCTTGAAAGCGTTCACGCGTTCACGTTGAGCCAGCAAATTCTCGAATTTACGGCATGACAAACACTCCAATGAGCGGCAAGATATGACCGTCTGTCATGGAACATCCAGCTCACACTAGAAGTCGATTGGGCAGTCCCATGTAAGCGGGTGATGAAGTATTGGGGCAGGTGCAGTATAGGTAGCCGCATAGGCAGTCGGACTGGACTCTGGTCGTTCATTACGCACAACCTAGAATCAAGGTCTGCCTACTTGACCCCAACCCCTTTGCGTGAGGCCCAGCGCATGCGACAGCATCTTACCCGCAACAAGGGGCAAACCTTTCCGCTTCACTGTTGACTCTACCTTCTCCGCTGCTTCATCCCTTTCAAGACGCGACGCGTGCGTATCTCTGCATTCGAATTCTTGGGACTCACCGGCATCACTGTTTCTTGTCGAGCTTTCTTCTCTTTTACTTGGACAAACATTGGAGACATCTCGACCATTTTCAACGTCACCTACATCCTTCTGAATAGAAGCACGAAAAGACTCTCGACACGGCCTCTCTCCTGCACTTGTCTCGTCCTTCGGCAGCTCCCCCGTTCGGACACTTCTCTCCGTCCGAACCCGCTGACCAACCTGTCCCCTTGGAAGTGCCATCCGAAACATGCGGGCGCCCGCCCCCTGCCCGGGACTCTTTCCCGCCCTCCTTTGAACGCTATCCACCGCCAAACTCGTGGTTGGCTCCGGTAACCCTGTGTGCGAAGGCGTCTTTGCAGACGCGCCATCTTCGTCGAAATTTTGAACCGCGTTTCTCACCGGGCTGTCCCCTGTCTCCCCATTCTTCGCTTCCTCAATTTGTCCGTTCGAAACCTCTCCCCTTCCTACTTCGTTGGGACTTGACGGTTTCCCGGACTGGCTCCCGTCGCGCGCCTTCGTCGCTCTTTTTCGACCCCCTCCCCGGTACGACTTCCGCTCCGCCTCCAGCGTTTTCCCGCCGCTCTCTTTGCTCAGTACCATTTTCCCGTCACCTCTAGTTACCGTTTCCTCATGCGCACTTTCCAAGCCCCGCTGTTGCAGCCCGTCGTCACAATCCTTACGTTCCTTTCCCTCACAGTCCGTACCGCCCTTTTCCACTCCTCGTCGCGCGTCCGAAAGGCGGACGGCGTTTTCCGCACCGCCACGTCTTTCTACCATTTCCCCGAGACTGGCCTGTCCCGGTACCGCTTTCAGAACCCTCGCTCCGCCGCGACCTTCATTTTCCCCATCCCTAGTTACCCCCGTCTGCGGTCCTTTCTCGATGCAATCGCTCCCTCCCGTTTTCTCGCCCTTTCTAAAGTTCCCCTCCGTCTGCGAGTCATTTCTACTACTCGTTACTCCTAGCTGACCGTTCTCATCATTCCGAGCCCCATTTTGCCCCGTCCGCAAGTTCTCCCCACCCCTTGTTCCCCCGGTCGCCACCCCGAGCGCGCGCCCGATCAGCCGCTGCGCCACGACCGGCACGCGGCGCTCCCTCTCGGTCGTCCGCTCGTAGTCTTCGGACGGTCCGCCAATCCCGTCCGAATAATCGCGGGCAAAAATGCGCGCGCGCGCCTCCTCGTACGCTTGCTGACGCTCGGAGAGAGTGGGGAGCGGGTCGGGCGGCGTCTTTGGGGGCGGAGTGCCGTCAGCCGGGTCGGCTGCAAGTTGACACGTGTCGAACGGTCAGAAAGGCGGAGGCAGAACTAGATCGACGAGGAGATCTTATGAGCGACCTCGTTCGGAGGCTGAGCTGTCCAAAGCATTGCCGGCGGATTGGCCGGTGGCTCCACCGCGTCAATCCTCATTCTCTGATATCTGAGTTGAGGCAGCACCACTTTCAAGCGGTTTCTCAGCTCCATACACTACTTCGCTCCTTCTTTCTAGCTCTCCTTGCCTTGTATAAGCTAGAGATTCCTTGGTGAAATTATCTTAGAGAAACTTCTTGAGAAACTTTCTTAAAGAAATTTTATTATGCTTTCCCCTTACCGAGGAGATCCGAAGTGGTGAGCCCATCTCGTTGTTGGCTTTCCGTCATACCCAGGGTTCCATGTTGAAAGAACGAGCGATTCAGCGCACTCTGCTCCAAACAATTGAATACGAGAGCATTGTCAGGGGTAACCTCTCCAGAAAGCCAAATGTTTCTACCTGCTTCGTTCAGGCACAGTGCGGCGACCTGGGCGCAGGTTTCCACCTTCAAGACTCATCTGGAACACTGCTGAGAAAACAATTTCAACCTCCCTTCTTCGTGTCTAAAAAGGTCGACGAAAGCTTACTCTTGGGCCCGGACAGGGACCCTAAGCTACGGAAACCCACATAAACCTGCTGTAAGTTTAGCCGCAATGTAAGAACCAAACTCGGTGGTCAGGCCAGATGAAAACGGAAGACCAATTCTCAAAAGCCTCAAAACGACGCTGGAATGGAACGGTATCTCATCACCTGACAAGCGTCGAAGTATCTGGGGCGCTGCCGAGGGCAGAGACGGACCGTCCGCAACGCTCAGGACGTCCAACAGGAGCAACGGAGGGCTGCAAAGAAACCCACGCAGACCTCCACGTCATCATTTTGCGCGCCGTGTGCCAGGTTCTCGGACGTGGAACGGACCAATGATGATGCGATATGCACGAGAAGCCAGATTTGAGAGAAGGCGAAACACGTTGATTCGTACTGGCAATACCGTTCGCACAAGTCCGATAGACATAAAACAATGCCTAAAGAGGACTTGCTCCCAGGATGTCGAGATGAGGGCAATTTTAGTAGTCGTTTTGGGACTCAATATCAAAAAGCGACATGATGGAGTAGGGAAAGTCACGATCGAGAAGCGAGCTTTTCAGATACGGAATCGAACGGTCACCATCTTCCGCATGTTCTGGAGCAGCGGGAGTCTAATCGCTACCTACTGACATACTGACTGTGCCGCTACTGCTTGTCGAAACAGCCCGAACAACGGCCCCCGACTCTTCAGTGCAACAGTCAGCGTATCGGAGCATGCTCTGAATTCAACAAGATGCAGGCACTTACACTTCCGAGTCTTCGTTTCGCTGGAGAACGATGTGTCTGTCCTCGCCTTCTCCAAACGACACGTGGGTCACCCTGCGCGGAGCAAAAGTAGGCCATGCTTTCTGGCCGCAGAAGACGTCGATCTGATCTGTAATTTGCAAGATATGTGGCAAGCCTGACAAGAGCAGCTTCCAATGAAGAAGGGAACAGCAACACAAACCTTCAGTGAAGCGGTCAAACCCGATTCTTCTGAGACAGAACCGAACTGAATGCACGGACCTGGATCCTTCTTCAATCATACAAAATGTCCAGAAGCGAATGCACGAACCTGGATCCTACTTCAATCGAACAAAATGTTCAGAACCCAACATAAAGCGAGACTAGATTCAGCCCACTGTCTTCTAATGATATGTTGGAGTTCTCAGCCCCGAAAGCTCTCAATGGTGCCTACTCGAGATCAAACCTTTCAGAGGCTGCTCTCATCAACGACAGGATAGAAATCAACTTACTCGAAAGAGAAGCGTGTTCAAGTATAAGGGTCTTGATAGTTCCTCATGATGATCAAAAGGCGAGTGGATCTCATCCAAACGGGCAGGAAAGGAGAACGATCGGAGCCCTCACCCAAAAGCCTCCACCAAGCGGTGGACCAACATACGAAAGTAGGGGCTGGCAGGGGGCAAGTGGAGCACCGGACTTCTGACAAACAGAAAACAGAGTGAGGATTGATTTTCAAGGTTCTCAAGGTTTTAGGGCAAAACTTTAGGATTTTAGGGTGCCTCAATCAAGGCTGTCCTGACCATGAGCAGGTGAAGCATCAAAATGAGGGGAGTACATGAAGATGCACGTTGATCTGCAGGAAGCGTTGGGTCTCCGTATAGGAAAGACAATCCTCTAGCCCGCTCAGTAATCACCCTCTCAAAATCGTAGTGCCTTTACACCTCTGCCCACATTTCAACCCTGAAGTCTAGATAGTATCCAGATCCGAGCTTCAAGAGATGGACAACAAAAGCTCACTAGTGATTTGCAGCGAAAAGGAGGGGCCTGGGAGCTCACTCTGGCGGAAGGTCCATCCACGCCACCAGCATGTCTTCTACCTCCAACAGCTGCAGGCGAACGGCAGCGTTGTGTTGAACCAAATGTGCCAGCTCCGACATCTGCAGAGTCATGGGGTAAGACTGCTGTTTGAAAGGATACTGCTGTACTGTGTTCCATGATTGGAGGACATGGAAATCCACAAAGCCCCCATATCTGATGTTGGTTAAGTGCCTGGCAATCAGCTGTCTCTATGAGATTCTATAGAAGCAGAACTTTCAGAAGCTAGAAACTGTAGCAGCGGTGAATTCCACTTGCCAGTCAGGGGCGACGCTCAGGTCTACTTGGCTTTCGCGTAGCAAAGCTTGCATACTGCCTACTTGAGGCCTGTTCTTGGATGAGGGCATCAAAGCTGACGCTTGGTCATTCTGGCAGTGCCTCCTTGAAAGCGCAGGCAGCTTGTAAGAGATCACGCGGTGGTCCTTCGCTAAAATTCTTGAACTACTCTGAGCTGCAGGTGAGCTACGCAATCAATCTCCTCCATCATTTCTGTGGCAATGAGGCAAAACCATCTTGCTTGCTTCAAGCTAAGAGCACGATCTTAATGCACATAGGAACATGACAACCTTTTGGGGAATGGAATAAGCACGTGACATCAAGGCTGACTGATTGTGGTGACCCTCTGCATTTTCTTTCAGTAAGCTGCGTCGCAGGCCCAACTGGGGCCCAACCTTACCTCCTCCCAAGCGTGCTCTTCATCTTTTGCAACAACCGCAGCCATCTTTGGAAGGGTGTGTTAATGCCCCCAAGCTGGCCACAGTACCACTGGTCCAGGCAGCAGCTCAAGCAAGCCAGAACATTCGGTTCTGGACATGGAAGACGCCGAAACTTGACTGCAAGCCCAGACAAAACTTGCCACGGTTCATCAAACACTGATGCTTCTGGTATGCTTCGTGAATCGTTCCTGTATAATCAGTATTACGCAATGCCCTTCAGGGAAGAACTTTGACAGCGCCAATGCCACGCTGCCTCAGGCAGTCCAGCACGTGCGTTCAGCAGAAGAGACTTGAGAGAACGGAAATTGATCAGCATTCGAAGCTGGGTGTTGCGCACAACTGCTGGCCTAGCTTCTGTGCATGGCTTGGGATGAAGTTCAAGGGAATAAAACGGAGAAAATTGACTTCTTTCGTCTCAAGAAGTCGTCGAAGCGGTCAAAACTGCTGAAACAACCGTCAGTTCTGGCTGTCAGCGCTTTTTTACCTGGAACAGTTCCGCGATGTAGACCTGTCCGGAAGCGCCGGCAAGCAAAAAGGGGGGCCATTATCCTATTCGAACACATCGCTTCGACGGCGGTGAGCAGAAAATCGAATCTTCCCTCAAGGAACAGCTTTCTCATTTCCATTCAATTCCATTGTTCCGTTCTGCCCGCTTCCCTTCCGTCTTGAAAGTTTCAGAGTGTCTTCTAACTTGAAGGGAATGCATGGGGCTCCATCATCATGTCCTTACTAGGTATCAGCTCGTTATACGGCATCAGGGAGGGCTGCAGCTATCGCTCTTCCTCTCCTTGATACTGAATGCAGGCAGCGACGTTCTTTCGAGCTCTGCCCCTCTTGGGGTCCTCAGCAAGTAGAGTATGCATCCTCCAAGCGGCAACAAACATCGTTCCAAGGGTAGCAACCAGTGCGGTTTGTCAAGCAACTTCCGGCGCTCATGTAAGTTCTCAGCAGGCTTGCGAGGGGGGCCTTGGCCGCTTCAAGCTGCAAAAGCTGCCAATGCTGACTGGCATTTTACTGGCTCTTCAATTGTCTGCAAAAGACGAAGCAATCAATCAGCTCCGGTCAGCCTCATCTATCAGCAACAGGAAATTCAGTCAGACCAAGGACAGTGTCCCAAAGGCAGCGGAACAACCTGGGCCTGCTGTTGGACCTGGCCCAAGTAAACAGTGCACCACATGCCACCGTCAAAAGCTGCATGTGGATTTTGAGACAACAAAGACGAGTGTAGATGGGCGGACAGACACCTGCAGAGGATGCCTGGCTGCTTTCCGGTTGCGGCGAGCAGGGAAACCATTGCATCATCTGGCTTGGAGCTTGGAGCTGGCATGGGATAAGGGCAAGGTTTGCCCTGTGTGCGGTGTATTTAAGGAAGTGCGAGATTTTGCTAGAAATCGGGGGCGGAAGGATAAGCTGGCCAGCCATTGCCGGAGCTGTCAAAGCGAAATGGCAAGCAGGCTATTGCATGATGTGCCGCCGGAAACTTCGCGCCAGTGTAATGTGTGTGGTAAGATCAAGCTGGCGGGAGAATTTGCCAAATGGAATGGTTTACTTGCAAGGGCTATTCGCAAGTGCAAAGCATGCCAGAACAAATCTGGAGCACACTATCGGACAATTGTAAAGAGGGCTTCCATGTATCTTCCAAAGGGAGACAAAAGACAAAAAGTGTGGCATCTGTGGAAAGGTGAAACCGGCGGACGACTTCTACAAAAACAAGTACAGCAGCGATGGTCTTAAGTCCTGCTGTAAAGGATGCGTAAAACCCGTAGAGCGGGCTCGAAAGAGAAGACTAAAGGAAGCTTCTGAACAGCGTTCATGCATGGGGGCTAATGCCAAGCCAGACAATATGATGGAAGGGGTCAGCAGGGGGAAGCTGCTGAAAGGTGAGCGTTTTTGTTGCATTATTCAAAATGAGGTTAGCTTTTTGCAAGCTCTGCAAAACGGTTGCCGCCGTCTTTTTGCTTGCAAGGGTACAGCGCATGATGGGAGATCGTTGGAACACGTTGTGGAGCATGGAACACACCAAAATGCTGTTGCCATTGACTGGAGCAGTATGCTTGTTTCCTCGACAGTAAGGGCCATCTTGAACAATCTTGAAGCAGCCTTCAATAGCTCAGGAGGTTTTTCAGAACTTGGAGGATGCGGTAAAGTCTCATTGTCTATGCGGTTGCTAGCTGTCCATCGCATCTCTTGTTATCAATGTTGGCAGCATAGTACAATAACTTCTGTGGGAGCGACTATATTTTGAGAATCTTGTCACCAACTGTTTGCCGCTCATCCAGACGAGGGTGTGTGCATCAAGTGTCAGTGTCAGATGATGGTGTTTCTAGCAAGACTCGGATTCGCAAGATCACCATTCATCTTATCGTGTTCGAAGACAATGCACAGTTCCACCACTTCTACAGGTTACTTTCCCCAAAGGCTGTTGACCGTCATAGGGTCCGTCTTTTCCACTCTTCAACTCATACAAGTTCAATCCTTTTTGGGAGGTCGGGACGAAGCGGAATGTTCCTGTCACAGCTATTGCAGATCGACGAGCTGACTCGAACTTTCCTTTCGCGCGATTTGACATCTTTCACGCTGAAGGCGCCATGTCTTTTCATTCAGGACGCTGAGTCGCCATGTCGATCGAGCATCCGACGCTGACAGCATTTAAGACTCCGACTACGTCACCAGTAGTGGTCCGCTCTCGGCTGACTCTGGGAGATGCGCGGCACCTTGTGCCATGCACGGTTCAGACGAAGCGAAAGCTCTTCGACGTGAGGCACTCAGCTGCGGCACTTGCGGTAAGAGACAAGCTCTTGGGAACTGGTTTCTAACCTATATCCCTGCAAGTTGCCTCAGACCTTGCTCGTATGAGCTGGCCTCTGCGCTAATTGCTTTTGAAACAATGGTCCTACTCTATCGAGTCTTGACAAGCAAAAATCGGGGTCCAACAGCCGAGCCAGAGGAATGTCCGTTTTACAACTGGGGGCGTGGAGTTCACCTTCACAAGCCATGTCCGACCGTGGAATGCAGGCAAGCAGGTTGGCACAGAATCCAGTAATTGAGCAGCCGCTGACTGGCCAAGGTTTGGACGTTCGCGACTTAGCCAAACACATTTCCTGCCTCCTTTTGCGTCGTCCTGCCCAAAGCTTTGCCTGCGGGTCTCGTGAAGCTACAGGTGACCAGAGACTGGTCCTGTGAGAATCTGCTCCAAAGACGAGATTAAGAGGCGCCTGCAAAAGAGCGTGCAAAGGATCTAGACTCTAGCATTACAGCCACAATTGTCTTCGGTTGCGGTGTCGACCCCAATCCCTGTCGCCCCTGCAGGCCCACACGCGCAGACCGCTGCCATCGTTTCCACAAGATTCCTCGTCCCTGCTGCAAAGTCGCCGGTTTTGCGCCACTGGCACTATTCCACACTGCATCGGCTCAGTAGAGCAGCCCACACCACATCGGCACGGTTCCAGCAGCAGCGACGGCTTGGCTGACGTCATCTAGCCTCACGACTTACTGGGCAACTTGTTCCCTTGGGCGGGGATCGGACCCACGAGCTGGTCAGCTGGCTGGTCTGAGGGACAGAGCGCCGGAAGGACATGACTTCCCAACAGGTGGAGCCTAACGTAAGCCGTCTGATGCTGACGAGTCGCATCAGACGCTTCTGTAGCCTGTTTAATTCTGGACTGCTCGTGGCACGAAACTTTTCTCCCGGGGCTGGAAGAGAACTAGGCTCCAGTGTTTTCTTTCTATTGCACGTCTGTTGTACAACGCGTCCGCCAGAGCAGTAGAACTTTTGTGCTCCTCCTGTCCTCGTCCTTCTGTCCTATCAGGTCCTTGGTGGCTGTTTGGGGTGTCTGCAATCTGTGTTCGGGTGCACTACATTGTCGTACCAGGTTGGAGTTTCCTTCTCGACTACCGCTCTCGTACTTTGTGTTGACGGCTCGAAGTTACGTTCTTATGACCGTTTCTTAAAGCCTCCATGAAGCGTCTCTTCGTCCGTGCTTGAACTTGAACCCCGAGAAAGTGCCAGTCTCTCGCTTTTGTTCGCTCACACAGTGCAGGAGCAATTGAATCCACTCCTTGGCCCTGCAACTCAAAGAACGTCGCATCTCTTTCTTCATCTCCTGAACGGAACCGCCCTTTAGTCTTCGCACATCCGCCTAGTCGGCCGTCGCCCTTTCGGAACCGCCCTTTAGTCTTCGCACATCCGCCTAGTCGGCCTTCGCCCTTTTCAGGTTCTTTAGGAAATTTGAAGATTGGAAGGCTATGCCCGGATGCCGAGTCGTGTGATCCAAGCATCCGCTCCCCTCCTAAAGTTTTCCTTCACAATCCAGGGGCTTTCCAGTCCGACTGTCGGTGGTCGATTGTGGCTCCAAGCGAAGACGACTGCATGGGTCGTCGGTAGTGCCCGTTGTATGCAAAGGTAAAGCCTGGAGCAACGAACAGTCAAAAGAGGGCAACGCTCAGATAGGATCTGATCCGCCATAGTTGTGATAGCACTTGATGGTAGACGCCACCCGTCAGCTATGAAGACCAGGTCGAGGAGCCAGGGATCAATCCGTACCAATGGAAGAACTATCGTGTCATGCATATTTTCTGCGTGCCCGTGTTATACTAGACTCTCTTTGCTGCATGCGATTCTTGCAAACTTCAAGTTGCAACATGACCAGTCCGTTCACATGTATGACATGCGTTCAAATTTTTGGAAGGTCAGAGTCAGGCTTGCATAAGCCTGAAGTTGACAAAACCTGGCAACGCAACAATCGCTCGTATAGGAGTGCGCTCTCGAATTCAAGCAAACAACGGCCTGTCCGCGGGACCTTTGCGCTCAAATTGACTCAATCGTGTGGGTTATAATTGTTCCTAAAAGTTTCACGGATTGTCAGATCCCGCTGGTCACTCAAAGCTCATGTACAAATGAAAGGCAAGCTGGCAGTATGCCATGCATTGCAAACTCATGCATGGCTTGTCGACGATCAGAGCTTTCACATAGTTGCATAAGTGAAGATTAGCCGTACGCAGTGGCTGGCGTCGAAGTGTCGTTATGACTGCATGATTGATCGGCCCAACTATCAGTACCACATGCAGTCCCTTTGGTTTACTGGCATGATGATCCACACCAGAGCTGCCGGGGGGCTTGCTTCCACGATGCGTCGACAATTTGCATGGCACACTGCTGCCCGCCTAGTGCACTATGCAAGACCAGTAGTAGTTAACCCAGTCATCAATATATACCCTCACTTGTCCTGAGCATAGCTCTTTTGTAAGCTAGCAGCTTGTAAGGTCCAAGGCGGCTGAGTCCAAGGCTCCTCCAAGGTTACATTTAATTGTCACATTAATTGTCATGCATGCGGAAATTTTCTCACACTACAGTACAAATCCGTTGTACGCACTCCCTATACAGCCCACCAAGTTCATTCCTTGAATTTCAAAAACTCGTGCAAGCTCCAAATCCTGCACGTGCGCCTTTCATTCCTGCACTAGACCTTATTTCAACGCGCACGTCTTTCCGTGGAAAATTCCACAAGCGCTTCGTTGTGATCAATATTCGCCCTTGCACTCCTCACTGGAAGATGCCGGTCGGATTAAACATGTCCATGGTGTACAGGTGATGTCCGCCGTCGATGGGGATGATCGCACCCACCATGTGCCGCGCCCCGCGCTCGCTCGCAAGCAACAGGAGAGTGCCCATCAGGTCCGTCGCGTCAGGGTCGCCCCACCTGCACGCACAGCCAACGTTTGTTGGGGCCCTTAGACGCAAGGACAACACTTCCTTTTCGACGAGGTGTTCGATACGTCCACGGAAGGCGGGGGATAGTGCATTGTCGGATTTTGGTGATGTCGCACCTAAATGAGTTACAGACTGGCGCTGCAACATGTTGACCCTGCGTTCAACGGGCCCGAGTTTGAGCGCGCAGCACAAAGTATCCAAGTGTGTGTCGGACGCACCTTTCGCGGTCGCTGTTCAAATACTTTTCAGGGACAGAATGTGACGCGTCCCCTCCTGATGGTACTCAGAAGGATCCGCATATGGAGTGGCTGTTGAAAAGCGGACCCGATGCGAAAGAGGCGGTCAAAGCTAAGGTCTGGGTTGTAGGACACATGAGGCAGCGCGTGAACTATTTGCACTCATGAGGGTGTAGACGTGCGATTATACCTGCTTTGTCAGCGAGTAGAGCGTACAAGAGAAGTTAGAACCTCAATCAAGGAAACAAGAACTCGCTCGAAAGCCTCAACCTCATCGGGCAGCTTTTGAGGATGTGATGCCGCTCAGTACAAGCTCAAAGCAAGACGCGCTTTGAACGTACGCAACCGCTCCGCTTGTAGGGAGGCGGTGAGACCAACCAGCAGACGAGGCTTCATTGGCCGTCACACGCGACCGCTTCCTACGAACGCACCTGGGTTCCAACCGTTGGCCAGCCCTTCCAAACTCCGACAGGAAGCGCTCCGTTCTGGCTGCACAAATCGCAGATGTGGCCTACTAAAGAACGGGTTTGCTACGTACCTGCCATCGGGCACTGCCTTAACCGACTGTTTGGTGTTGTCCACAGAACCGGTGTGCTGACGTACCTGCCATCGGGGATTGCCTTGACCGCCTGCTTGGTGTGCTCTGCAACCGGCCCGGTCATCCCTGTGCCGGGATGGACGCCGGGCGCGATCGAGTTGACTGTGATGCCCTTGGGGGCGAGGTCGACCGCCATCACTCTGCGGAAAGGATCAAGCGACACTTTTCGACTACTTAGAAGTTGGTGGGTCGTTGGTTGTTCGTCATTCTAGGGCGCGAACCCAGCGAAGACTTCCTGGGTTGTTTCAGCCGGACCGGATCGACGGTTGAATTGGGCGAAGCTCTCAGGACGTATCCAGAAGTAAAGTTTACAGGTTACAATGCAGCTGGGCGTCAAAGCCGCAGTATTTGACGATCTTTTCAACCCAGTAACATAAGTTCAACAGCTTGAAAGCTCCATCTCGAAAGCCTGCTTACCCGTAGTCTTCAGCACGACTGAATGAACGGTTTGAAATTGATTTGCAGTACAAGCAGAGTCAGGAAGTAGGAGCTGATTACTCGAATGCCCAAAGCAGTACTCAGACTGTATAGCCATGAGCGTACCGAGGACAGACCTGCTGATCAGTCAGCTGGTCAATCTGTTGCAAGAATATTGCTTCCAGTTCCTGAATAGTTTAAGTCAGCCAGGATGCGGAAACAAAAACAGGAGCACTCTTTGAATCCATACTTGAATACTTGAATCCATACGACCACCTTGACGACTGGACTGAGTAACGATCCCAACGATCCGGCCTCACGTCGTTACTCGGACGCTGGCCAATGCTCTTCTTTAGACTGCCAAACTGCGCCTGAAAGGTGAGGCAATCTGCAGAAGGTTTCGTAAACGGAACAGCAGCTGACGGATGATTTCAAAGGGCCGCCGGAAATCAGCAAGTGCTTTCAGTGAGTGGTTCTTCGCTCCCCGAAGGCGATTGGAGCGAAGAGCCACACTTTTTGAAAGCGTAGAGCGAAGCAGGAGGCAACAGCCCCAATATCAGTGGTTCTTTGCTCCCAGTAGAGAGTGGATACGTTAACAGCAGGCCCCATCCTCCAGTAAAAGAGCCCAGTCTCTAAGAAGATCTGACTTCCTGAAATTGAGATCACATTAGTTAAAATATGAGCAGCTTGCCTGGTCATCTGAACGACCGCCGCTTTTGTCGCCGAGTAGATCTCCGACCCCTTCATGACCAAACCCTCAAACGCCATGTTCGACGAGTTGTTGATGATTCGGCCCTTGATTCCTTTGCTAATCATGTGCTTCGCCACGGCTTGAGCCGTGAACAAAAGTCCCCCAACGTTGACACCGAAGGAGCGGTCGAACGTGGCCTGCGTGTCGTTGGGGAAAGCTCCGCCCTCATAAATACCCGCGTTGTTTACCTGTACGGTGGCAATCAGCTTTACTGGACACGGAGAATGAGAAGGGCAGCTGAAAGAAGAGTATTAATTCAATGACGAAGAGTTCGAGTCGCACCCAACAAATCTTTGAAGACAGGAGAAGATTGTTGCAGATTACGGTTGCGCTGCAGATATGAACAAATGTGTTATTGAGACCAATTTTCGAGATCGAGAATCTAATCGAAAAAGAGGATACAAAGAAGCGTGCCGTGAGGGAGAGAGTCAAAACAAGAGGTTCAGAGGAGAGGCGACTCAGAAGCCCAGATCTGGCAGGCCCCACAATTGGAGAAATGTTGAACAAAGCACCTACAGGCGAGTTCCGTTTTCATTATGCTTCTGGTGAGAAATGGCACCCTTCCAAACAGCCCCTCCGTCGAATGCGAAAAACCTCGTTCGTTTTTCATGAATCCTAAAAAGCCCCAGAAAGCTGCTGGGTTGACAAACGCGTGAGCATTTTTGTCCGGACCTACATCTTGCGGTCCTTGTTGTTCATATTAAGGAGAAGAGAGGCTCATGATGCTCCCGCGTCAGCCGCAGTATGCAAAGCCAGAATCGTAGATCCCATAGAGTTCCGAGCAACAAGGGCCTGGCAGAATGCACCTAAGCAAGGAAACAGCTCTTAGATACGCTGGTCACGTGCAGTGATTTGGCTGTTTATTTATCCAAGCGAGGTCTTACCAACACATCGATATGACCAAACGCAGCGATTGCTTCATCAACGCCCGCCACGACCTTCTCCTGACCGGCACCCACGTCTAGTTGCACTGCCGCAGCTTCTCCACCGGCTGCCTTGATATCCTGCGGGAGTTTATAGAGAAAGCACTTCATTGATACCGCTTATTTAGAACTTGTGTTGCAAGGTGATACGTTTGTCCATGCTCAAGAATGGCGTCAGGATAAACCTGTTCACAATTTAGTAACCTGTGCAGTCATGTCAGCTCATGAACATGATATGTGCACGAGGCAAAGCCAATGGCCTCTGAGACTGAGGATCAAACGACATAGGCCAATGATTGAAACGGTTGTTGAAAGTGTGTCGTGGAATTATGTGTCCAGCTCTCTCGAAACAAGGACTGTTCTAGTACATGTACGTTAAGTCCGCACCAATATCCAAGAAGAGATAGACCTCTGGCTTTGATTTTAAAATGTACTCTTGGCGCTATGGCGCATGAGCTTAAGTAGCCAGATGCACATTATTGAGCAGTGAGGCCTATGACAGACACCCAAGTTAAAAATTAGAGCAACCAGCTCACAACCCTCAGCACTTTTGGACACCGGCTTGTATATCCTTCTGCAAGGATCCTGTCAAGGCTTGAAGGGACAGACTTGCATACCCCATAGCTACCCCGTTGCTTCGGATATTCATGGAGTTATTCTCAATTCTCAATCAACGTGCAAGCCCGGCCTGCGCGCTTCAGAGTTAACTCGCAACTTCTGATGACATGGCAATCCCTTCACTTCTTTGATGCCTAACCACTATTACGCCCGACATTGCTATCATGTCAAAGACCAGATTGTGAATTGGCAGCTTTAGCTTTCACACTTGAAGCGGCACCCAAAACCTTCCGAGCAGAAACAGACCAAATTCAGCATTCAATTTGCAGACCTCCTGTGGCGCTTTTCTCACAGGGAGCCTCGTGCATTGATGCAAAAATGCAAAATGAATGCCAAGGTTCGACTTTGGGAAACTTAGCGAGTAAGAGATAGATCTTCTGAGCACTTGTCAGGTGTCAGAGACGAAAGAAGTGAGGAGTCAAGAAAAGCTAAAGATGCTCAAGAAACAGCGGTCTTGGACCTCACCGCCACAAGTGCTTCCAGCTTGTCCAGTCTCCTGGCTGCCAACACAACTTTGGCTCCCTGATTGGCAAGGAATCTTGAGAATGAAGCCCCCAGGCCGGAAGACGCTCCAGTCACCAGGATCACATTGTCTTTTACAGACAGCAAGTTGCTGTAGTCAGGAAGGGGCCTCAATGCGGGTTCAGCCATTTTGGTGCAGAAAACGACAGTCTTGATTACTGATGCAGTCGAGCACTTTGCTGTGGGTGACTAGTAACTAGGCCGTGGATGCTCCGAGAGGCGTGTTCAGCTGCAGATGAGGCTGCTGCAGGAGTCTTATCTTTGGACCTGCTGCTGCTCTTGGAGAAGATCGAAAGCCTAATGCAAGAAATCACCTCAGGAACAATGCACCTAATCCTTGAAGAGAGTTGTTGATCAACTTGAAGCAGGAAATCGAAGGTTGAGTTTTGCGGAAAGAGGGTGGAAACTAAAACGTTAGGTATACGCGACCAGATAACCTGCATTTGCATGAGTAGCTGGCACCACCAACGCAAAATTTGACATCAACGTTCATTCTGTCTGCATAATGGCGCCCAGCTCGACCTTTTCTGATGCTCTGGCCGCCTTGTCGCTGCATGAGTATGCCAGGACGTGTGCCTGGGCCCTGCAGCCTGTGTTGAATCCATGGCTCAATGCAGCCTCCTTCCTTCCTGGCACCTCCTGTTTGCCAGCCCGGCCGCCTGAGCCATGGACTCCGAGCCATCATGAATGGCACCATCCAATGATTACGGCCATGTGCTGAGGGATCACCCTGCCTGGCTTCGCAGAAAACCGGCAAAACCAACGGACTCCAGACTAGAGTCCGAGTCCAGTCACGGTCGCGGCAGAATTCTGAATTCAAGCTTAGGTAAGGCTGCATCCCCTTTCTGCATGTTTCAAACTTCAATGGCAACATTCAAGGCAAAGGGCCAGGGGCGCTTGCTTACAGGAGCGTATGGAACCTCTCTTCTTGCCTTGCTTCAAGCTGCTACAGCGCGCAACTGAATTGACCAACGTGTCGCAGCTTTCCGGTCCATTGTGATTCACAATTATGGCAGCGCCTGTAGCATTGAGTCCTGGCCCGCGCGCCTGTCACATCAACTTTGGGGATGGCACAGAAAAATTGCACAAGCATGGCGTCCTAGTGCAGTCAAGCTGCACAATCACAGAGCAGGGGAGGGGACGTCTCTGGCCGGGTCTGCTCTGGATTTGATGCACTTTTATTGGGTTACAACCAGTGCTAAGCCTTCGAGCGCTGGCAGGACAGGTTTGCTTGAGGCACCGCTGGCCTGTGAGGCTTGGATTAACAAGTGCCAGGGCGGTTCTGCTGGAGGGGGAAAGGCAGCCAGGTTCTTCAAATGGAAATGCGAAAGATCTGGAACATGAATCTTCCACGAATCTCATTTGATGAAGCGGAGGGTCGTGTTTTGAAGAAGTGTTTGGAGTGTCAGCGTGCAAAGCTTTGGTAGACTTTGAGAAGACGATATGTACTCGAGATGGGCGGACAGACACGTGCCGAGCATGCAGGGCGGTTTTCTTTGCAAAGCGTGCAAAAAGAGAGCTGCATCATCTAGGTTGGGACGTAGACATGGCCTGGGATAGGGGCATAACCTGCAGGTGTTGCGGTGTTTTCAAGGAAGCGCGCGACTTCTCAAGGAGTGCGCGCACCAAGGAATTTGTGCAGGAGCTGTAACAGCGATGGCTGGAAGCGATTGGGTCACAAGGTGCTGGAGGAAGTACCACGACGGTGTCGCGTGTGCAGCGAAATGAAAGCAGCAAGCGAGTTTTACAGGAAGAAAGCTTCGCTTCATACAATCTGCAAAACATGCCAGCGTAATTATCAGGCAAGAAATGCAACTCATGTGGCCAGGTCAAGCCGGCTCAACATTTCTACAGGCGCACTCACAGCATCGATGGGCTAACATCTTGGTGTAGAGCTTGCAAACTCAGCCGCGCCATAAAAAGCCAGTCTGCTGCAACCAAATCTAGGCGCCTGCAAAGCAGCAACCTTCAACAGGAAGCTGCCCCAACAGCTGAATCAGAAACGTGTTAACAAGACGGCCCTCAAACATGGAGGTAAACACGGCCGCAGACTTTGAACCTTGAGTAGCTGCGGAATTCTACTCTTGATTCAAGTCCATATCCTCCCGTTGCTTCACTACAGTTGACCGCTTTATTGTGGCATAACAAGTTCCGAGCCAGGGTTAGTGGAGGTCAAAATCCAAGCAGCAAAAGAAATCTCCATCATGAGAACGCATTTGCTGGCGGACTCACTCCTCATAAATCTCAGCTGGGGAAGGCTGAGGGGTTGCATTTACGACCGTGATTACTGGCGGCTTTGCTGCATCAGAATTTGAGACTCTGGGGTGCTGCCGTGGGCGAAGAGCTAAGTCTTCATTCTGACCGTTCGTAAGATTTATTTGACCGTTGTAGCCCATACATGTTGGGCAGTTGAGCACTGAAGCAATCAAATCTGGTTGTTGCCAAAGAGAATCTGATGCATATATTCGAGACCGGTCTACTTGCACCTGCCAGAATCTAGAAATTCATCTTCTAGTTCGGAGCAGCAAAATTCCTTTTTCCTTATCCAGGATCGGTTCTTCTATGATGTGGCAGTATCGTTTCGATTGATATGCAACTGTGCACAAAACACGGCCTGGTATCAGAAGTGGACCGCGGGAGGCGGGTGCTGAAAACTTCGTTAAGGCTCTCATGCTAATCGATTTATCCTTTCAAATCCAGGTGTATTTTTAGGGGGAACCCCACTAACCACTATGTTAGACAACTCTAGTCGGAGCATGCCTTACAGAAGGAGGCAGAAGGATCCATCCGAGTATGGAGGCCAATCTCTAGCCATGATCGAGCTGCTCAATAGCCGGCGATCACTCCGGCTTAGTGGAAAATGGGTAGATGTACAAGTATCAGCGTTTTCTTGTATGCAACATCAGATATATGTATATTAGCACCGCTCGTGTAGTGCTTCGCATACCTTTGAGTACGTATGAGGCGGTGCAAATGCAAGCGCCTTAAAATGCACCATGATCCGATCAACGTCTGAGCTCTGGCGTCACATGAAAACGGTCACTAGATATCTCAACCTAGTAGACAATGTTGAGCTTGAGCTGCAAAAGTTTCACGTTCATGATTCGACGCTGGTGCTTCCACTCGGAGCATGCACAATCGCAGAGCGTATTTTTATCGCATACTCCCGAAGACCACTTACGCAGTCCTACTCCGCTTGGATTCGGGGAAGATGTGCAGCTGATGCGCCCGATGAATGCAGGATATGTACAGTCTTGTCATTGACGCTCGCCTTGATGAATTGAGGGCTTGATTACGGTGAATGTCAAAGGGTGCGCTCATGTAACATGCACACAGTCGAAGCTCCTAGAATCACAGATACGACTGCTTAATGAGGCAACTCTGCTCACTTTGGCCCTGCTACCCAGCTTCGTAATTAATTAAAGGAAGCCTACTCAACTGGAAGAAGACTCTGATCTTACGAGCAATGCTTAAACCTGGTGCTCCTTTGTTCCACTTCGCTTATCGTAGACACAAAAGTACTGAGATCTGCCAACTCGTATGTGGAAAGTGTATGGACATCCGAGCACCGTGCCTGAAGCAGTGACGGCCAGTAGCTCTGTGCCTGAAGCATGTAACGGCCAAAGAGCCGATCAACTCCTTATTTTTCACCACCCCGTTGTTGGTCGTGATGCAAGCTCGTCTTTCTTGGCACGGTAGGCTCGCTCAATGTCAGACTGCACACAGGCCGCAAAGAAAGGCTGAGGTCCTGTTGTCATCCTTGTCAGCCTTGTCGATCGATCTCAGATCGGTCTGTTGCTTTTTCCACCGAGGATTTTAACAGGTGGTGAGCAGCCTTTGGAAGCCTGTTTGTCACAATCGATGATAGTGCGGAGAGGCCTCGTGAGACGGCTTTTGTCAAACTTTGAAAATAACGGTTCTGCCCTTTTCCTGTGGCACTCCCTCAAGCCTCCGTCTATACAACCTCAAGTCTTCTACCTCCTCTACCAATCGGGAGATACGTCGAGTTTGCTAAGAAACTCCGGCGATCGCGATCATCAGTCGAATTTCAAGCCGTTTTGGAGTTGCTCACAGCAACTTGTAGATTTTTCAACGCGGTACGCAACCCAGGGTACTTTCATGCTGTTCCGGACAGTATAGAGCGTGCTCGATTTCACAAAGAGAATCTGGTCACCGCACTCAAAAGGCATCCCTCTCAGACGCAAGAACTCTCTACAAACCCAGTGCGACGCCGCTTTCCCCTATCTCAGCCTTCTTCAAGTTCTAACCTTCTCAATATAATCTCCTTCGAAGACACTACTGCACGATATACTTTTTCTTGAGCGGATCATTGCTCGGCAGCCCAGCGGCTTTGGAGTCCGGCAATCCGCAATCCATTCTGACCAATTAAAGCTGTTGGGTGCGGAAAGCCAACGTACGGTCGGGAGCGCTCACCTTGCAGTCCGCCTCCAGGTCGTCCAAGAAGGTCGTTCGGAAGAGCTGCACCGCCTCCTTGAGGCTCGTCTTGTCCAGGTCTGGCATAGGTGGCAGAGTGTCAGAATTAGCTTTGATAGTCAAAAAATGGAACGCTCTAGGTAGAGGCACATCACCTCTGAACACCCGACGATCCGAACGCAACATAGGGAAGGTGAGAGTGGAGCCCGAATGGCGCTTCAGTTGTGGACAGATTTGCTTTGGAAAATACCGTATTCAATCACCAAAGAGGAACCAATCCAGTTGCGAGATGACCCTGGAACTGGTTCAACAGTCGCACCTACAATGCCCGCAATGACTTGCGGAGCACAAATTTCCCCGCAGAATACCTAATCCGTTGTCTCGAAACACGGAGGCTCAGCACCCTTCGCCTGCCGTCGTCCCTTTGCAATGGATGGACAGCTCCAAAAGCCGTAAAGCGGAAATGCTGAAATATTGAACCATGACTCCTACGGGCGACTAATGCAACACCTCTCACCAGTGGGCAGTGCCGCCTCGGCGGCCTCTTCCGCCGGCTCCCTCAGGTCGCCGCGGAACCGCTGCACCTCATTCAGCAGCTGCAGGGGGTGACACGCGCACTTATTGGAGGGGGTTGAATCGCGTTTTGTCTCAGAGGGTGGTAAAATGCGAGCTTCTTGGAAGGGGGCGGATAGCAATGCGCACTCTTTCAGGGGGATGAGAGACGTGCTACCAGAGGGGGAGGGAGGCAACGCGCACCGTTTCTAAGAGAGTGAGGTGCGCGCTTCTACTCGGGGGCAGGAGGCAATACGTGCTGCTTTACGGGGCTTAGATGCGCGCTTCGTTTGGGGGAAGGCACTGTTTGTTTAGGGGCGGGATGCGCTTTATTGGGGGTGAGGAGAGTCAGGCACTCCGCACTATTTTGTGGGGGTTCAGAGACGCGCTTTTATTGGGGAGAACGAGGCAATACGCACTGTCTTTAGGGGGTGAAAATGGGTGCTACGATTGAGAGGAAGAAGGTAACACGCCCTGTTTTAAGGAGGTGCCCAAGCGACCGATGTCAGGGAACGCCACAGGCATACCATCAGCATAAAGCCGCGAAGCATCTGGAAAGCCTACGCTGGCTGTCTGATGTCTCAGGTGCGCCAGCGAAGTCAGCCCAAAAGCAGGATCGAAGTGCGAAAAGCGAGACACTGAGCCATACTTGCCAGAAAAAAAGGACATCTGGAACGCAGGGGCACGGAATCGAAGAGAAGTGGTTCCGCAAGAAGAACGTCATGGAGACAGAGCGCAGGAGAGACACGCCGAAAGCTGGACGAGTCTCGCTCCGGGCCCAGCAATCGCGCCTTGATCAAACCAAAGCGTCTCCGCGCAATGACTTTGCTGCGCTCTTTACGTGCGGCTTTGCCGGCTCAGCTCGCGGCTCAGAAGTCGTGTGCCAGATGTCCAAAGTTCTGTACGACCACTTTTTGAAAAGAACGGGCAGACTGTGACGGAACCCTTACCGAAGCGAGTGTGGGGACGCCCATCGGATCGAAGTTGTCGCAATCGGCGGGGTCGATGGGCACACACACCTTGCCTGCGTCACGAAGGGGGTTAAAGCTTTTGGCGTTTTCAAGTTGACCCTTTGTATTCGCGTTCGCGCCCTTGTGCGCGAGCTCTGGTCTTCTGATTGTTTGCGGATTTCTAACGGTTGCTGCTCGGGCAAGACTTGTGAGACGGTCGAGAAAATGCTGTTGTTGAAGTGAACGTTGCCAGGCGGTGCTCAACACGGGGCAGCATAGAGACCCTCGTGCCGACGTCACATGTTGAGCATCAGTGCTGCGGGGCTTCTGCGACCCTCATTTTATGCTCATACCTGAGCCGTCAAGGAATAGGGTAAGCAAAGCAATCCTGGTCTTTCTCTACCTTCCAAAACGTTTTGAGAAAGCTGAGTGTGCGACGCACCTGTTTTCGGGTGGACGCAGAAGGGCGCTTTGAGGAGATGGTTCATGTGCTTGGAGACTTCCAGATCGAGGCGGGGGTACGTGTACGCGAAAACAATTTCTTCTAGGCAGTGGCCCAACCGTATCTGCGAAACAGTGTCACGAAACGTCAGCAAAACTGGGGTCCCCGTGAAGTATAGAGGCATCTCACGGGAAAAACGAAGACCAACGAGTCCAAGCTAGGTGTGGCAGCGAGAAGGTCGCTTTGACACGTCAGCAAGAAAAAGCTGCGCACGTAAATGAATGCTCAAGCAACCCGCATTTCAAACACAGTATCTTCCAAGCATTGGCCCAGTTGCGCATAATCACTTGAAATGACAGCACGAGACTTGCTCATCCGGATTGAAACGTCCAAGAGAGCAAACACACCTCCTTCAAGCAGTGGCTCAAACGTAAGTGCCGAGCCTTCCGTTGGCGCGAAGCGCGTCGAGTTCGAAAGCTGGGTACTTTGAGAGGTGATTCTGATGTTCTTTGACGGGCTCAATCCAGGGTCTCATTTTTCCATGAAAAGATTCGATGGGGATTGTTAGTCATATATACCCAAGCTGCTTGCCTTTCTCTTCGTTCTAAACTACCAAAAGAAAGCCAACAACTCTCGTTGAAGAGGCCTTCCGTTCGACTTACACTTGGGTCACCTAGACGGGGAAAGGATTGCGATATGTAATCTCGCAAGCTATTTCCGGGGGCCTAAAACAGAACATCAAGAAGCCTCACGTTGCGCTTCTTCTCGCGGATGACGATCTTCTCGAGATCCTTCCACCGCGCGAGGTTCTCATCCTCGTGCGCGGACGCGCGCCGCCCGCCGTTGCGCCACTTGGCCTTCACCTCCTCCGCCAGCTCTGCACGAAAGTTGGGGTTAATTCTCAAAGGTTCGATTTTGGTATCGGATTCGGTAATGCATGATCTGAGGCTTGGTGTCCGAAATTACCTTTGATGACTGACGTCATCATGGGCGGCCGCGCCCCGCCCGCCGTTGCGCCACGTGGCCTTTACGGATCTCCACTTTAAGAGGTTGGACACACTTATACGGTGTTGTTGAAGAGAGCTATTTTGGGCCGGAAAAAAAGAAACTACAGGTGAAGCAAAGGCGGGGGCGGAAAGCAGATTTCGACGGTTGCATGGATGGGAAGGGAGAGTTAAGACGGAGACGGACACGACGACTTGTTTGGAGCAGAAACGCAACGCAATATGAGAAGCAGAGCCCGCGTCTCTCACCTTCGTTGGAGAATCAGCAGCGTATCGAACTGCATCTCGTGAGAACGGCAAGGATACAAGCTCGGACTCAACATGGGGACATGATGGGGATTCAATCGCAGGGGGTACCTTTCTCACCTTCGTCGAGGATCATGGCAAGCACTGCATCGATCTGCGTCTTATGGAACGGAACGGCTACAAGAGCAGACATATCGTGGGGACAGAAAAAGGCTTCTGGAGGCAGGTGACTTTTTAAAACACTTCTGAAGGCAGGCGACTTTTTCTCACCTTCGTCGGGGATCATGGCCAGCAGTGTGTCAATCTGTGTCTCATTCACCAACAGGTTTTGTCGCGGCAAAACCTGGTCGAGGAAGGCGGGGAGCAGGACCTCCCTGTACGCGCGCCTGAGGATAAGAGAAGGCGGGTGACGTCAGCAAGCGCTTCCTGAAGAGTGTTGTGACGTTAGCTTGGGCTGTCGAGGGAAGGACTGGATGTTTTAGTAAGGGCTCCTCTTTATCAGGCAGTCAGCGCTTTTAGACATCAAAACGCGGTAGTGGGGATGCAGAATGGCTTGACAACAGAGTAAATCGGTCGCCAACTTCGACCACATGCGCAAACCACAACGTATTCAGGCCGTCTTTAAGCGCCTTCAGTTGCCGCAAAACCAGGATGTTGAGTGGCCCGAAAAGACGAAGGAGCACAACTTCAATCACTCCACGCCAAGTAGGGGATAATCGGCGGCTGACGTCAGCATAGCAGGATGGCCGGCAGGGTTGCAGAGTGCGTGCAAAACTTAAGGACATGCATAGATTGATTCGACGTCCAGCGCGTAAAAGAAACGAGAAACCGACATTGAACAATTTTTTGAGAAGCAGCTTGTCCGCAGCGCCGTGTGACGGAGGCTTACGACAGCATTGGATGCAGGACCGACCCTTGTAGCGAGACCTTCTTCTCCTTGTTGTTCTCCGAGCCCTGCAGATTGAACGTGCAGACAAGTGTGGAGCACTGTCCTGGAGCCGCCAAAAATAACGAGAAATCGACAGTGAACGTTGTGGTTTCAAAAACGAGGTTCGGGCGAGCTGAATACTGGTCTTAAAAAGCAGAAAGATACGGTGAAAGTTCAGACAGAAAGTAGAGTGATGATAGACGTCCTCAGAGAGTCGCAGGTTGCAGAGACGTGCTATCGGAGAGCCACCCTGAGGGAGGTAAGGTACCGAGAGTTCACCGGTTACTTGGCATGTAGGCGGAGTTTTCAGTTGAGGGGCGGGCTATTTAAACGGCATGCCTTGATACCAAGTAACCAAGACCGTAATACGGATTACGCAGAACTTCGATGAGCCAAGGAAGCAATTCCCGCCGAAGTATTCCCTTGGCAGACGGACACATTGATTGGGTCTTTGGGGTAGCTTTAACTTGCTCAAGCAACGAATGCAGCCGTCTAAAATCACCACGGGAAAGAGCTTACCTTGTACACCTTAAGGTAGTCCGTGATTGCGCCTCGCTGCTCGTTTGTGAGCCTGCGAGCAGAGACATACTTTCAGCCTTGTTTCCTCTGCGCCAGTCGGAACTTGGAAGAGAAAAACGAGAGATGGCGACAATCAAAGCGGAAGAAAACAACTAGGCAAGAAGAAAGGGTGAAAAAGGGTACTTGCAAGGCCAACCAGGTCGGTTGATATCTCATCTTAACGGGTTCTAGGGAAACCCGAATGAGTTTCAGCAAGAAGTTGAGGAGACAAGAACGTTCGACTCAGGAGTCCAGCCTTTGAATGATGACGCAAAAAAATAGGACGAGACGACAAGCCTGACGTGAGAATGGCAAGAAAGGCAGATGGGTCAGGACCTCAAGTGTGAGGCAGGCGGGGGGCTTACTTTCTGGCCTTCTCGTCGCACACCCAGCAATGCACCCCTCGACGCCCACTGTACACCCAAAGGATGTGCTGATAACCTAGGTCCTCTGCACGTACAAAAGAGGTCGTCCCTTCAGAAGCTTGTTTGAGACTTTTGTGAGGACAGCTGTACAAAATGGCGTGGCCCTCGCTGTGTGCCCGTTTAACCTCAGCTCCAGATCCTTCTAAAGTACGATAAACGAGAAGCATGACGAACGCCTAAAAGCACTGCGGTCTTAATGGTTCACGAGCTTGATGGCGGCAGCTGCAAGCGGCTGGCAGCCCTTATGGTCGCCACCTGGACATGTTGTCCGTATAGATTCCGTTTTGATACCTCTGAAAACGAGCATGCGACCTGGGGACCCACAATGTGCTAAGCCCACCTCTGAGGGTGTCAATCAAACCCATACTGGCGATGTCAAAAGCAGCCAGCAACATTCAAGCAACTGCTATCCAACAAGATTTTCAGACCTGGAAATCCGAGGAAAGCCTGTAACCCCAACTCTCAAAAGCGCCTCTCCCCACCTCTGAGGATGTGATCGACGACCTTGATTGCAATGGTCATAAGCGGCCAGCAGTCCTTGCAGATGTCTGCCCCCGTGCAACACGTGCGCACGTCGTCATAGTCCGTCATGTCCTGCATATGCACCCTCCACCATCAACCTCTGGCTTTCAAAGCATTAGGTCGTCAGCGGCAGAGCATAAGCATGTTTTCTATGTCATTTACAGGAGTTGCCAGGGAACTGCGTTCAGGAAATGCAGCGAAAACTTCGGTCAAGGTGCTTCACCGCTGTGGTTAGGGTAGCGGGTTGCTCGAGGGGCGTGTTCCTGTAAAGCGACGCTAAGCAGCCTTCCAAAGAAGACTGGGTAGCATCGAACGGGGATACCAACCAGAATGGCCCCCCTGTCCAACGTAGAAGAACTCGGTACATTTTTTGGTTGGAGAAATCAGGGCACGAGAGACTTTCTTACCACGTCAAAAACCAGCTCCCTTTCTACGGCCCCAAAGCTCGAGTATGCGTTCCTTTTGGCCGGCTGCACAGAAAGGGGCGATGTCTTTGAGGGGGACGGGTAAAATGACTGAACTTTGTCTCCGTCATGACGAAAGGATCAAGCCATGAAGACCTTCCAAGGGGACTTTGCACGATCAAAAGATAATCCTCACTTTGAAAGAAGCCAGCCTTCACCGTCACCATCAGCACAAAGTCAATCACCCATAAACTTGGTGAATCAAGGCATTGAATTCTCATGGCAGTCAATTCCCATGAGCAGACAAGTTTCAGCTTTGCTACTGAAAAAACTTCTCACATCCACGTTGAAGACGGCCCCAATGTCGATCTTGAGCGGGTTGCGCGCCCGTATCGTCTTGGCCATCTCGTCCGCATTCTTGAACGACTGGTACCGCACAAAGATGTCCCCGTCGAGCGTCATCGAGATCTCGCGGCGCTGCAGATAGTTCTCGTCGTACATCGGGTGCGGATTCTTTTTGTGCCCGTAAGACAGCCACCGGACCATCTCCGGAAAGGGGAACAGGCGCCGATAGAACTGCTGCATGAGCTGCGGGCTGTAGCCTTCGAAATCCTCGTAGACCACGTCTCGCTTTGCGGGGGCCTCATCGACTTCCATGTCAGCGGCAGGGGTTGAGTCGATGTCGGGGTCGTGACGAGTCCGTTTCGCTGAGGGGCCTGCAGGGGAGGCTGCCCAGTCTAGAGACAGGAAAAATTTGTGGCTAAGAAAATTGATCACAGTTAATACTTATCTTGACTGACTATCCTTCTGCAATCAGCCTGGGAGCTTTGTTGGGGCCCGCATGAGTGTTTCACCAGTATGTCCATTTAGTGGCCCAGATATCCTCCTTTTAAAGCGACAATCCAGCTTAACATGTGGCTTTTTGAGGGGTCTTCCTTTGCAACGGATACGACTGGCTTTGTCTTTGACAATCTGATGACTGCATTTCGTTGGACAGTGGGGCAATATCAGGAGTGACAGGAAAAACATCTTCGTCTCAATGCTTCCACTTGTATGGAGAAGTAGTCTTCCCCTTTGGGCAGATTGCCAACACCAATCTGGAGGACCATTGAAAAACATCTTGTCATTCGCAAACAGTGACTTGTATCTGCTCCAAGCCAGTGGTCTCAAGAAGCAATAAACTGGGGCACTTTAAAAATACGACACTGAAAGGTTTCAGAGGGATAGACGTAAATGATACTGGGCTGCCTTTCAAGCGCTCTACTATGCACTCTAGCAGAATTTGAAGAGGCTCAGCGCCTATCACTGCAGGTTGCTGGAAGCTGAAGTAAAAGAATCACTGCATTGCCCATGTCTGCCCATGCCAGGCGCTAAGGACGCCTTATTGAACATAGCCTCATCTCACCATGCTCGATCGCTCCTGGAGCCATTTTTCAGTAACGGGGATATGCACTTCTTCCCAGGGCCACTGGAGCAAAGCCAGCAATCAAAATGCGCCTCCTGCTCTGTGGACGCGCCGTGTGTAAAAGACCGTTGCAGAAAATCAATGAGGCAACCTTTCAAGATTGGAGCATGAATATCCTAAAAACTCTGATCACACAGAAAGTAGAAGAACGAAGACGCCTCAGGTTTGGCTCAGCTCTCTACTTAGTCGTATGGAACCTCCTTGCTTCCGCGTCAAGCATCAATAAGTGCACTGTCCACGAACAGAACACTTTGAGCTTGCTTTCAACAGCGGGCACACTTATCACGAACGACAGGAGCTCAGGTGGTTACCTCTTCATGAACAGCTCCCACAACTATGCCTACTTGCATTCAATTCGCAGAGCCTTTGAATAGGTACTAGGAATCAGAGGATACAGCTCTTTGCGTCAAACCTGCCATCGGGTTTCAGATGCTCCGATCATGGTCCCTGATCTTGGACCGTTCGATCGACGACAAGGCAGGCATCGGACGGCCCAAGATCAGGAACCACGCTCCGAGACGCAAACAGCTGTACGTATCGACGGTGCAGTGTGATTCTGTGAAGACCCAAGAGCGCCACTTCGCTGGTCAACATGGGACGGATGCTGGAATTTCGCGGAGTATGGTCGGGTTTTCCCGCCAGATTCAACCAATCAGAATCTGCTTGAAAACCGTTAACGACTCCAACGTGCACCTTTACCGGAGGCATCCGATCAAAGTCACGTCAGCATTTTGTGGTCCAACCTAGATCCGATGCCAAATGGGCCATGCCCTCCCTCTCCCTCTGAGTCTCACTTTGCTCCCTCTCAGCGAGCAAAGTGCATTTCTGCCCATTGCTCAAAAGTTTGGAAAGGCGTCTGTAGACTGTAGAATGAGGATCTGGTCCTCTGGACCATCCTTTTGCTTCAACTTCAAGGAAATTGGTGGGACTCCCGTTCTTTGAGCTCTGAAGACTCTGATGCGTCGTTGGCGATGCTGAGAAGCGTGTGTCGCAGAGTCCAAAGCGCGCAGTTTCTTGCCACAATTCTGCACCAAATTGGCACTGCGCCAATGGGTAAACGTAAGCTTGCGATGGCTGCCGAGACTCCTTCCCCGCCCGCTTGCTTATTATCAAGCGTTGATGCTGATACTGTCTTGCCCAGGGGAAAGAAGGTCAGAGCTACACGGGTACGGCAGTCAATCAGCAGCTCAAGTCTTGATCGAGTGGGGCTCCCTCTTCAGGCAGTTCCTGCCGAGGTGAATCCCACAGTAAAAAGGGAGCGGCATATTGTTGCTGAAGCGGTCATTCTTGATAGTGTCAGCAAGCGGCTCTTCCAAAGCGAGTGGACGGTGAAAGCGAACTCTGAAGGTGTGGCGGCACTGGAATTGCGTGTCGATGATGAAGCGGGAGAGCCGCTGTTAGCAGGTGCGGAAGAAGGAGAGTGGTCAAGCCTGGGGGTGGGGAGAGATGAATTAGATTTGTCACTTACATTGCCCACTGGTCAAACTTTCAGGTAAGCTTTGAGACACTACGGCTGACTCTGCTTCTGACTACCGTGGGGGCTGGGTCAGAGTCTCTGGCGTATTTGAGAGATGATAGAGTGCTCCTTGATTGTGCTTGAATCTGGTGACCACCAGCATTGCTTGGCCAATCGTTAGGTGTTGGTGCAATAGCTTGTGGATCTCCGAAGATTAATCTTTTTAAGTTGCAAGTGGGCGCACCACAAGTTCATCGCCCTCTTCTTCTTTGCTGATCATCAGAGGTATGGCATGACCCACTCAAGCACTGTTGTAATGTACACTTCCACCAACTCATGGATATTAACGTGCTCTTTGAAGTTGGCCTCCATGTCTTGTCAGACTTTTCAGATGATGGTCTTGGTTTCGTGCTTCCGCAAACGCCTATGGCTCCTGGAATCTGCGGTTTCACCCCCCTTCTGGCTGGTTCTTGGGCACTCTGTTCTGAGCCTCAGATGCAGTTGCTGATACAAATCCTCGAAGGCTTTTTTCTTGCAGTTGAAACCCAGACTCTGACCTTCTTATAAAAAGCTTTTCTTCAGACGAGCTATCTTAAAAACGAGCGTCTTCAGCTCACAGCTCTCCAGTTGTAAAGATGGTTGAACCATCGTAAGCCCCTGTTCATAATAGCAGTTTGGTTGTGAAGATGCTTCATTACATAAGCCCCCAGTTTGTATGTTGCAGGTGGCGCCACACCGAGGATGGATCTTGGACTGGCGTTGTTGGCAATCACATTGTCTCTCTCCTCCAAACACAAAGTGACGTGCTCTTCCATATACACCCCCCCACGCTACCCCCTCAAACCCCACCCCCCTTGAAGAAACGAAAACCGGGGCGATCGAAGGGATCCCTCTCAGCCGGCGTCGCCAATGTCAGCCATATTACGCCCCTAACAGAAAACGATCGAGCACAGGTTGCTAAGGAGTTGAGAGCTTTTCTGAATCTGGATGCCGCCAGACTGTCAGACCTGTATAAGGGCTTCTCGGCGGCAGACTCCAGGTTTGCGTCACTCGCCGCGCACCTAGGGGGGGCGCGCATGCTGCGGCAGGACCCCCTGGAATGTCTGTTTTCGTTCATCTGCTCGTCAAACAACCACATCAGTAGGATCACAGGTGAGAGACCTCTCCATCTGCACTTCGAAAACCTTCTGCACTTCCGGGTTTAGTTCCCGAAAATCTCCAAGAGCAAAGCCTTTCATGAAGAAGCCTTGCACCCTGTAAATTCGCCAGTCTTTGAGTGGCTCCGGCTTTGTTTCGGTGCGAGTGTGACTTGTCTTTGGCATCGACTTATGCTGAAGTGGGAAGAATATCTCACTTATCAGAGACTCGAGCCTGGATCGATTGAGTCCAACCTTTTTCTCAGTATTGAATGAAGGCAGAGCCCCTCCGTTCAACTCGCAAGATATTACCGTTCTGCGAAGTCTGGTGCAAAATCCTCATGCCTCGAGCAAACAACCGAGGCCCTGTCCGTCTTCATTGTGGATTATTTCAGCCGCATAGTGTGTGTCTGCTAAGGAGGGTGTCCCCGCCAGCAAGTCGTCATGTCCTTCGAAGCAAACCCCGAGCGCCGCCATTAGAGAGAGTTGTAAGAGGATCTGGAACCTCCTCCAGACGTGCAATTCACCACTCCCCTCTTCCATCTTTTCCAGGTATGGTAGACCACCTGTCCCGGTATGGCGACTGCCTGGGCAGTGTGAATGGGCACACGTTCCACAAGTTCCCAACTGTCGAGCAGCTGAGAGCAGCGGACGAGGACACGCTTCGAGCGGCGGGTTTTGGATACCGTGCCAAGTTCATCGAAGGCACTGTCAAGGTAGGGGCCGGAAGGGATTCTGCCCTGGCTTTGTGGTTGCGCTTGTGCTGCCGTAGAATTCATTTGGTCTGCTGATCTCTCTATGTAAGTGTCATTTAGATCAAGAGATGGGGCGTCGGAACCTTTTCAAGGGAGCTCTCGAACGCGGACTGATCCTGTGCTGAGGAACGGACCGGCGAAAAACCGCATACCGCTTTTGCATGTTCATGTAAGGGAACGAGCTGTGTGCCTTGCCCTTGACTTCAAGATGAGGCGTCTTTGAAGTGCATGAGAATCCAACGGCCTTGCAGTATCAGGTAAAGGTCTTAGCCGCAACTGCTGACCAGAGTCCAGATTGGAGTGGAGCGGATTAGAAAACGTTTTGGAGCCACCCGGAAAACGTACGTTTTTGCCTCTGCGTTGGAGAGACACGATTCGATTGTAGGCCAAGTTCGTGAGGGGTCGCTGACAGCCACGAGCTTCTACCGTTTTTTCCGTTTTTCACCCATTCACTTCGTTCTCGGTGTATTCCTGGAAGCCACAACCTCATCGTCTTATCGCTACCTCTCCGAGTTTATTGGAAGGCGAGACACACCTCAAGTATACTCTCACATTCATGCCTCCTTTGGTTTGTCATTTCCAGGACTTGTTGGCGAAGCCAGAAGGCGGCCGGCAGTGGCTGCTGAACCTGCGGAACGTCTCTCTTGACGAGGCCGTTGCGGAGCTGGTCACGCTCCCAGGGATCGGGCCGAAAGTTGCGCGCTGCATCGCGCTGTTCTCGCTGGACAAGCACGAGTGCATACCAGTAGACACGCACGTGTGGCAGGTGCGAAGAAGAGGCCTAAGAAGACGCATTGGTTTGGTGAACGTTTGGGGTTTTGATAAGTTTGGGCACTACTTCAGAGTAGGTCGGTTTAAGGTCGCGCGCTGCATTGAAACTGTTCTCGCTGGACAAGCACGAGTGCATTCCGGTGGATACGCACGTGTGGCAGGTGAGAAGATTACTCTGAGAAGAGGCATCGCTTGGTGACAATCTGGGGTTTGGGAAAACTTTCTGTGTTTGGGCTCTGATCAGTTGAGTCCGTCTAAGATCGCTCGTGACATAGCGCTCTTGTCGCCATGTCATCACCAGTGCATACCGGTTGGCATGCATATGTGGCAGGTAAGACGACCTCAAGAGAGATCAGGACTTCTCGAGTCTTTGGGCTTTTCTGTGTAGTTCCCTGGGGGTTGGCCTGCTTCAATCGGCTTGCGGCTGCCTGCTGCATCTTTTATTTTCAAACAAAGGCGTCCCCGCTGACAAGCACCCGTTTGGCGGGATAGGGATCGGCACCGGAGTTGCTCTAACAGAGTACTTTCTTAGCAGATTTCGTCGTGTCTTTACGAGAGGCGTTCTTTGACAGCGACAGCTGGCTATTTTGCTCTGCGTTTTCATAAGCCTTTTCGTGCCCTCGTGTTTCTTGTGCGAGGCTGGAAAGCATCTTAGAAGCTGAAGTTGGGACATTGACAAGGGCAGTGAGGTCTTTGTTCGCAAGCCGCTCTGTAAATTCTCGATGCCGGTGCCGTAAGGTGTTGGGTGACAAAAGAGCCGTTGCAGTCGAATACCTTCGCATACGCGATCCGGCCAAACCAGACCGCGTCCAAATGTTTGACAGCTCACCTTCCCCTTCCTTCTGCTGACGTCATCTGCTGACGGCATCCCCCTTTCCGTCCTTTCCCGCAGCTCGCCATACGGTACTACACCCCGGAGCTGGAGGGAAAGTCGCTGACGCCCCGGGTGCATCAGGCCGTTGCGGACGCCTTTGTCAAGGTGGGTCTCACTCTCAGGCGTCCGCAGGCCTGCCACGTGGATCATACGAATCACTTGTTTGCAACCCTGTTGCGAGTCGGCTCATCTTTCTCAAAGAGTGAAGCTTCTGGCGCCTCACTTTCCTGTTTGAGCGTTCAGAATTTGTAATCACCGCTGGTGGCATTCAAAAGACAGCTTCTCGAATGCACGTGGCTTCCGTTTGGTGACACGTCGTCCAATTCAGGATAGCTTTCTGACCTATAGCGTATGTTCTACGCTGCAGGTGTTCGGACCGTATGCTGGCTGGGCCCATAACGTCCTGTTCATTGCTGAGTTGGCATCCATGCGGTGAGCATCCGCTCGTCTGGCTTGACTTTTTTCCTTCCTGAATTCAATCTCGTTTCAAGTGAGGGAACGAAGAAAACAGATGGGGGGGCACCTTGTCGAAATTCCTGGAGAGCTTTGAAAAGGGCTGCAGGAAAGCTGCTATCGAATGCGAGCTCTTCACTCTCTTGGAAGAAGATTCGGAAGCGGGGCCGGGACAATCAAGCAAAACTGGTGGTCGACTCGCTGCACACTAGGCATTCAAGGCGAAAACATGGAAAGTTCAAAGTGAAAACATTCAAGTGAATCAGTGGAAACTTGTCAGAGTTCAATCGGAGAACATTTTCGTTCAAAGTGAAAACATTCAAAGTTCAAAGTGAAAGACATGTTTTCACTTTGAACGCCCAGCCAGCCTGCCTCTCGCCGCTCTGCTGCGCCTGTCTCATGGCTGACGCATGGCTGACCTCGACGCTCGCCACAGTCTGGGCAAATTTTTTTGAGATTCGTCGGACCTTTAGGCTTGTATCCGGCTGGCCGGTTCTGCAGGAACCTTGTCTGGAAAGGCGTGGCAATCGGCGTCGTGCGTGGCCCACCGCCAGAAAAGTTTGCCGAATCGTTTTACACCGGTTCCAAATGATTCGAAGTCGTTTCCTCTTGCAGGGCGCGCCTTCCTTTGCACTTGCATCCTCCAGAAACACCGAAGAAAGCAAAGAAGGCCGCGAAAGTGTCGAACGTGAAGTTCGTGTTAAATACCGAGCCCCCAGCAGCGAAGGGGGAGGTAGAGAGCGTAAACGTTGATTCACCAACCCGTAGCAAAACGAGCAAGACGACAAAGAAACGTTTTGTAAGGTGAAGTATTCAACGCCGGTTCACTATGTTGCGTATTTCGTCATTCCAGCAGATGTATTGCTTGCATGGAGCATACTGGTTGCAAGTCAGCCAACAAACTTCGTCCAGTGCCATGCATAGGATGCTGGCAGAAGCGTGAGCGACGAGCTGCGAGTGGTGAAAGAAGTGTTTGACGAGCAACTGTTGTGCTTGCTTACTTCGCATTGCGTGCAGCAACTAATTGTCGTTTCGGCATATTCCATGGACAGGTTGGCTGTACGTCCTCCATATGCCGGCATATCTCCATGGGCGCGCGCACTTGTCATGACGAATGCAAGCTGATGGCAGATGACATCCTACTAGCTGACATCCGACTAGCTGAGCACCATGATCACATATACAACAGCGGCGATTAGTTACATTGCAGCTGACTGAGCTTCAATCAACTTGCATATACGTCAGAAAAATCCATGCATTCAATGTCCGACACTTCGTACGTAGTTCATCAACAGATTCCGTCCAGTCCATAATCTGCCCTCAAGATTGTCGAAAGATAACTACATGCACACGTCGATCGTTGCCCATGGGCACGTACGTGTGTAGGATCAGGCCCGCGCATCCATATTCGGCAGATCTTTATGGTTCTTGGGCAACGTCATGCATCCTCAGGTCGGCAGCAATGTTGCGAGCTACGGCCGCTTGTCAATTGCGCAGACTCAGTGGCCTACTTGACACACCGGTGAAGAAGCAAATGCAACAACAAATCATCCATCCTCTTGATCGCGAAAGTATGCAAGAACTGCCCAAACCTACTAGCGACGCGGTTTGAGCCTGCAAGCTCATGTGTACGCTTTCGTACGTAGATGTTTGCGATGCGACATAATACGACCAGGCAGCTTTCCGCGTACCCTGGAGGGAGACTAACTTTGCGGCCGGTGATCCTAGTAGTTCGCAACCCATTGGTCTCTAGGAATGCCAAACCTACTAGACTACTAGGGCCGCCTTCCAGCCGAGGCTCAACTCGTTATTCTTGGGATTCTTACAAACTCAAAACTCTCAAAGCCAAAACCAAAAGCAGCTGAGGTGGATACCACAGAAGAGGCTCTAATTTTGTGCTATCAGAACGTCGGCCAATGTGACTGACGCGTTACTAACGCGAGGGACTCGATGCAGAACAGCGGCCATGGTTGTGCAGGCGCTTTGGGTGCTACCTTCGTCGACCATTCCGGTCGGGCAAACCAGCTAAAGAAGGTCCCAGCGAAGTTGCCCCTCTCTCTCCAGTCGGGCTTGCTCACTGCAGTGACAAAGAGTCAGGGGTGCTCCACGTCAGCATGAAATCTTTATGTAAAACCTGACATCGACTTGCTCAGAGGGGCGCAACCGAGACGGGCAAAGGCCTCGCATACTTTAGCAGAATGCTTCGGAGACATTTTGTGATGGTTCCGATCAATTCTGACCTTGTGCGCTCGAACAAGCAGGGTTCAATGGCTATCGTACTCCCACTTTTTGTTGATGCCGTCTTGATTGCTAGCCGTGTTACGTCGGTTGACATGAACGCAAGAACGCCGTTCAGTCTGAATCAGCTTTGAACATTGTCATGCAAGCCTCACAAATTGTGAAGACGCGTGTATCTTGAAGCGAAACCTGGAGTTATCGTGGCTTCGGACGCATTAAAGGGAGCCGGGCTCACCTTGATCCAGTGCTGCAGCTCGCGCGTTCCCACCCTCTGAAGGGGGCGGTTGTCCCCGCGATCGCCTCCGCCCAAGAACGTCAGCCTCTGATACTGCACGAGAGAAGGATGCACATGTGAATGCCCCGCAAGATTGACCCGCCTGACACGTGGCTGCAAACGGATGCACTGCGACGGCCAAGGATGAAAAGACTGGTATTTTCTGGTGTTGGTAAAAAGACAACCGAAGTACTCTGCGTCGTCGCTGCCGTGCTTTCTTCACTGCATACGGACGCGGGCAAAAGCACCAGAATATAGCAACGAATGCTTTTTGCCCTGTCCTTGTCGTGAAGAACCTTGTGACAGAGCACTTTGCAGTCTCCTTCTGTCCATTCATTGCTGTCTGAAACTTTCGTGCAAGCAATTGAACAGCCGAAGTCTCCAGTGACTCTGCGTTTTAGGCGTTTCTTCTCGCTCGAATCCTTCCCGATCCTCTTGTTTCGCGAAACGCCGATCAAGCTGAGGAAGGAAAGCGAAGCGGAAGTATTGCGTGGTCTTGGGAGTCGAGCTGCACTCGTTATGAATGAGGGACGCTAGCAGGCTCGATCCGAATTGCAGGCAATCAGGTTGCCTTCCACCTGATCAGTCACCTTCCGCGTTAGGGTGATGCCATATGCTTAATACTGGTACGAGTCGGTGACCAGTCGACTTCGAGCGACGAACGGGCAGTAAGCCGGAGCGCCTGTCGGACTAAGTGCTGCTGTAACTGCGTCCTTTTTATCGCATGACATTGCCGTGGCTTATCTGGAGCTTACTCGCCCTTTCACCGCTTGCTTGGCGCTCACTTGGCACCCAAGGGTCACTCCGGAAACAGTCCAATCATTACGCAATCTCCGAATCGTGTAACCAGCTGGCATGCCACACAACCGGCCTCCCTCTTGACGAGCCTTCTTGTGGCCAGACAATCGTAATAAAAGACAAGAAACTCCACAGGTTGCAGCGACTCACTTGTGTAAGCTGAGCAGATGACATGGTCAGAGGTGTGTCCAGGACGAACCACATGATACCCTCCGTGCAGGGAGGGGTGGTAAGGCTACCGTTGTAGTGGAAGTAGTTGCTGTTGATGGGAATCCAGGCAGGCAGGTCGATCGTCTGGTTAGTCACCTGAGCACAAGCGCATTAAGAGCGTGGTTAGTTGTTCCTATTGTAAGACTTACTCGAGAGCACTTGGATGATTCTGCGCTTACCCCAGTTGAACTCGAGGAAGGCTTAGCTTGAAGCGGCAGCGATGATAAGGAAGCTGATCTAAGAGAGACGGGATATGGCTTTAAAAGCGCGTATAATATGACTCGCAAATATAGGGCCCAGTCCCAGCTCATTGTGCTACGAGTTATGAGTCGTGAATTGCACGCCTGCTTTCAAGATTATCAGATGGACTGATGAGGCATCCAGGTTCTCAAGGATTTAAGCCGAAAGCAGATGCTAGACCTGCCAAGCTTACAGATCGTTTCTTAGGATTTAGTCACTGCTTCAACAGACGTCTCCTTCAGAGTCCTAGATCTTGGCCATGCGCGGTAGCAGAGCGTTCTTGCCTGAGAGTACAACAGGCTGAGACAGTGATCAATGTTGCAAGTACTGAGAAGGGAGCTTCTAACGAAAACACACCACAGTCTTGTTGTTGTAGCCGCCAGGGGCGTAGTTGAGGATCTGGCTCAGGAACGGGTTGGGGACTTCTTCGTCATCAATCTTGTAGAAGACTGCCAGCACAGCGAACCGACCAGTAGCGGCGTCGTTGTGCACGAAGTGCTGCTCCAAGGGATACGCGACCCCCTCCCTCAGGTGCTCACTGCATATTGTCAGTGTGAACAAGATTGGTTGGAGGGTTGACATACTGTAAACAGGGTTGGTCGTTTGCGGATGGCTGGCTGGTCTTAGACGTGCAAGGGCCCGACCTCAGTTCAATACGATAACCTGGATGAAATTATCTTAAACACATGCGACTTCGAAGATTGATTGTTTTTGAATGACGGGCAGGCTGGTCTTAGCATTCCAATTATTTGAGATTCTTGAGTGCAACAATCCGGATGAAACATAACTACCCCATCCTGCAACTCAAAACCATCTAAAATGTTGCATCTTCAAGATCACCCCCGACATTGAACGCAATTTCAAACCGCTAACCGGTTTATGACGTTGACAGATGGGTTCAGATGAAGGGCGCAAGAGGGCCCATGTGTAGGGGAAAGGATGCTGATTTTGTGCCACTATATTTTGACCTCAGACTACTAGGAGAAGCCAGATCTGACAAGGAAAACAAGCAATAGGCGGCTACGGTAGCTGCCACGTGAGCAAAACAATGCCGTGTAGAAGCAACAAGCTGCCTCAGTCATTCCAAAATGGCTCAAAAATGAAAACTCCAGTAATTCCTTAAGCACATCGTAGCCCAACTCTCCTTATTTTTGCGGGAAAGGACCCCCTTAGGTGTTTCATGTTGTAGTAGTAGGGCTCACCTAGGCTCGTGGAAGTGAGATTGCAAGAGGTGAAGCTTGGAGGTGCCATTGGTTGGCTTGTAGATGGCGGTTGGAAGTGTGAGGTTGTTGTTCTCACCACCTTCAAACTGTAAAACATTAACAACAGTGATAATGGTTGATGGCAGAAAATTCAAGTAGCATGGCACTGTCAAGTCTTAAGGATGGCCCACAATCATTCCGAACCTTCAACACATGAAGGACACAGCAGGGGTTATCCACTAGCCAAAATCTGAGACAGCTGCATGCGTCCTGTTGTTTCAAGTCTCAAGCCTTAGAGGAAATGTAAAGGATTGAATCTGCTAAAGCCAACAGGTACATACGTAGAAGGGCGCCCCTTAACTTCGCATGACGATTATCTGGAGACTGAAGCAACCGTGAAGCCCACCCTCACACCTTGCCTTTAGCCCCTTCTCGTCCCCCACCCCGCACTCCCAACGCCCCTTCCCTCCCATCTCCCCCCTCCCCCTTCTCTCCCTCTCAGCCCCTCAATCCCTTTCCTCCTCCCCCACTTTTCGGATTTTGCTGATCACAGACTCGTTGGTCTAAGGAGTAGGGGGTTGCAGCTGCATGAGACGCCTTTCCAGCAGAAGGAGAACTTCAAGAATCAACAAGGCTTGCCATTGGATTAAAACGTGCATACTCTGTCTTGCTGAAATTGTAGTAAAGTTGAAGACATGCTGAGCCCTCCTGCTCTTCCAAGCTCTTGTTTTCTCCTTCCCTAGCAGCATCCTCTTGGTATCATTCTTATGAGAAGACATTTTGAAACACCAGCACACCTGCATACGCTTGATTTAAGAGAGTCACGTTATAATGTGGATGTGGCCATTATCAGTATGTGGCCATTATTGAGCCGGCAGCTCACCTCAATGGTCTGCCCCTTGTTTACGATGGTGTAATTGCTGAGTCGCTCGTACTGAAGCACAAAGGAGGAGTCAGGCCCAATGGTGCCGTTCACAGTGGCCCGGGCCGTGCGAACGTTGATAGGAGATTGAAACTGCACAGACAAAATCAGAATGACGTGAGAGGACATTTCGGAATATGCATAATGTCACTAGAAGCGCTGAGACCTATGAGCAACTACAGAATATGCCAAAAGAGCATCATCTTCCCAGGATGGCAACATAGGATCGACATTTGACACAGGGTTGACCAGCTGTAAATATGAAAGCACTTCCATCGCTTCCAAGTGACTCTGGTTTCCTGATATTCTGACCTAAAAGTATTCTGTATTGAAGAAGGAGAGCTTGCAACCATATATCTGACCAATCAACACCCTCATCGACATTTCTGGTGCAGTGGGAACACTTCTGTGCATGCAAATGTGTTAGGTCCCGAAGTACAAAGAAGCTCTTGTGTTTTATTAGTTCGGACGCTTGTTGACTGGTGGTTGGCACAGTTAGCTTTGTGCAAATGCCCAAGTCTTCTTCAGAAGGACGCTCATCTCAGTCTCTCATACCGGGCAAGATGGTGGCGTTGGTGAGATAGTGCATGACCATTGACAATGCCCCATGAGCTAAAGCTTCGCTACGCTCTTCATTCAGTTTTGCCAACTAGCAGTTGCACATTGAAGATCTTGTAGCTCAGCAGGTCTGGGAGCAATTGAGTTCTTAACTTTCTGAAGTCACAACAAGCAGCATTTGTTTAATGTCACCATGCTACGGGCCTTAAACTGGCACTTGTATGCAAACCTTGATCTGCAGGGGAGTTCTGGACAACTCTAAGATGCAAAACTCACCGATCCATTCACGCAGAGGCTTCCCCAATCTGCACCCCCCTGAGTGTAGTTGAATGAGGGTTTGCTCGCCTGTGCATTTGCTTTCTGAAAGCTGCAGCTGGCTGTTAGGAGTACAGCGAGAAGGCCGAGGCCGATGGTTGCAGACAGCCTCCCACTTGAAGCCATATTGTTAGCGGCCAGCTGAGAACTGAGCGTGGCAGATCTCCGAGAATGGCAGAAACCACCAGAGAGTTCTGGGCCTTGGCTTCCTTACTGCCCGGCTAGGTGCTCGGCCTCGCTCAGAGTCAGACAATCATACACTGCTGAGACGAGACTTCGGGCCGATTTCCCACTCGGGAGTCTGGAGTCTGTGATAGCTTTCGAATTCAAGATAGGTACGTATCCAGAACAACGCCTTCAAGTTCAAGTGATCAAGTTCAGCATTCTTCAAAAGCTGCCAGGTGCCTAGCTGGGCCTAGGTAGTACCGTACTGTAGTAGGTACTGTATGATTTCACCGAGTATACTGATGTCAGCCTGCTCGGTGGCAGGAAGTACGCAAGCAACGCAAGGGCCAAGCTGGTTGCGTACTTCGGTAACTCTCGATTGTTGAACGGTTGAATGTTTTGCGGTGAACACCCGGGGGACTGGTTGGGGTTAGTCTGTGGGTTAGGGTGGGTGCGGATACGGGGCGTGTAATGTTTCGGGTTAGGTTTTAAGTCGAGGTGCCCGGGGCTTGTGTATCTTGGAACAATCTCCTGTAGAGTTACCAATATTGCTTGCGTGCCACTGCTGTCGCCATCGTCTTGGTTACCTACGTAGTGCGGTATGCAGTGTGCACCAGTTGTACCGTACCTGTCACTGTCACTGTCAGAGCCTCAAAGGGTGTTGAAATCCGGCCAGACTCCAGAGTCCCTTGTGCCCGGCTGGTGGGCTCTGACACTGTTACCGGTACTTCGTACTGACACCAGGTACTAGGTAGTAATACTCCGTGTAGAAGTGCAATCGGTTTGTGAAAAGAGTCGGAAAGGAGCTACCTAGTGCCTGGAAAGTCAACAATAGTGTCATGAGATATAACGGGGCCCACCCGGCCAGTCTTCAAAGCAACCCGGGGGCCAGGGCCCCCGGGTATTTTATAATGAACACCATGTAGACGGTGCAGGCCGTAGTAGGTACGTACTACGTACACATATTACACTTGGGTATGTACCTAGCACTGTGATTGGTCGAGCCTTGGTACCGTAGTACATACCCAGTACCGTTTACCTAGTTGTACCTCACGACGAGCTCACGACCTCATGGCTGTTGTCACCTGACAACATGCAAATGATTGGACCATCGGACCCAGTGGTGCAAAATTCCAACGATCTGCGTGCCCAGAATCTCCTGCCGGTGCCGGGAATTCCGTGCACGCATGCAGGTGTTCTTACACCGTCCGGAGTTCTGACGTTCCGACGACCTGGTCGGAACAGGGAGGCGAATAAAAACGTCCAAACAGATTGACGGTACTGATTGCTCGACGCTTATCCAACGGCTACGAAGTCCTCATATTAAACCCGGTGTCTAATCTTGCCTCCGGGTTTCGGGTTTTCAGAAAGCCTTCAGAAAGGATAAGATCAGATCTCATTCGTCCGATAAATCTGCCTTTGCTGTCTGATTTGTAACGGTTGAAACATCTCGTTATGTTTCTAGACCGTGTTACTGATCTTAGATACCAATAAAAGAGCAATTTTGAAAGTCGAAGGGGGAAAACGTTATCCCCGATATGGAATTGGCACACAAATATAGCTTCGTCGACACGTGACAGCTATATCTTAGGAAAGGAGCAGGCTTTCTTTCTCTTTTTCCAAGCTGTGTGCCAGCAACCTACTCTCCTACGCGCGCCACGGCGTGAGCAACATCAGACGAGAGCTGGCTGCGCGGCCGCCAAAACTTTTTGAAGTTTGCGGTTCTGCACCTTTGTCACCTTGAACGCTGCGGGCACTTCTACATCTGACTACATCTTCATCATTCCTCTTACAGGTATCATTCTCATGAATGCCAAAGCTCTGCGAGAGCACCAACGGATTGCAATTGATTAGATGGCTAGCTGGATTGGAACGTGTGATGATTCAATTGTTTGCTTGATGCATTGCTCTCACCAAAGATATGCTTTCTTCTCATCTCGAATTGGTCAAAATCAAAATAAGTTGCATACGTACTTTCATACTTTTATACTCTCATACTTTGTCAAGAAGTGATCAAAAGACCCATCCAAGCTGTAGTGATCAGGAACACGTTTCATAATGGTCCAAAGGAGGGTTTACTTCTCGGACTTTTAGAGCGACTGATGCTTATTTATGCAGAACAGTTCCGATTGGAATTGACACGACAAATTACAGAACATCAGCTTCAGATCTGTAAGAACGTTTTGTCTTGTTTTCGGTCACTTCGAGTTTACCAATGAAAGGTGCCAGCTGTTTGTTCACTGGCCTCTTAGCATGACGTGATGAGATTGATGAATCACACCACCGTTACTAATCGCCGCGAATAGATATGATGCATGACAGGCTATCTCGTCCAGTAGTCTCGGGATGGGCTACTTCAAGCATGCAGTGGTCTTGACGTGCTTGATGTAGCTCAGGCTCTGCCAATCACAGTCCTAGCCTCCTAGAGTCCTAGGTCCTACCTAAGGCTACGGCCTGTACACAGTAGTATGGTACGCTACGAAAAAAATGCTCCGCCTCATGCGCTCGGCTAGCTCAGCTGGCAGTTCAATACAACTGCCACGTGCCTTCCCGTTGTGGTCGGCCGGAAGGTCCGCGGACGCCGCGGGTCAAGTGCCGTAGTTTACAACTTTATCTGGACGGAGGGATTGGCCTGCCGGCTTTCAGAAATTTACTGTGGATACGATGCATACTTAGAGTAACCCATCCCGAAGATCGAGGTACCGAGAAAACCTGTCACAGCTTTGAACATCACTGAACTTTCGCGGCTCAATTCAGACTTGGTTCAGGGGTTCAGGTTTGACCAAACCTGCAGTAGATAGCTATACTCAAAGGTGCTTTGTACTTCATGTACATCATTTGTACACGAATTGATTCATCGGTTTATGTACACCTGTATCATGTGTACATGAGGTTCCATTCTATTACATAGACTAAGCAGATGAGTGGCAGGTGAGCTACGTGATCTTCTTTTGCTGCACAAAAACTTTGCTCATGTGCCTGAAGGTTCACACGAAGGTGCAAACGGGCCGAAGCTTTAAGGCCTCGCATTTCCTGCGGAACGCCACTATGCGAACAAGCGAGTTTCCAACCTTTAAAGTCCTCGACTATGTCGAAAAGCAGCCCTTTCTAGTTCCTGGACTGTGGACATAGCTGAGCAGTGTACGCTAGGGACCCGTATGGGGTGATCAAGCACTGTCCGAAGCCCAATATACGTGTACGTGACGTTGTCGGACGTCCAAGTGTGGCCCCCATCCGAAGAGACCTCCACCGAAACTGGCCCTGCGTAGTTTTGAGCAACCGCAATCAGAACAAGCTCATTCCGTAATTGCTAGTAAGTTTACGTAAAACAGTTCCGCAATGTTTACCGAACATACGAGGGCTCCAAGTTTCCGCCCCACAGCAAAAGGATTCGCTCCCCTGATTATGCCTAGTTCGAAGATCTGCGGTCGAACTGCGGTTGCGATGGCTCACAGCTTTCAAGGAAGATTCGGAGCAGGGCTCATCGGACACCAGAGGTGAGAAATGCAGATGACGTGTCCGCATCTCGTCCAAAGATCATCGGTGATAGAGGGAATCGAGTACGTCAGACGATTGATTTCTCAAATACTGCCTTCGAACTGAAAGTTTCTTTGTACTGCTAATTTGGCGGTGCTTGAAAAGGTCTCTTCAAGTCATTATCGCTATTAGCGGAACGAGCTTGGAAAGGTAGCATGCAAGAATGTGAACTTCTAACAACCTGCTCAGGATAACCGCTTTTTGGCAATAGATCGAGTTTGTTCAAGAGAAGCTTGGAGTGAAAGCACCGGGCAGGATTTTGAAGAGCAAACTCAGGGACGTCAGAAAGCGACCACGTGCATCGTTGTCCAGGACTCTACCAAACTTGGATATCACTTAGACCAGAAATCTAGCCACGAACAGATGTCAACGATCTCCGAAGTGAACGCTTGCAATGCGGATCGACAAACAGATTGGACGGTCATGCATCGTTCAGGTTTCATTGAAGCTAGATTCCGCAGCGCCTCTTGGATCCTCGCTTTCGAAACAATCCTCGCTTGCAAAGAGGTGGCAATCAGAAACGCGCCGGCTGAAGGATCAAAAATGCTTTGGGTTTGTAAAACGTTGGATGGTGGGACGTTGGCGGTTAGTGAAAACAGTGGTTGCTATCATCCCTTCCAGAGAAACTCCCTGAAACGTTCTGAGGATCTTACTGTCTTGCGGCGTCATCGTAGGGCGTGCTAATCAAAAAGCAGAGGCGTGTCAACAGTCAGGTGTCAATGACAAGTTGACCTCGGGAGTTTGATATCTGTCGAAACGAGTTGACAAGAACAAGGTGTCGTTGACACTTTGGCAGGTTTCTCTTGCCAAAATAAGAGGACAAAGTATCCCGGCTTGTGCCAATGGAGGGTGACAAATCCGTCAAATCCCCAAAGTACGTACCAGGTGGGTGGGGCGGGCTGGTGCAGCGAACCACTTCTCCGCTGACGGGCATCGTAGGTACTACCGTGCTACCAAACCGTGCCAGAAGCGGACGATCCACGGACGTCCGGAAGCACTGCCCGCTAATGTGTACCTGCTTGAGAGACATAGCGCACGTCAGTGCCTTTGCAGAGTAACAAGCGCTCTGCGGACGTCCGAAAGCAGTGCTTGTGTAAGATTAGTCGCTTGAAAGACAGAGGACGAGAGAGAGAGAGGATATGCCAGTGCCTCTGGACAAATGGCGATGCTCAAGGACGTTTGGAAGCACTGCCCGCTTATGTGGACCTGCTTGAAAGAGTGAGCTTACGTCAGTGGCTCTGGGGAAACAGCAGATGCCCGGAGGACGTCTAAAGGCACGCCCGCTTTGACGTACCTTCTTATGGAAGATAGGGGACAATGTGGTTGACAGAATTCCTTTCTTACTTACTACTCGACTCTTTTAGTGGGGCCTCACACTAAGAGAGTGCGAGGCCCTAGAGCACAATCAGCGAGTCGTCCCTGCAATAAGTGACTCATTTTGAGATCTGGGCTTTACAAGCGAATTACTAGAAGGCGAAAAGATGATCTCTTCCCGCTGTCAATATGCCGACCAGACTTTCGATTGTTCCTGCCCCGCAAGTGACCCGTTCGTACTGATGTCAGCGCGAGACGAGCTTGAACGCAATCTATTAAACAGGAAATAAGGGCGCATCTCTCAAAAATCGTTCGTTTTTTAGAGATGTGCATTGCCAGAACTACTTCTACCGTCTGGATCGTCGATTTGGGCTCCCAAGGCTGGACTGCCTCTAAGCATAGATTTGAAAAACTGCGATTTCCATTATTAGTTTTGGCCTCATTTCCATCGAACCGCAGATCACATACTTGCAAAAGAGGAAGTATCGGCCCTCCTTACAAACAACCCAATCACGATTGTCCAGGGCATCAGGTTCTGCTGAATCTCCAGTAGAGGTGCCCGCCAAGCTCTTGCCGACTGTGAATGTTTGGGCAAATTTTGACACTTTTATTCTTCTTGAGAAAGACTATGAACCCAACAACAGATCGAGAAGCCAACATCGGGTGCTTGCTTTCAATACCATGACCTCGCCAAGCTGCAGTAAAGAGCAGCTCAGACCTTTCAACTTACGCTGTTCCCCCCAGTCTCAGACCCGCTTGACGGCTCCAGCTGCGACACCCTGAGACTTTTGAGGGCAGCCCCAGGTGCCGCCATCAGAACAGCCCCAGTGTTAATCCCAAACTCTTCTAAAGTTCGTTGAAGGGACCGCAGCTCGACGCCGCAGTAGAAGAGACGGGAAAGGGGGGTGCCCGGTGCGTCAAAAGGGGCGGAGGCGGGGGAACCGGCGGGAGCAGAGCTAGAAAGATGCTCATTGACTGCAAGCACAAGAAATAAGTCTTATATCTCGTGGAGACGGACTATGTCGTATTGGGAGGTGGAAAGGGGCACTAACTGAAAGTTCAAGTCTTGATTGAGCTTGCCAGAGGACAGATTGCCAGGAGGTCTGCTTGATTGCAAGAGGGAGGAATTGGATGATGATCTCAGCATTGCTGTCAACAGCGAAATGCTGGAAACATTCGTGCTGAGCGGCGTTATTTCTCTTGTGTTCTGCCACCCAAGTCCAGGTGATCTGACTTGGAACTTGTAAGCCATTGGTCCCTCAAGAATCAGCACATGATAAGAAAGACCGACCAATATTCTCCAGCCAAGTCTCAGATTTGTCGGCTCCTACCTTTAATTATTCTACCCCTCTGCATTTCGAACACTATGCATTCTAAGAGGCACGTTCTTTGCATCTTTGCTATCAGACCCTTTTGATCAAGAACTGGGATGAAGAGAAAGGTTCTGGATAGAAGCCCCACGTCAGCTTCACTTCAGTATGAAGACATTCAGAGAAACTGTTGAACTTGCGCACAAGATGACTGCAGACTCACTTTGAACAGCAACTTCTTCCACTGTACTGCTTGACGCCAGCCCCGACAGGTCAAACTGCACTGGTCGAACGCCGGGCCGCCTCAGCTCATGAAACATTATCCTCAAGATTATGTTGTGGTCACCATTGGTTGCTGTCTGCGCAAAATCTTCACCAATTTGTGGATTTTCGAGCTCCCCTGAGGGCTCTGCTGGCGACTGGTTTTGGGCGGTATTGTTTTGGGAAAGCAACCGCGGTGAGGGGTGGTCCAAGCTACGTGCGCACGAGGCCTCTCGTGTGGCCATGTCTCCAAAGACAAACCTCTGGCTGTAATGCTACTTTATACTAACGCTTGAACACTACCGTAATGTTCCTTCCCAGAGCCAGGGCCAAGGCTCTTGCAGGCCGGCACCCCTGATTTCGAAAGCGCAGCTAGCGGCGAGCTTGTAGGTAAATGCAGAAGCTCAGGCTGCGATCGAGCAACGAGAGGCTAGAGCTCCAACGATCACGTGGACCAGCTGGTAATGGATCCACAGGCGATAATGGGTGCAATCACACGAGCTTGACGTCAACATACGTCCGAGCGACAGTCCGAGCTAGCCACTTGGCAGACCCTCAGCCAATGGCGGACCCCTTGCCCGCCAAAACCTTCCTTGGGTCCAGAAGGCCTTCAAGCATTTTTCAAGAGCAGAAGCTTCTTCCAGCCTGCATCAAGTCCACTTTTATGCCGAGCCAAGTAGGTACCACTCAAAGCTTTTGAAGGTACGTTTGCTGATAAGGTTATTGGTTGGGGATGATCTGATCCATTAATCTGAGCAGACGTAAAGAAAGTTGCATGTCGCATTCTAGATGCGCACGTTTGCGACAATCAGAAGCACTCCGCTGAATTGGTCATTTCCCGCTTCACTTAACAATCCCATCAAGCGGACTTCATCCCCACGTTGCTTCATCTGCTTGCATGAAACCCCCTTCCAGCTGGCATCTAATCAGAAAGCAGGTCAACTTAAAAACTCTCCGTTCTGCAGAGCAACAAACAATAGCATGGCGTCATCAGGGTCGGAGCCTAGGGGAGGTGCATCAGGGCTGGTGGTGGGACCAGGTGTTCCTGGAAAGTCAGAAAGGGAGAAGATGCTCGCAGGAGAGTTGTACAGTCCGCTACAGAACCCTGAATTGAAGACTCTGCATCGACGAGCTGTCAAAGTGGTCAACGAGTTCAATGAGACGCCCTTGGACGAGGAGGAGAGAAGAGCTGAGCTCATGAAGGTGGGTCTGCTGAAAGTCCAAGTCCCATACTGCTTTCAGATGGTCTACAAGGAGCGGGTGATTGCAGTAAGAAAGCGCAAACTTCTCCGAAGGCCCTCTTTCCGAATTGTGGAGGTTGGAGCTTTCACCAAAACTTGATGCTCACAACCTGATTCACTCTAGTCACCTCAAAACTCATGAACATATGCGCAGTTCTTTGTTGAGTTGTTAACAATTGATGGCGTGACCTTCACAATCCGCATTGGTTTCTAATGCTTCCCAGGACTTGCGTACTTGACTTAGAATGAGGCTACACAGCTTAATTTTGACTAGTGTTCTGGCTGAAGCCAATACTATTGAGTTGTTGAGTACTCCCCCGCTGAGTCTTTCCAGATGGTACTCTTCCCACACCCTTGAATAACAAATCGCTGAGTCAAATCCTAACCTAAGGCCTTCAGAGTTTCTGTGCTTTCTTCAGGTCATTCGTGTGAAGTATTTATGCACTTCCCCTGCTAAAACTGCGAGCTATAGATATAAGCACTCCGTCATTTTTCCTCCGCAGGACATTTTTGGGTCCATTGGCACCACCCCGTACATCGAGCCCCGCTTCTTCTGCGACTATGGCAAAAACACCTTCATCGGAAACAACTTCTATGCAAATGCGGGTAAGCTTTCTTTCTCTGCGGTGAAGTCATTATGGATAAGTTTAGCAATTCTGAAGCATCCAGGCCTTTAAACAGGGGTTCTGGCTGCTCTAGGTTGATCACAACAGCCGAAACAATCATACCACTGAAGAAACTGGCAGGACAACCCAACGTATTGGCATGTCAGCTTTCTTTGGACGGATGAGCCTTCGAGATCTAATCTGGTGAGGACTCTAAAGAAGTGAGTCTGCTTTGTTGATACTTCTGGAACTTTTTGAGTTTCGACAAATCTCCGCACTGTTCAGACCACGACACATTACTGTCGTATTGTTCGTCGACATAATCGGCTTCAGATGTTTGGATCAGACTCATACGAAGTTCGGAAGTCGATTAATATTTGACTCGTGCTTCAGCTCGAGACACAAAACACGAAACTCAAAAAGTGCAGTTACGAATGATTGACAACGAAGTTGCTTCAAACGGCCCAGTGATGAGTTAGATCAGACCACCTCCGCCCGCCTTCAAGGGCTGCTGTCAACATTTGCGCAAGTGCCAATCCGTTGCCATCAGACAAAGTCCCTCTACCGTAGCGGGTATCCAGTCTTATCTCAGGAACCGTGCACATATGGAACGACGATCTAGTGCAAACACATCCGCAGTCCCACTGAAAGCCCCTCGTTTTGCAGGTCTCGTAATCCTCGACGCCAACACCGTGCACATAGGGAACGACGTGTTGTGCGCACCAAACGTCCAGATCTACGCCGCCACGCATCCAACGGACCCCGCGACTCGGGCCGCCGGCCTGGAGCTGGCTCTACCGATCAGGTGAACTCTCGAAATCTTTTGCGACATGTCTATGTAGCAACCTTTTTGTCGTGCTCTCTGTTCGTAGTCGCTCGCAAAACAATGCCGTCCAAAATCACAGCAAAAGAGGGGTGGTAGTCAGATTATGCTACTCAGTGCTGTTGGGAGCCACGTAAGCCAGAAACCCTCTCTGACAAGGGCGAGTGTGCGCTCCAGCGGCTTTGGTGACGCCTCGATACACCGCGTGAACTCCTCGTTTGCCGCAACCTCACACCAGTGGTCGTTTGAGGCGACTGCATGATGAAAGTTCCAGTGGAAAAGTCGCCGGCAATGAGACGTCCGCCCACGACCTTTTTCCTCAGGGCTTGCGTGTAACGTGCATGTGTGGCGTCCCCGGCTACGAGACCAGCTTAGGTGTCTTTGCGTGTGCACTTCCTCGGCCCCGGTCTTTGGTCGGCCTGAGGGAGTGGGCTTCCGTTCGCCCTCCGTTGAAAGTGGTCGCTCTTTTCTTAACACGTTTCTGATCAAAATTGCTCTTATTATCATCAGCACCACAAGCTTTCTCGTTGCTCCCTCGCTTCTCTTCCCGTCATTGGGCTTGTTGGTTACGCCCTCAGTTTTATTCTTTTCTCAACCAGCCCAGACACGGTCGTACTGCCTCTGCACTAAGACCCCCCCCCTGTGATTGGACAACTGATGACGTAAATTCTTTCCTTACAGGATAGGGAACAATGTGTGGATCGGGGGAAGTGCTATCATAAACCCGGGCGTGACGGTTGGCGACAATAGCGTCATCGGGTCCGGCAGTGTCGTCACACGTGACGTCCCACCAAACGTCGTTGTGGCGGGCAACCCGGCGCGGGTTCTTAAGCAGCTTGTGGGCACCGCTTGAGACTCAAAGAGTGTTGTCGAGAGTTGGATACGACGAAGGCATAGTGCAGAAAATCTGCCCAGCAACATGACTTGAGCAGGCGGGGCATGGAGTCAACAATGTTCGTCTGCGAGCCTGTCGCATAGTGACGTTGACCTAAAGTTATCCGCGGTCACGAGGTCACGATGGTTCCGGTTGGCTGAATGGTTGGCCAGAAGTGTACGGACGTGCTCAGTTGTGCGCAGAGCTTAGCAAGAGCAATGTACAAATTGCCTGGATGAATCACTCACTGACTACACCTAGCTAGAATGATCAGATCATCATATGGCGATCGAATTCTCACCGAGAGTCTTGTTTCATCGTCTCTTCTAGGAGACACGCGAGTAAGGTACCAGCAAATTTAGTAGGCACGAGAATCTCGAGACAAATAACCGTTGCCCTCGCATTCTCAAGCCAGCCGCGCTGTGCGCTAGCGTAAGTTGAATCCTAGCAGCTGGTTTGATCTGAAAAGACGGTCGGGTTGTGCGGCGGCTCGTTCCCTGGCACGGTGGCATGCCCTGCTTTATTCCAAGGCGTGAGATAAGCTCTGTTTTAGCTTCTCCTGTTATATCAAGCGTCATCTTCACAAGATTAAAGCAGGTCTTTCAGTATACATATAAGAGAGGCTCGATCTTTGTGCTCGATCTTTGTGCTGCATCTATAGCTCAACGATTATCGCCCCCGACTCAAGGCTAGCTAGGTGTATCGCTTACATAACAAGTTGAACCGGTGCACTAGAAATGACGGACAAGCGCGCACGAATGCCTGCTCAGCTAAGCAGAATGAGCGCATACATATGTGAGTACATCGATGGATAACATCATGGTGGACTCTCAAGTACTGCTTATCTGCGCAATCGTTATATCTTCATACGCCTTAATTTGGCAATACGATCGGTGTTGTGATGACAATATCCAATTAAGAGTACTCGAGTGGATCCAACAATTGTGCAGCTTGCCCATGCTGAGCTCGGAAGCAATTCACACGCGCGCGCAGATGTAGCCTCGGGCTGCCGATTGGGCCGTGCAAGAGACAGTTTGACACTGGGCTGACTTATCAGAACAGACTGAGGTCTTGTCACTTGCCGTTCGAATTGAGTCAACTGCTCTCCGCTCGGCAAATCAGCTTGTGGCTCGGCCAGTCGGTCTGCTGACAGTTTCTGCAAGAAACCCAAAACAGGCTGCTATAGATGCTACACGAATGCAATTGTCGAAACCGGAGGGTAGACCGCTTTAAAAAGCCCTTCAAACGAGTGCTAAACTTTTACAGACATCCCCTCAGGGACATGTAGCTCGACCTCAGACGTGCCCGCCTGGTGAAAGGTACCTGACCAAAGACTAAACAGCCTCGTCTAACGGCGATGTCTCCCCTCTCGCTCTGGCGCCCTCCAAATCTCCATTCTCAGGAACGTTCGCCCTTCAATACCCGTTACATACGCCCGTTCGCCATCAACAAACGAGGTCAGATGTGGCACTGACATTGGCCGAGATCCTAGCTGGTCACGAAACTGACATGGAATTTTCCAAAAATCGCCGTTCAAAAGCACCTTGGACACCGCTACGTACAGTACTTTGCAGAATCGTCGCTCATAGCCTTCAAGGATTTGACAACGCCGCTTTGGCATCCACAGTCTGAATTTTCCCAGCCACTCACCTTCCGCAGTAGACCCTCTTTCGGCAGCGGGAGCACTTCGCCTTCGCCACTGGGGCGGCGCACACCGCGCATCCCGCGCGCTTCGGGGGGGCCGGCGGTCCCTGCTTTTTGCCCCCCAATTCGTCGAAGTCCCGCAGGCGCTCAGAGACGTAGGGCCGGTCGGTGTGTTGTCGGTTATACTTGGTGATCAGCTTCTGGCCGGTGATGAGAAAGTTGGGGCCAACCGCGGTCGCTTGTGTGATGTGCGCTTGACCGACATAGATGCAACCGTCCTTGTAGTCATACCTGTACAGGGGTAACGACACGTGTCATCTGATGGTTGGCTGCCGCGCCGGACTTGGGGCGTCGTAACCACCCGCGATTGTGGCGTGCGCAGATAAAGCAATGCCGTCGTGTTGCCCTTCCTGCATAAGTTGCTGACACGTGTCAACTTGACGGCTTCTCTTCAGCCGCTATTAAGAGGCTTGTAGTGGTTGCGGCAGCCTTTTCGACGCGTTCAAAACCAAAGCGAATCATAAGTGCGCAGGGAAAGTTTACAAGATGTCATTTGACGCCGTCATTTGACGGCTGGATTTTAAGGAGGGCGGCTGAGGGAGCTCTTTCTACCGCAGCATGCGGTCGCGATACTGAATTGTTGTGTCGGAAAGTGTCTTTGAGAGAACTGGCTTGTCAATCTCGAAAGTGCCGCCAAACCCGCTCATGTTCGTAGATCAAATACAAGTGGAGATCTCGACTCCAACCATTTCGCTCACAGTCCGGATGCACAACCATGGCCCAGGGGTGCCAGATACTTTTGCATTACCTCCAATCGCTGAATTGAACCATCATTTCTTCGCACCGCAACCACCGGCCCTTCGACTAAGCAGACAGAGGACTTCACACGCATGCTCCAGGCATAATAAAGTCAGTTCCTGAAGCAAACCTGATGCTGTCAGCCGATCGGCTGGGGTCCTCCTCCGGGCGGATGACGAGCGTAAAATGGGCATTCGGGGGACGTTCCCGGGGGCTCAGTTTGAGCAGCGCCTTGACTGCCAGCTTGGCCAGGGCGACGCCGAGGGGGCAACCGGTCTCCAGCAGAGCGAAGCGCAGCAGGAACGGCATCAGATCCGGGTCCGTCAGAAGTGCTTCAGCGACTGGAGAACCAGCCTGGAATCGAAAAGATGGATATGGAAGCGTGTGACGACTTGAGAGGACACCAGGAAGCGATCAGCGAGTAATCCAAAGCGTAGTAGGGGGGATCGATTGGAGAAAAGCAGAAAGAGAGCTCGATGGACTATGCTAAGCCTGCCTCTGGACCTTTACTTGATCATCAATCTCAAAGGCTGCGAACGTCCTTTTGCACAGATGTAAACGTGGCAAAGCGCAGGGACTCAATAAGTTTCGGCTCCGCATAGAGCGAACCTTCTTTTAAGGAGCGCGTCATTCTCTTTGACAGTCCTGCTCGTGCATCTCGACACTCTTTTGACTTATTTTCAGTCCTTTCTTGCCCTTCCTCGCATTTAATCAAGCGATGCTTCGGAAGCTGAATAAATCTGCGCGCTTCTCTCATGTCGTGTGAGTTGGGTCCAGGTGTCGCGCACTCGCCTCGACGCCTTCTGCAATGTACCGGTAGAACCGCATCACGTGCGCCGCGGTCTCGTCCACGTGGCACGCCCGCTCGAGCGTCCGTACGATCCCGCTCCTCAACAGCTGCAGAGTCACGCGCGCGCGGTACGGCTCAGGGATCCCCCAGAGCCTCTTCACACCGGGCTCCAGGGGGATCCCCCCAGGCTCTGGGTGCAGGTTGAACGCCTCGGCGAAAGTGATGAGGAGGGAGCGACGGTCGGCGGGGGCGGCCGCGGCGTGGCGCGCCAAAGTGGGCCAGAAGGCGTACTCGTAAAGCTGGGTAGGGCAGAAGGAGCTGTGCTGATAATCCGCCGTTAGAAAAGGATTTGGGAGTAGCTCGCTGGATGAGCGACGATGGGTAGATTGTGATCGATGCCATGTCGAGAGATTTGGTTATCTTGTTCGCTTGTGGCCACGGTTTGAGCTCGACGGGACAGAAACATGTGACGATTATTCTGCGTTGTGACCCTACAAGCGATTGATAGAGCTCAATTGGAATAAGCAACCCGATAAGCGTCTGCTGCAAAGCAATGTTCGTTAAAATCGACTGAAGCTGAGCAGAGACAGAAGAAGCAAGGGGATTGCTGAAGCTTGCGCTTGGTCAGCGCGAACTTGGCTAGATGGAAAAGCGCAGCCTGAGTGCCTTGATAGTCACCAACACAATTAAGCAGCCTGGGCTATCAAAGTCTTACGGTGCAGAGACTGCTCAGAGGAGGCCCCCACTCAAGATGTCACACATTTACTGTTTTTTTCTGATCATTCCCTGACCATACCCTGACCATTGACGTATACTTGCGCAAAACTACCCCATCTCTTGTGCCAACGCAGCTTTACGGCCGCTGTCACGCGGACCAGCAACGGACAATGTGTGCGCGCGCGAGATCAGCGCCCCATTTCGCGCGCGCAATATCAGCACCCCCTCACCCGTTCATCCGTCGCGACCGCCGTCCCCGAAATCTCGCACGGCCGCAGCAGACGCTCCACGACGCTCTCCGCGGCGCGCGTTTCGCGCGCGCACTTCAAGCCGTGGCACCAGGCTTCCGTCAAGGCCCCCGCGAACGAGCCGCCCGTCATCATGTCGCGCTGCAGAACGCTCAGGAGCGTTTCGCGCGCGAGGTGGGTGTTGGTCGGCCGGGGCGGCAGCCGCCGGGACGCTGCAGGGAGTTCCGTAAGGGTTCGCATCGGCCGAAGCTGCGAAAAGCATTCCAGATTCTGAGCTTTGAGCCAATCGAACGGTCCAGTATATCCACGTGGTTTAAAAGGTACATAGCAAAGAAGGATTTTGCTTAATAGTAACCGTACCTCCTACTTGGCGGTGCTATAAAGACAATACCGGACGCCAAGTAGGTTTTCAGCTGATGCGCACCATAATGCGTCGCGTTGAAAGACGCGTTTTCAACCTAATTTCGAGAATCGAGATCGACACGAGGGGATCGCTTCTTCCTTCGTTCTTCAACCGTTACACAAGATCCAAAGAAAGCTTGGCCCTCAGGAGATATTCGAATTTCTCGGATCGGCCTGCCTTGTCGGATGGGGGGATTGTAACGGCACTTGGTGGGTTTGAGATTATAATTTCTCTTCGGAATCGGGAGAGTCCAAATTGGCTTATGCACGCTTGAGCAGGTCAGAGCCCGATGTCACAAATTACATTAGGCACAGACCTCCCCCAGAATTGGGAGAAGTGATCCGAGCTCCTCACGCAACATTTTGGACCGCTTGGCACAGTCCTATGCCCCGAATCCCAAACAACTGCGGCTAATAAGACCTTTCAATGAGTCTTTCCCAGCCCAACGAAAACCGACCTCTCAATGCGGTGCAGATCCGCATAATCTCGTCTTCGGTGCAGAACCGCGCGAGCGTGCCCCCCAGCGCCCGGTGCAGGTTCGTCAGCAGAAGGACCGCGCTGGTGCACTCGGCCTCGCTCCCACTGCTCCACCAAGTACACCAAACTCGAAGCAAGCCTAGGGAGAGCAATTACCTGCGAGAAGGATTTTTGAGGACTTGGAAAATCTGAAAAGTTTCAAGAAGTCAGGATTTGAGGGTTGTTTCGGCCTCGCAGGGCTGCCACTGCTCCACCAGATACACCAGGCTCGAAGCAAGCCCGGGAAGGGCCACCACCTGCGTGAAGGGATTTAGGAATTGACATTTACGTCTCTGGATCTACGTTTCGAGGATTTGAGGGGCTCCGCCGGGCGTGGTTCGGGCCTCGCGCGCCGGAACGAGGGACTTTCCGGGGCGCAACACCCGGCCTTGCGAGCCTTTCACTGCTCCACCAAGTATACCAGGCTCGAAGCAAGCCCGGGGAGAGCAACGACCTGCGAGAAGTGTTTCAGGGGCTTGATATTAAGAATGGCGATTATGGATTTTTTGGGTTGTAAGGACTCCGTGCGAGAACCCAGCCTCACAAGTCTCCCACTGCTCCATCAAAGACGGGCCAGGGTCGAAGGAAGCCCGGGGATGGACACCACTTGCGAGAAGGGTTTTAGGCTTTACGTAAGACGGGGCCTCGCAAATCTTTGACGGCTACATCAGGTACAACAGGTGGGAGGAGACTGGGGTTCAAGGACTTCAGTTTTTGGGGTTTGCTCTGAATGGGCGAGCACGGTACATTCCCGGAGCTAAATACAGACATCACTCAATACGATTTCCACAATTCAAACGCCCGACTGACCTCCTGTGGGTCCTGCTGCGATGACGTCAGCTGCGTCAGCAGCCTGGCGGCCTGCACGACGACCGTGTGGGTACCGGTCGGGTCGTCCTCTTCCCCCTTGCGCCACGTGATCGCGCGCGCCAAAGCCAGCAACTCCCCCGCGCGCGCGTGGACCTTGTTCCTGATCACCCACCGGCCGACCTTGCGGGTAAAGGCGTCCCACATTGGCTGCAGGATGACAGCACCCGAGGCCTGAAAATTCCATTCATTTAGTGTAGTGCTTTGAGCTTGGAACCGGAAATTTTTCGGGGAGTCAGTTTAGAAACCTCGAATGGAAAAACGGCCAACGGAAAACGAGACACGCAGCGCTGTCGAGGATGAAGCGTCATAGAGGCGTGTTTGCGAAGACTTGATAATAGCTCGATCAGCCCTGACGCCATTAGGGTATTTCCTGAAGCCGGTAGTTGCAATGTTTCGAAGTTCACTCACCTGCCCCGTTGCGAAGGACACTTTCCCCGGCAGGAATTCCCGCTCGCCGCGGCTCGGCATCATCATATTGGCGAAAATGCGCAGCGCCATTGATTGCCCACAAGCCCAGCGCCCGCGGGGGACGAGAACCTCTGGCGACCCAGCCTCGAGACGCGCGCGCACCTCCGGGCGGTGCAGCTCCTCGAGCAGAGAAGCCATGGCGCCATACTCCCTGGAAAGCGGAGTAAAAGGTCTCAATCAATGTTTGCTTGTTGTTCATAAAGTGCGCGCTTGTGTCAACCTCAAAAGCTCCACTCGATTTTTTCAATCTCTGATTGCTCCATTCTTTCCACTCACCAGATCGTCGCTCTTTTCTCTGAGCGGGAGTCGCTCCAAACGATCACCGAATACGCTCCTTCAATAACATAAAATCAGCAATATTTGACTCTCCTATCAAAATCCATTTCGCTTCTCCTCTCACCAGATCTTGGGCCCCAGGCTCGGAGTCCGCGAGAAGAGGCCCACCGTATCCAGCACTTCGAAGCGCGTGGCGAGGTCTTGTTCGTGCAGCATTCGGACCATCGCTTTGAGGACGCCCGCGTCCGCGAGGTTGCGCCGCAGCTGGTGCGTTCCGTTCCTTATGTTCTGCGCAGTACGAGCGGAAATTTCTGGAAATGGCCCTCTAAGAGCGATTAGCTGCAGTCAAATCTGCCGGTGTGTTTGCCACATCTCCGTGGGTGTTCTCGCACTCGACGACGTGTGCTTCTGGCTGCAGAACCGTACGGAAAATGGAATGGTCTTCGACACTTTTGCGGCCTTTCAAGGCAAAAAGTGTTTGCGGGATACTCGACTTGAGCAGAGAAAGTCGCGCTCTGGGCTTGGCTGAAACCTGGTGCATGAATTCCAGTTCTTGAGTATCTTACAAAGTATGACAGTTGATTGGACACCAGCCGAAGATTGTAGAAGTCTCTGACTCGGAGGGAATATCTAGTAGCAATCGATGAGCGCCAAAGGATAACATCCAAAGGCTATGCTCTATTCATCAGCCTGTGAACCAGCGGTTGACGTCCGACTATTTTCAAAACTACTGGCGCCCATCAACAGTATTCAGAAACATGCTAGAAACGTTCCTGATTCTGCCCTTTCTATTCCCGCTGAACGGAACCTGAAGCTCTTCTTCATCTAAGCTCTGCACACCGATCTGTAGACCCTGCCATCGTCTCAACACCCGCACATCGTCGTACAACCTCCCGCCTACAAAACAGCATTCCCGCTCACCTCTTCCAGGATCAGTAGCCCACTCCGGCGCACGGCGCTGCTGGTTCCTTTGACCATCAACCGGATTCCGCCCTCGTTAACGACTTCCGGCGGAAGAGTCTTCTGCTGCAGCAGCTGTTCCACCGCCTTGTCCGCCACCGCGCGCGCGTGCTCGTCCGTTGTGCGCTCCAAGAAGTGGACCGCAACGGAGAACCGGGCCTCGTCCGGTACGTACCGGGGGCCCTGCGCGGGCACGGGATCTGTGGGATCTGCAAGTATAAAAGTGCCCGACATACGATGCTGCTGACGTAATCTATCTGAACTGTGTCCCTGCCAAGAACTTTGAAAAAAGGGGAAGAAAGGAGGAGTCGTGACTTGGCTCTCGTGGACCAGTAGGTACAAATTCGAAGATTCTAAAAACGAGAGGTGAGGAGATGCTCTAAGGGCGGCTTTTCAGATGTCGTAAGATTGATTTGCAGGATGTTAAAGTTTGAGCATTCTAACAAAATCTGGGGCTTTCTGAAGCGAAAGGGTCAGCCGCCTTCCTTAAAAGTAACGAGATAGGGAATGGGCATCATTCTCAAGTCCTGCCGCATTCTGAAAGACAGGTTCTCTAGATGTTACGTGGGGCCGAAGATATAGCAGAGTCAACTTCGCTAGGATCTCAAAGACTGCTGCTCTTGCTCTGGAAACACTCCCTTCTCGAAAGTGTTTCTGCGTTGCAACAAAGTCTTCTCGAGGTTTGTCGGGTCTGTCGAGACCCCCAAAACTAGCGAGGGCTCCGATGCACAGTCCACTTTGAGAGTACTGCGCCTTGAAAAGTTTGTTGCCTTCAAGTCGGGCCGAGGGCGGTACGCCCCTTACCTGGCTTTCGAAGTTCTGACGTCAGCCTGTCGACTAGGTCCCGGTGGGTGACGCAGTCAGTCGTGTCGACGTCCAAAAGCTTCAGCTTTTCGCGCAGCTCTTCAGAGCTCAGGTAGAACAGATTGTACAACCCTGCGCAGAAGACGGTCCGTGAAGTTTTGTTATCTAAAAAGAAGTCTGATGTGGAGATTTAGGAAGCAGCCTTAGCTTCGGCTTTGGAAGCTTGAGGGGAAGCTTCTCTGAGCGTATGTATCATCGAAAGCTCGAGCAAAGAGGGTAAACGGCAAGATCAAGACTGCAAACGTCACAACCTGATGGAATGATAGGAAAAACCAGTGACTGTAAAGATCAGCAAACTTTGTATGCGCCCGGCCGATCAGGTTGAAAGCTTGTAAAGCACCATACCGAACCTTGCGCAGAATCTCATTTGCGTATTTTTACTCCAAAACGCTTCGAATGATACTGAGTACTGATTGCTCACTGCACAGATTCGCTGCCGACGCAGCCGCGTCCGCTTCTGAGAGATGGACTGGCTGCGCATTGTCCTTGCCACGTGGCACGCTCTCTGTGGCCGCTTTCGCGCTTGCTGACGCGCCTCGCTGCCCCGCCTGTGCTGCCAGGTCGGTGACTAGGGTGCGGGCTTTTTCCTGGAGGTCAGCCTTCTCGAGGCAGTTCTGGTGGCACACTCCGTGATGCAGAAGAAACGCCTTGAGCTCTCTCACGTTCATCTGATCAACTCTCTCTGTGTCGCTGGGGCGGTTCTGCAAGATTGGTGGCGTAGGGTTTGACAGGTTGGGTGAGGGGATCGGAAGGGAAGCGTTCGAGGAGATGTACTCACGGAACAGAGGTCTGGAAAATCCTTTTCAGAAACAGACCTCAACGGAACGGAACGGAACGGAGGGAACGGATAAAACTGAGGCTCGATTTCGGAGAGCCCACAAGGAAGGTCGAAAGGACGCTGCAAGGTTGGATGGTATACAGGGCAGCCTGAATCGAGAAAAAAGAAGAATTCTAGTTTTGCAGGCTTCTTCTGCATCCTCCTCCATCTTCGTGCATGCCCTAACCTGAAGGTCAACCTGCTATCAAGTCCTTGGATCTAGTAGTCGACATGAGGTTCATGAAGCAACGGCCGGACTCCTGCTTTCGGTCCGAAGAAGAAAGCACTCATAACCAATGTTAGCCTTTGCGCAAATCCGACATTACCGGATCTGCAGGACCTTTTGAATTTTGGGTCCAGCATGCAGGAGACACCTCTTTCGAATCTAAAACGAATCAAGCAGATGTGCTCTGGTGTCTGCAACTCTGCGGACATCCACGTAGCTCACAAATGTGAGACCAAGCCTAGCATGCGAACGCCAAAAATGAATCGGGAGGACTTGACTCGCAAAATGAGGCCCAGAATGGTCGCTCCTTCATCAGAATAAGTCATGGGAACGACGCAATCAGATCAAACAGAAGACTTCTTTCTAAACAACAGCCTTTGGAAACAGAAAACCCATGCAATCGAGAAGACTTTATGGTGACTTGATTAGCTAGCAGCAATCAGACCTGCTCTTGAAGAGCTTTTGGCCTGGTCTGGAAGATCTTAATTAGACAACCATCGCACCTTGGATTGCTCCAGCAATCAAAGCAGAATTAACCAGCCAAAAAGTTTCAGAAAAGCCACCATCTCAAGGAGACGCTCAAAAATGATGAAAGTTTCTGAACCTAGCACTGATCTGGAATGTTGATACCGCCACCTTCACGTCAGGTGACGTCACCCCAACAGCTTTCAACAACCTTGAGAAACCACCATCTTGAAGACCTCGACCAGATCACCATGTTCCTAGAGTTGCTATTGAAGACCAGCTTTCCAATCCTCTCAATCAGGAGCTTTCGCGACCTCCAAGATCCATCACCTTCAGAGACACAGCGGAAAGACCAAGGAGCTGACTAACCTCTGAAGTCGGCTCCCTCGTTGCAGCACAACAATTGCAGCAGTTCCTCATTGTCTCCATCGCCATGCACCGCTGTGATCCAGCCAACTGTGACTCCTGCAACCTTCAATGGAGGACGATCCCGCAACCACTTGCGTCTGCGCAGTTGACGCCAGCCGCTGGCCTTCCTCTCCGTACTGAAGACCGCAGCTTTTGCTCCTGCCTCTGTAGGGCGGTTGCCAGCAAACTTTGCTCTAAAGCGACTTCTTCGAGTGCATGCGCAAAGCTCGAGCTTTTGGATGGGGCGAAGTGCAACATCGAGTCGACGCTTATAGTGGGGTGGCCGCTATAAGCCAACCAGCTATAAGCGAGTTGCCTATAGCGGGACTTCGTCAACACACACCATCGATCACTCAGAATCTCTGATCGATGCAATTTGGCTCCTACGTCCGAGCATGCCCCCTGGGCCCGACTAAGGGTCAAGAAATCTGGACGTATAGCAAAAAATCTGAAGCCCAAATCCGAGTTGCCTGGCAAGTCGTCCCCCAAGCAGACCGGACCTACTATACAGTACAGCGCTCTCCAGCTCACCAGAAATCAAGGGGTGTGAGCATCAGTAGAGCTGGCTGTAGCCCATGAGTTAAGTACGTCAAGGGGCCATATTCTAAGGCATGCATAAGCATTGCACCCTAGCTTCAACCACTGAGCAGTATTTCCTCAGAACGCCTAGTATAAGTGCATGCACACCAAAAGTGTGAAATTATACGCAGTTTGGACTAGCCTGATCTAAGATTTTTAACCGCTGCCGCCCAGACATAAAAGCACATACGTCCGACAAGTTGAACGCATAACCATTGAGTAAAGCCTGCGAGGCCAACGACCAAGAACGCCAAACTTGAAAGTTATAATCACTGCAGATGCAACAGGTGGAAGTCCGGTCCTGTCAGACAGAAGATCGACAACTTGCGGCACAACTCATATATGACAATCCTTTCCTGCAGTGCCACATGATGTCCCGACATGGAGTTCGGATTGACTCGAGATTCGTCACCAGCAAAGACGACTGGATAGGCATGCGGCGGATTATGGACTTTGTCACTCTTTGAAAATGGTTAGGCAGTGAAAGGTCCGTGCCCATCTGCGCTAGCATCACTCAGGTATTCAGTTTAGTATCGCAACGCATCGCCCACAACATGCTGCCCAACATTCACAACCGACCGGCCTCGAAACGTCGGGAGCTGGCCCGCATAGCCCCCCCGGCTATTCCCCCGCTCACGCCCCGCTCTCCGAGGACTTGCCCCACTTGCCACAGTCCCCCCTCGCCCACCAAACCCATTGGCATAGTTACGGGCTGCAAAATCAGACCCCGTCGTTTGTGCATAAGCAGCTGACGAACCGCCGATCGATCTTCCTTGGTTGACTCCTATCGCTGTAGCCACATCGGCATCGCTCGTTCGGGTTGCTGAAAACACAAACGGGCTCTCCGGTCGACCGCTTCTAGAGTAGCTCTGGGGATGCGCATACTGAGTGTGTGGTTCGCCATGACTACCTCCAAACCCGGGGGGGAAACCCACAGTCCCCTGCCACCCAAACGAGCCCCCCCACGAGTTGTGGACGTGCCCGTTCCCGCCTTGCAAAGGCAGCCTGTCGTGCCCCATTTCTCTATGGCAGTTGGCAACTTCGCCCCCATTCACACCGCCCTCGTTTGTCCGACCCTGATAATGCTCGATGGCCCCATTCACACCAGTCCCGCCCCAATGGCGACTGGCCCCGTTGACAAACCCCCCCGCTGCTTCGCCCGCATGTCCATCGCCCCACTGCGCAGTCCTGCCAGTCACGCCGTCCCCATTCACACCGCCCTCAACCGCAGACCGCCCAGTGAACATACTTTGATCCACGATGCTCGCATTTCCGGCTCCGCTCATCCAATGGTGTCTCTCCACTAACTCATTCAGCCGCCCCGCTGGTTGTCCGTGCCCCTTCACACCGAAACCGCTGCCCCCCATCCCGCCCCTACTTGCCGTAGGCCCTTCCATTCCAATCTGCGACTGCCACGTGGGCAGTAACGATTCGTTGACGCCAGTCTGCCCCCCTGACCCACGAGCGTCCCCGTTCACACCACCGCTTTCTCCCAGGTTCCTCAACTCCAACCTCCGTTTCTTCTTCGCCTTCCTGCCCAACGGGCTGACGTCAGCACCGCCCTGCGCCCCCTCTCCGGCTGCCACATGTCCTCCAAGCCCCTCATCCTGGCCGTCCCCGCCCGCGAGCTTGATCACCGCTCTTCGCAGCACCGCCCGATGCGTTTCGTCCAACTTCCCGATCGGCATCGGCAGCCACGTGACTGGGCTCCCCCCGACCGGCCGAGACCCTCGGAAAAGTTTCTTTGACACTTCTTTCCAGACACGCACCGGCTTCTTTGCCTTGGCTGGAACCCCTTGCACTGCGTCACCTCCCCGGACCATGATTCGTGCCAGCTGGCAGAACCCCTCTCTGACACGTGGCGCGTAGGGGCTGAGCTTCAACTCGGCCAAAGCCTGCGCGGTCACGTCCCGCTGCAAGAACCGTTTCCGCTGGGCTCGCAGCGCCGCAACTGCCTCCGCCTTCGGAACCGGAACTCCGTTTCCGTCCACGACGCGTTCCCACACCGCCTCGTCCGTGACCTTGTTTTCCGACGCCGGCATGACGTCATCACGCAACGGCAACCGCAAACTCCCCTCGCTCAGGGATGGCTCAACGGTTGCCCCCGGCCAAAGCTCTCCTCCGCTCGTTTGCGTTCGCGCTGTCGGCATTCCGTAACTCCTCTCCGGAACGTGACTCCGTCCGCCATTCCCTTCTCTGTCCGTATGAACCCCAGCCGCTCTGCAACCCGTTGCCTCACTTTCCGTTTCCGGTGGTCCGTCGAATCGAGTCCGTTCATTTGGCAGTCTTGAGTCGTGCGGCAACCCATCAATCCACCCTTCACCGGCGCCGTCCACCGGACGCGTAACGAAACCCTCCTCGTCCTTGTCCAGCTTTTTCCACTCCCCCGCTGCATTTTCGGGCCCGCAACCTTCGCTGACGCCACTGAACCGCGGCCCCAGGTTATGCAAACCCCCGTCGTTAACCAAGCCACGTGTCAGCTTCTCAGCGGACTGCGCGGGATTGGCGCTCCCGCTCAGCGGCAGTCCCGACCAGAACCCCCCCGCAATGGTCGCCTCGCAGGCTTTCTGGACCGCTCCTGCGAAACTCAAGGCATTGTTCCCGTTAAGAGGTCGACCTTCGGGGCTATTCACACCAGTCGACTTCGCCCCCCCTCCTTTCAAACCCGCCCAAGAACTGGCGCCTCCATTGCTGGGGTAGCCCGGCAGAGTCTGGTGCCCGTTCACACTGCTGCCGCCAGGACCACTCATCCACTCCTCCTGTCTCGGTGTAACGCGGACTGCGGTTCCCCCGCCAATGCCATCCTTTAGGACTCCGATCCCGGGACTGCTTTCCGCCCTTCCGGAAGAAAGCCACGTGTCCAGCGTTCCCGCACCCTTGACCGGTTTCAGCATCGCCTCCACAGCCCCCCCATCAAATGCGCTTCGCTTCGCTGGCTGTTCCGTGCTCTTATCCCAAACGTGAGGGTTTACGTACACGCCCTTCTGCTGACTATGCTTGTTAAGGTGCAAATCCCTGGCGGACTGCAGTCCCCCGCTTTTGGCAAGTTTCTGTTTCTTAGCAGCGACTGGAGGGAAGGGGTTTGCGTTCTGAGTTGCCCCGGGGGCGTTTTGCTTCCGTTTCTTGTTCGGGGGGGGCTCGGCAGGGCCACCGGGAGCCCCCTGCCACGGGGCATGGCCCTGTTTGCGCTTTTTGTTGCCCTTGTGGAGGACCGGGCCGTCTACTAAGTGCATTCGATCTCTGTCAATCTGCAAGGAGCGGCCCAAGATTCTTTACGGCCGCGACAAACAACATCGATTTCATGGGGGAGTGAAACATGTGGCCAGACCATAGTGTAGGAAAAGACAGAGAGCACGAAGAAGGGTAGAGAGCAGAGTACAATAAAGTAATCGGAACTAAGAAGCCAGGAGTCGATGTGAGAGAGCATGGCGGCTTTGACGGAATCAAGACGGTGGGGTTGGGACATAGCCGTAAGAGAGGAAACTTGAGAAAGGGATATCAGACGAGCCAACCCGATAGACAGCGGGGAGACAAAAACAGGCTTCGGCTGCTTGGCATCAAATTTGTAATCTGATGATTACAATTGGGCTCTCCATCAGTTCCAAATTTTGAACATCTTGCTGCTTGCATGACCGAAGACTACTGACCGGGTCACAGGTCCGAGCATTCACATCTCTCACAAACGCATTGATGGCCCTCTTGAAGCGTACAGCGGGGAATGGACTCAACGGTCTGCTCCTAGGATGCAACATCCGGATTGTAACCGGGACATTGACTGGCGTTCGAAACGAGACAGTCAAATCCAAGTTCTGGACAAGTGACTCGCCACAAAGGGAAGACTTCGGGACAATTAGCCGGATCAACGACGCTTTTCAAGTACAAAGCCCGCAAGAGTCGCAAGTAAAGTAAGACTCGTGATCTGACTTGAATACTTACGTCAACGACCTCTCTTATGAGCCCCGGGCGGTTCCAATGTGCTTCCAGCGCATAGCGGACACGAGAGAAGAGGGCTCGGACGTCATCAATGCGGAAGGAGGCCTTCCCAATGTCCTGGCCTGCACAGATGCCGACGTCAGGATTGAATTGGTTCACGACTCGGTTCATTCCGCCAGAGAACATAGAAGGACGGAGCGGGTCGCCCCGGAACGTCTGGCATTAGCTGCTCAACAAGTCTGTCACCCTCACCTTCACGATGTACCTTGCCAGATAAAGTATCCAACTTTCTTCAAGAAGAAGGAAACATGTGTTCGCTCGATTGGAGGCTCGCAGAACTGACGTGCAACACGTAAGGCTCGTGAAACCATTGTGGGAGCGAATGCGGGTTTGTCTAACAAGATGCATTGTCAGATCAATCTCATAACCACGTTTGCCAGTGCAAAAAATTGGCCCACGGTGAGAAGTATCTACATAAACAGTGCTTACCGCGAATCAGTTCTGGACAATCATCAATAAGCGACTCGACCTGCTTTGCCCTACAATACAGTCTGGCGCCCGAGCTCTTTTCAGGCACTCCTAGAGAGAAGGCTCGGAAGCGTTGCTAAAGTCCACTACACGAAGTACAGACCTCCAGATACAGCGAAGAAGCGGCTCAATGTTGGTTTTCAACTCACTTGGATTCTGTGGGTCTTCTACGGATAAAAGGTTTGGGTCCTGCGGTGAGACCCAGTTGCGACTGAACTGCAACAGGATAAGAGACGACTTAGCCTAAACTTCTCCTCGCTTCCTTGTCTCGATTCTGTCGGCATCTCTGGAAACTCGCCCAAGGGCCTCACACAGTCGCCAACTCAAGGCCGAGAAGTTAGCCCTTCCGAGGCCACTCACAAACCGACTCAAGTCGCACTATACGGCAGTTGAGAGAGGAGGCATTCGCTAAGAGCTTCCGTCTGCTGAAAGACAGGGAGGCGTGCCTCACCTTGTTCCGGCGGATTCCGGGCTTGATGGCGACAACATCCGTAGCGTAGTTATGCTGGATGTCGTAGCGCCGCAAAAACCCGAGCAGCAGTGTGCCAAGGTCGTGCTGAGAAGCGGGGTCCGTATTCTGGAAACAAAGAAAAAGCACCGTTGGGACAGACTGCCTTTTGCGAATCGCTGTGCCACGCAATCCCCTGCATCCTGAAACCTTGAAAATTTGCACGGATCTGCGCAGGATAGAAGCGGACCAAACGCTGTGTAACCTTTTGGATTTGTTCGCCCTTCTCTACCCCCGGGTATCTCACCCAATCAAAGATTGCTCTTGAAACAAGAAACGTAGACCCCCGAGCAGTCAGGGCTGTGCTGACGTACAGCGGCTGCGAAAATCTCGATGAGCCAAAATCTGTCAGGGTTGCGAGGAAGCAAACCGGCCGATGAGTCGCTTGTATTATATTCCATATTGTCGAGTTTCGAAAAACGTATCAGTCGGGAGCAGCGCCGACCTGCAGGTCCTGAAAATACACGGGAACAAAAACCGAGACGGGTGCATTTAGGTACGGGGTTAGGGCAGGTTAGGGAGGTGCGTGGACAGGGCCATAACCCTGTTGGTCTAAGCATCCGTCTGATTTAAAAACGTTATTCTGAGTGGATCCGGAAAGAGGGAGCTGACCTGCAGGTGCGCAACGATCATGTTGAGGAGGCAATAGCTGCCGATGCCGCCCGTGTACACTTCCTGCAGCCCGTTCTGGCCCAGCAGGCACTTGAGCACCTGCGCATGACGTCACGCGTGACGTCATCTTCGTGCCACGCTTCTGGAGGAGGCGCATGAGGCACTTAACCGGGTGTCCAGACGAAAGCTCAGGAAAAGTTGAGAAAAAGTTCATGCGGCTCGACTTGGAGCCGCTGATCCCAGCAGCGTGTTCGATCTTAGAAGCTCTGCGAATGCCATACAGCATAGATTAATAAACGCTCTCTCAACAGGCGGGACGTGCTGGCCTGGCGTTGGTGGGACGAAGCAGCCAGAAGTACAACTCAGAAAAAACTCTCTCTTGGCAAGTGCAGGGACGCAAGAACATATGAGCAGCGGACCACGCTCACGGCCATCAACGAAAACATGGCATGAGAACTACAAAGAACTTCCATTACACCCCATTGATCTGTGCATCGGAATGGGCATGGGGCTGACTAAATCCAGAGATCCGGAGCCAGACCAAGAACAGCCTATGAGAACTTTGAGAGAAAAGTTAAGAAGCGGCCCCCCTTACCAGACAGAGGTCGCGTAGGGGTGCGTACTTCTGCACCTGCTGCCGGATGAATGGCACGGCGTTCGGCCCGTTCATGACAAAGAAGGCGATGTCGACGGCGAGCTTTGGCTGATGGAGGACGCATTTTACGATGGGGACCTGCGTCGAGCTTCCGGTTTCAGAGCAGCAGACTGACATTAACAAAAGTCAGCAGTACCGTCAAGACCCGGATACCCGAAACTGCTCAGATTGGCCTGCTGCAACGAATCCCTGTTTTGAGGCATATCCGTTTGAGGTCGCCTTTCTTTTCCCCTGAACAAAGATTTTGCAAACCTTTGACGACAACACCAGACACTACAAGAAAGGTCGATAACCACCCAACTTTGTGGCGCCGAAGAAGATGAAGTTGTGGCGTCGAAACAAAGTTTTCAGTGCTTGATATCTGAACCCAACAAAATAGCCTGCCAACACATCCTGGTTACCTTGGCATTTGGCACCGTCTCCACCTTGGAGCACAGCTGCCAGCCTTTGAGGCAGCCCTTCATTGCCGACAGCCACTCCCGGACGGGGGGCATGCGCGAACGCCGGGTCTCGGAGCCGCACACGACAAGGTCGAGATCGCTCCCACAGTGCGCCAGACCCGTGGCAGAAGAACCAAACATAATCACCTGGCCAAACATAGAGGTACTCGAATCGTTTTTGAGCACACGACAAGGCCGAAAGCGCTTTTGCAGTGAGCGAAACCGTGGCAGAAGAACCAAACATAACCACCTGATCAAAGGATTTGAGTGTTCAGGCCTGGCCAAAAATGTATCCTTCCCCTTTAGTCGGGTCTTTGTCGCCTTTACTTGATTGCCTGAATTAAGCACCTTGGCTCGGTTATGCGGCTCCGTTCTTTGTTGAAGACGGGATAAGGAATGTTTAGCTTTGAGTGTAAGCAGCAGTCGATTTTCAATTAGCGCTGTGTGATGACAAAGCACCACGAATGAAGACTGCTTTTGTCTTGAGGCTAGTTCGGACGTGTTCGGTCACCACTGCAAACTGCGTGCCTTACTGACCGCTTCCTTCAGAGTCCACCAAGTACCACAGGCATCCCACCCTTTTGACACGTGAGCAGAAATCAGTAGAAAAGCCCTTTCGTCATTGTACACTGGAGATAAGAAACTTCGAAACCACACCACCAAAGTGTGGTCCGTTTGAGGTTCTATCGAGAGACACAAGGAGCGCTTCTCTTACACTGACAAGGGCGCACTTCAAGGGACATAACCAAACTTACCTGAGCGTACGGCCAGACCTCCTGCGCCACATCTCTTATGATCCCAACCGCTTCCTGCCTTTCCTGCACTTCCTGGGGGGTCAGCTCCAGTCTTTTCACAAGCGCCACTATCTCGTGGTGCAACACTGAGAGCTGCTGGAGGGCCGGGCCTGCCGGCAGGGGGGGGTACGAAGGCAGGGGCGGGAGGGGGGGGGTCCAGGAGGGGGTTCAGGTTCTTGGGGGGGCGGAATGTCGAAGGACGTCCATAGGCCAGAATCTTCCTCGGCATCAGCGGGGGGCTGGAAGTCCTCCATTTTTGGCACCCCCCCAAGAATGGTGGGTGGACTTGAAGGATTTGAGCTAAAATGTCAGCCTGCAAAGCAAAGAAAAAGTATGTTTTGACACATCGATGCTGTCAGCAATCCGAACGGCGGGCAATGTAGAGAAGGGGCCATGGTGAGAGAAGATAGCGGGTGATTTGTTAGTATGCATACAGCGCCAAGGAACAAAAGCAGCCAATCAAGAGAAGATGGGGATGCCAGGGCGAAGAAAGATTCCCAAGACCTCTTATTGGTGGTCATGTTGGTGGCATCAGCGGTTGTAAGATCGATGATGATGGTTGAAGATTCAAATCATATTCGAACGAGTTGGCGGAGCCAATTTCTACGTGAGCTGCACAGCATCATTTCGATTGAGAGCATTGCGAAGGGCGCTTTCGGAATCAGCAGCCTTTCAAAGCACTAAGCGACCAGATCATCAGCCATTCAAAGTGAGTATCTCACTAGTCCGGAAGCTTGAAAAGTTCAGTGCCTGCGCATGTGTGCGCCATCATTTGAGATTTGAAAAAGGAAGCAGAACTTACCCAAGGGCAAAACTAAGGTGAACGCGTGCCGCCATTGACAATGATGGCACCCCAGCACAAGTGTTGGGCAAGAACCTGTGCGGAGAAGCCTACAATTTCCAGCCCGCTGGCACAAATTCTGCACAGCTCAGCCTAGCAAAGCGCGCCTCCCAGTGGCAGAGGGCCAGAAATCATCATTGACATCATGCATGCATCCGGATCAGGCTGCAGCGCGCGTGGTAACAATAACACAACTTCAAGCTTTTCGTTCGTTGTCGCTGCCTGCATATTCAAGTATCCAACCTAATTGCACTCTAAGTTTGAGGGTGGGAGTTAGGGTTTTCCTTGCTTTCGTGTGCGGATCGGAGGGAGCTCCCAAACCTGAGTGCAAGAACAGGGAGGATATGCGCGAGGGAGAGCAATGGCGCATGCACACAGCAGCCAGCTGTAGGCATTCCCCTTGGACCGATGTAGTGGACTAGAATTTGCTGGTGCGGTGGCTTAACAATGGTGGGCGTCTCTTTCCGGCTGCAGAAGCCGGCTTTCCGGAGGCTGGGAGTGGGGCCGAAGCGCAATTACAGTAGTCCAAAGCCGTCACCCCCATCAGATGGAAAAAAGAGCGAGATGCAGGATGCTGTCAAGCAAGAGTCGGCTGGGAGTGGACTTGCAAGAGAACCGTCGGTTGCGGAACCAAGTCCTGCAAAAGTTCAAGATGGAAACGTCTCGGACGATGGCAGGTCGCAGTTGGATGGAAATCGGCCGGTGAGCAATGATTGGTGTAACACAACAAAGATTACTTTGCTGGCTGCCAATAGCCAGAAGCGATGGGGAGCGCTATGTCTCGATCAATGGACAGGAAAAGAGTGATTAGCTGTTTGCTTCTGACTGGATTGATTCCAGAGAAGCGATTGGGGAGCACTTTGTCTCACTTGATGGCGAGAGTGGTCTTGCTTGTCAACCTGACTGTCATCACTGGCCTGCATGTGATCCATTTTTAGCACGCAGAAGATTGGGGCCGAGCTCTGCATTCTGCACTTTTTGCGCTGGCTTTTCAGTAGAAGCAAATGTAAGAAATTTTGGATTTTGCACCAATTGCAAACCGGAATGTCGTTTCTATCTCCGTCCTTCCTTGGTGCGATTGAAGGCATTCCCTAGCAGCCTTTTCCTACTTTCTGGCGTGCAATGATTGCAGAGAGACTTTCTGTAAAGCAGCAGTGTATCAGAAGTTTGGTGCAGGGGGGCTTACTGGTCAATCAGCTTACACAGCACTAAGCATCCAATCAATACAGCAAAGGTGGTGGTTGTCTATCTCCAGCTTGCCACTCTTAAGACATGAGCTCAGAAGTTGAGCTTAATGCTTCGCAGAACAGTGGTTTCATTTTCAAATCATACTACTCACAAAGCTGAAGCAGCTTCTTTATGCCCAAGAACCAATAAACTGCATGGAGGTAGCCTTAAACATCAAAAGGCTTCAAGTGTTTCATGAAGGCATGCTAGGCAACTTGCGCTTGTCAGGCCTCATCGCTGAGATCCACTGGCGAATCTTTGCTTAACCAACTGGCCTGGACTGTCGATCCTGCAGCGTAGTAGCAGCCGAGAGAGCACGCAGCCGTTGGGGAACGGTGTCCTGAAGTCGCCCAAGGGCGAGAGACTGAGCGCCAAGAGGAAACGGAATGACCAGGTCAGCTCCCTTGCACATCGCAAGAGGATTTGATGCCTTCTCGACTGCAATCTAGATTATGCGGCGTTGAAAGGACGCGCTAAAGTCGTACGGCAAGTGGGGCAGCTTTTGAAATGCTGCCTCTGGATCCCCTCGTTTCTTCAAATCTGCCTCGCTTCAGAGTCCCCTTGCTTGCTCAAAATAATGTCTCCCTTGTGAAGCACAGAGAGCTTGCCCCGCCCTCAAGATCCTGTGAAATCAATCCAAAGTTCTACCCTTAAACAACTGTGCCCTCCCTCCCCTTCCTATATCCACTACAGTACTTTCACTTTTCTGGCCCCTTCTCGATTCTTACAGATTCTCAAGGGCCACAAGTCGCTGCGTAGCTTCTTGCGCGCTGCGCGCGCCGCACGTCCGTCAGGTGGCGCCTTTCTGCTGGACCACCTCCCCGATCTACCCGTCTCTTTTGCGGTCAACCTCCTTTCCTCCGAGTTTTCCCTCGACACCCCCACCGAAAAAGACGGAAAATATCCAGCTTATAAGACCGTGTCTAAGCTGCCCGCTTATCCCATCAACCGAGCAACCGAGGGGTTTCTAAAAGCGTTAGACCGGGGCTGCATCCCAGCGGAGATGATCAGCGAGCTCCCGTGCACTTATATCGACGGCTGCCTTATTGTGGAGCTTCGGGACTACCGGGACTGCAGGGTGGGACCGTCGCAGGGCAGCGCAGGCACCCCCAAAGGGATCCCCCGCCCTCCTATCGTCCATAAGCTGTTGCTCCGGCCAGACACTGAGAGCATAATCAAAGAGACGTCCAGGCTTGGGAAGGAAGCGAAACTCTCCTACCAGGAGCAACTAGAGTTGGAGGCCAGGTCACTACGGGCGATGCAACCAGACCTGTGCCTCGACCTGAATCCCAGAACGCTGTCAGAAGCAGCTTCAAGCGCCTATTCCCGGTGCAAAATGGCGCTCCCCCGGCGGCCCAGCGTTCTCCGATATAAGGGCTCGATCACGGCGCGGCGCGTGCAGGCGCTGAGGTCAGCGAGGGAGCGCCGGGCGTTGCTTGCAGAAGGAAAAGCGGCAAAGCGGGAGTCGCTTCCGCCGTTCCCGCCGGAACTGATCGAGTTGACGGTAGAGGATCTGATGGGGTCGCGGCCGACCAAGCAAACAGAACGGATGCCGTCGCCAGTGGCGGAGGACAAGCCAATTGCGCTCATACGTGAGCTTTCATTCCTTACAATAATATTTGGGATTCGAAGTGCGGCTACTGCGGTCATCTGTTGGGTCCATTTGAATTGCTCTTCAGTCCTAATAGTTCTGTACAGGGTCCATGTCCAGCACTTTGATTCCAGAAGAATGTGTATGCACCAAAATGAGTTTCGTTGGGCCCACTTTAAACTTCTCTTCAAGGGGTTCGTTGGAGCACGTTGTTGTTTCAATCAACGTGAACCCCGTTGGAGCACGCTGTTGTCTCAATCAACTTGGAACCCCGACCACCAGTTGAAATGGTCTCACCACGAGGTTGTAAGAGGTCCCAACTCAAGCAGACTAAGATTCCTGTTTTGTCTTGTGAGGTTCCTCAACAAAGAGCTTGCAGTTGCGCTTGCGTTTCCAACCCAAAGTCGTGACGCGTTTCTCAACTGAAATCCAGAAAGTCCGAAGACGGCACTTTAAGAAAAGGCACTGCACAAAACTCGAAAGGCTATCAAGACGATCATCGACTGAGCCCGTTTCTTGAAATCTCTCAGGGACGTCCAAGAAGAGCATGCAGAAGGGGCAGCGCGCGCTTGCGGCAGCGGCCGCGGCGGTCGCCGCCCAAAACTCCATCGCCGCCAAAGCGGACAAGTGGGCGAAAGAAGCCGAAGAAGCGCAAGCCGCAGAAGAAAGTCGGGTTCTGGTTAAGGCTTTGGATTTGGTTAAGGAGGAGGATGGGCGGCCGATCGCGGCGGCGGGCCTGAGCGGCGGCAAGAGGAAAACGATGGAGGAGATCCGGGAGGAGCGGGCGAGAGCGAAGAAGCAGAAACAGGAGGAGAAGGAGCAGGCGAAGGAGATGCGGGCCAAGGAGAAGGAGGAGCTTAAGGAGCGGAAAAACCAGGTGAGGATGCCAGTTTATGAAGAATATTAGGGTTTTCTGGAATTGTAGCGCTCAGGCATCTATTAGTTGACCCCTTTTCGAGTGTGTGCGGATGCACGCCTGCCTTCGTGGTGCTTTCGTGGGCTTTGTTTGTGTCCAAAAAGTTTTGTATATGCCTATGTACGAGCAGTCCACTTCGAGACTGGTGGGCGCTTAGGATCTTGCAATGCCGTGTACCTGCTGGGAAGACTGTGTGATAGGGGGAGGCAGGCGTTTGGGCTTTGGCCTTGTCATGCGCACGACGTCCTTGCAAGCATCCTGCGTGAGGGAAGCGTTTCAGGGGCCGAGAACGGGAGCCCACTACAGCCAACGCTTTCAAGCGAACGAGGGAGCGATAAGCCTGGTCGAAAGTCCTGGCAGTAGAGCTCGAGCACTACTGTACTTTCTGAAACTCAATTCGTTCATGAAGTAATCATGTCGTGAACACGTTGGATGCAGGGGAAGCTTCAGAAAGAGAAGCAGAAGCAGAAACAGAGCTCGGCATCTGCCAATCAGGAGAGGGAGGGAGCAAGAGGCGTGGGAGAAAGTGTGGGCGGCCGGGCTCAAGCCTCGGAACTTGAATCTTTCTTTTCGTAAAAATTCATTCGTGCCTGACATGATTTCGTGAACGCTCTGGTACAGGAGAAGCTTCAGAAGCAGAAGCAGAAGCAGACTTCGGCGTCCGCCGACAAGGAGAGGCGGGAGAAGGAAGCGCGGGACAAAGTGGAGGCGGCGGAACGAGCACGGGAGGCCGAAGAAGAGCGGCTGGAGGCTGAACGGAAGCAGAAGGAAGAAGAGGAGAGGGAGAGGGCGATCAAGGTGGGTCGAGCTCGGATACTGTTTGAATCCAATTTGAGCTTCGCTTGTCGTTAAAATTTGTTCGGCTCGGGCATGCTTTTTGGCTGGTTCCTTGGACGATTGTGCTGTTGGCAGGATGATCGAAACGTCGTTGAACTGAGGAGGTATCCCACTTGCACCGCAATGGCTTTCCGATATTAAGTGGACTTGCGTCTCACACCTGCTTGGTCGGATCTCCTCTTGGTCGTATGATCAAACCGTTGCTTCACTGAGTTGGTGCTCCAGTTCTGCTGGGATGACCCTTCTGGTGGAAACCGGACTTGTGTCAGGCCTTTCAGCCGTACCTCATAATATCTGTGCTCACCAGGGAGCTAGTCGCTGGAAACTTTGTACTTCGTTGCGCAGGCTGCAAAGGAGGAAGAGGAGCGGAAGAAACGGGAGCGGCTTGCCAAGGAGGCGCTGGCCAAAATCAGAGAGGTAATTTCATAATTTGGTAGACTTGCGAGTCTCTATGATGGTGCGCGTCTTCTTTTGCTCATCTTCGTAGGCTGCGCCTCCGCTGTGCTGGTTGAACGTCAGATCGTAGTGGTCTTTCCGAAGCTTACCATGCGCAGTAAGGAAGTCGGTGACTGAGAAGTGATTGTTTGCAAGGACACCAAATCTTTGCAGCTTCGCAGATGTCTGCACCTCCTTCTCCAGTGCCCAAGACGGTTCAAGATCTGAACAGTGAACAGAGAGCCGAGGACTATCATCGTTACAGTCGTATCACTCCATTCTCTTCTCTGGCATGCTGCTGACGTAAGCCAATTGCGTTTCGTGCAGGTGCCCAAGACGGCGAAGCAGCTCAAAGAGGAGGCTAAGGAGCGCGAGAAGGAGGCGAAACGCAAGAAACGGCTGGAGGACAAGGCCGCAAAGGAAGCGGAGCGGAAGCGCCTCATCGAAGAGAAGAGGGCCAAGGACGCAGCCGCGATCGCGGCAAGGACAGTCATCAAGACGCCCAGCTTTTCGGGACAGGTAAGCACACACAGTTTCACAGATGGCATGCCCGTTCCTGAGCTGTTTCCAGCGGAACGTATGTCAAAGCGTCGGTGTCCCTGGAACACACTCGTGCGTGCGGACTCCTTGTGCTCTGAAGTGGTCTGGACGCCGACGCTTTTGTTAGGTCGGAAGCGACAGTCGTGGTCGTCGCTGCTTGCGTGCTTTACCGTTTGCCTTGGCCTGCGGGACGGCAAGCTCCTGTTTTGCAGAGGTTTTCAGAATTCTCTTCTTCGAGCAATCCTAATCCAGCGCACTTCTGTCAAGAGGCATCAACTTTGAAGCTACTGAATACGCGCAAGAACCAATGGCCGACCCGGATACTGTTCTGAATAGATACCAAGTCAGGTGCTCTTCCTAGGATCAGCCTCACTGAAAAGGGGCACTTATGACTTCGCGACCGCGTCCCAATGTTCGCCTACAAACACAAACTGCTTCGCTCTTAACAGGTGAAGGGGGAGCCGTCGGAGGATACAAGACTGGGAGTGCGCCCCGGGGCGCCGCCCGTGCCAGGACTCTTGGACGGACACGCGTCGGAAGATGACAGGAAGCTGAAAGTGGACACGAGGGCCGTTCTGCTACAGCTGATACGAAAGTGAGCCTCGAGGAAGAAACGAGATGCCCTTGATTATTTGTCCGGGAAGTGGTGCACTGTGCTGGTTCTCATTCTCGCCCTTCTGGTGCGGTTCGTAAGAAGAGATCCTGAGAAGAGTCTTCCACGTCAGCTCAGCTTTCGGAGCAAGATTGGGACAAGGCCAAAAGAAACACCGATGGTTGATTGGTTATTTATCTGGTCGCAATCTGCTTCTTTGTCAAGACAACTGCCTCGTACGTCCACTAACCTCCGTGTTCTGACCCTGGTGGTCGTACAAATTCAGATCCCAACACCCAAGTTAAAAACTTTGGAGCGTTGTCCTTTCCATCTTTCCAGGTACGACCTCCAACCGAAGCCACCCAAGTGACCCGTCGTCTGCCCTTCCGGCCTTGTCCCGTCAATGCGCAACATGCAGGTTCTAACCCGAGTTTGCGCTACGAAGTTGTCAAGACAAACATTCTGATCATGTACGAAATACCAACATTATGAAACCGCATCCCTCCAGGCACGACTTGCAACCGAAGCCTCCCAAGTCCGACCCCGTCGTCCGCCCCACCGGCGCCGTTCCGTCGATGCGCGAGATCCAGGTGGCGCTCTCGCAGATGGACGCGTCGAAAGACGTGGCGGATCCGACCATGTCGCGCAGCATGGCCACGTCGCTCGTGGGAGGGAGTGTGAACGCGCGCAAAAACCGGGTGATCCACTTCGTCAAGGCGGAGGCACGGCCGGCGCCTGGTAAGCCCTCTCTTTGGCAGTTGGGGTTTTGTTCTAAAGGATATTTTTTTGGAAATACCTTTTTTTTGGTGCTGGCGGTTCGTTTGGTCGTAAACGTGGGCAGATCTAAGGTAATCCTCGTCAAGGCGGAGGCGCGGCCCGTGCCTGGTAAGCCCTCTATTTGGCACTTAAGGTTTTTTCTAGTAGCAATTATTTTTGGATGATGTATCTAGGGGATTTGGCGGTTCATTTGAACGGACGGAAGAGCCGGGGTGATCCACTTCGTCAAAGCGGAAGCGCGGCCCGCGCCAGGTAAGACCGGCTGTGGTTTGCAATTACTTTGGTCATGGGATTCACGGGCTATCGTCCTTGACTCTTGATCGAGATCGACAGTGCGGTCTGCCAGTGAAGGGTGACGTGTGGTCCCGGCAAGGGGGCGCCCATTGTTGGACTTTTGTATTTCAAAATGGCGTTTTAGGATGTCTGAACGGAGAATGGTGGAATTCACTTACGCGAACCCGTTGTTTCAAAAGAGATTGTCGCTTGAAAGCGAAGCCTTTGTCCGCACCCTAAACGAGTGCAACCATACATCTTCGAGATGAGACTGCTTTGGTGCCGATTGAACAAGAAGAGGACCGAGGACTCAGCAAAGCCCAAAATTCTGCCCTAGGAGGCTGTGCACCTGAGATGCGACTGGCGGTTACGGCTAAGAGAATGCACTCATTGTATCTCGTACAAGTTTTGGCCAGATAAGCCACTTCTTTTGTGCGGAAAGTTTACATGGGCGCTGGACTCGAAACGCGGCCGGCAACGATGGAAGTTCTTGACTGGGGCCAAACGTGCGACCCACACGTCCATGCTTCCCTGAGGCCAGCCTGTCTGGAATAATTGCGGTCTTGTTCAGGCTCTTCTTAGAGCTCACGGACTGCAAAAAGCTTCCACCAGCTCGATGGCAGAAAACTTGTTCCTGTCGTGAGTAATGCGTCTTTTCGAAGGTCCTCGCGCCTCGCTGCTTCTATGTGTACGTAGAACGCGTTGCTTCTGGAGGACACCCCTTGCATTCTGCTCCGAAGACCAGAGGGTTTGTTGTCTGTCTATGTGCTTTGCTGCTGGCTGTGAAGAGATGCCTTGCTGTGCGGGCAGTTTTGCCCAAGAACCAAAGGAATCTTGACGCCAATCTCCAACGGAATGCTCGGACTTTGTGCAATCAATTCATTCTCCTCTGCTATCAATCTTGCTCGCCATTGATGAGCAAGCCCCTGGACGACTCTCTGCCGCTGATGGTAGAGCTGACTCTGGTTATGCCTTCGCTTGGAGTCTGTCGCAAGTAACAAATGTCCGAAGGTCTTCCCTCATTCGGAGGATGCAATCTCGAAACTACTGCATCGAATTTCGTGTCATCGCGGCTTAAAAGATTCGACCTTGTGTGTCGAATCTCGCTTTCTCGTCGAATCTGGTTGTGTAAGCTAGCTTAGAGGTTTCCTAGGTTGTCTCGAGCTTTGGCTGTGATTTGGGCTCAAAGTGAGGACGATCTCTGTCCTCATTGGTTGAACTCTTTTGCTGAAGCCATACTTGATGTTACATTGTTGGTGGCCCTTAAAGAACTTCAAAGCTCCTTGCTTACTGAAGCGACTAGCATTGTGGGCAGCTTTGGTCTCCGGGCCTCTTAGATTCACGACTTTCCCCCATGTACAACGAGTTCATCATTCTGATTCTGCAAGTTCACTTCGTTCGTGCTTCCTGGCTGGCATGGACGACGGAAACATGCTCGAAACAATCTCAGGCGGTCCAAAGATCCGAGGCTTGGAACACCATGAAGTCAGCGCAATCAACAAAGCCACAATTTTCGCCTTCTGCGTTGCAACGACTTCAAAAAACTTATGCTGGCAGACAGTCGCGGCATGTAAACCTCATCGATCTTGTCCTCTTCGCATCTGCTTGGCCTGCCACTGTAAGTCCAAGTTCCCAATAAGGTGGGAGGATCTAGCGTCAGCCCTTATGGTGTCGTCTTGCCTATGTTGGCACTGCTTAGTTGCATGGTTGCTAGTCTTCGACTTGGATATTGCTCTCGACTCTCATCTATAGACGACTTTTGCAGTGGCATCTCCTGACGAACCGAATTGGAACGGAGCTGGTAAAGGCGGTTATGCTATCGGTAGAAGGATTCTGTCCTCGCCAAGTCCCTTTCTTGGATACGATGAATGGCTGTGACGTATCGAATGAACCTGGGGTTGTGGAACCCCGAAACTCTCCAAGGAAGTCCTGATGCCAGACATAGCTGTACTAGCTCACCACGTTTTGCATGCTGTTGAGATGGCCTTCAGCTGCAGGCAACGCTTTTTCGCGATGGGTCTTGTAGATTCGTCGTTTTTCTGGTCGTGCTGTGGTGGGATTGTCAGTTGGATCAACGTAGACTTGAATTGGTGTACCCTAATCAAACTGACAGCATCAGACTGTTGATTTCTTTTGGAAGTGGAGGACTTTGATTCCCTGAAAGGTTCGACTGGTGGTCGAAGCTTTCGCTTGCCAGCCTCGGGTTGGACCGTTGAGAAAACGAACGAAAGCACAAATACCAGCTATTTCAAGTATTTCGTGCTTTTCTGTGAAAACAGACACTTTGTCTCTGAACCAAGTCAAGTCACTTTCAGTGTTACATTTTCGACTTCAATGAGAGCATAAGGGCTTGTGTGGAAGTTCGGGTCTAATATTTAGGTCCCGAGGTCGAACCTCCTTTGAGCTCGCCTATGCAGTAAGCGTTTGGCTGTGACGGACAGGATTCCTAAAGAATGGGCTTTATGGTGCTCACTGCATCTGTTCTGGAAGCCAGAAGCGTTCATTTGGCAATTGTAATGTTACTTGTCACGGCGGAATCATACGTTGGCTTTGACACAGCTAGCCCATTCTGATTCCCAGTGATAGCGTCAGCAGCGGTCAAGTGTACTTTTTGGAGTCATGTAGATCTCTTTTGCTCAACTCGCTTATCCCACTTCCCTTATCATGGCCTTGTAGGATCACATTTGTTTTCACAGAAGGCTCCAATCTATAGTGCGACATCTTGAGCATAGTCGGATGCTATGAAAGCCAGAGTCGATTCCAGTGTCAAGGGAGCCGCTTTGGTTTCTCGAATTGGGGCTATCGTACCTCGCACTGAGTACACTCTCCCTACTGTTCATCATCGCCGAGTCCACAATGTTCTGCAACACTAGCCCCGACCTTTTGCTTTGTCAAAATCTTAAGGCTGGCTCTTCTCAGATTCCCGAAGACAGAGTCCTTCAGAGTCAACCCAAGTTTTGGAGGGGCCCTGCCTTCTCCTCATTGGTCGTTTGATCCCGGGGAGAATCCTCGTCTCAACCAAAGGAAAGCGTCAGACTTCAAATCTCTAATCTGCAGAATCCTTACCTCGGCTTGCCACGACGTGATGTTTTGCGCAGAAGGCCCCTTCGTGTGTTGTCCCCCCGGAGGCTACTCTTGTTTCCAAGAACTTCATAAGTTTGGCATAAGTTCAAGTTATATACTACGAGGTTCGAAACCCGCACCTACTGTTTTCCTCGCAGTTACAAAACGGCCCCTCACAATGGTTGTCTACCGCCACCTACTGCTATCCTGTTTGGGCGCCTTCAAAACACCAGACTCATTGACAAACCCCTATGGTCTGACTTGCCGACACCCCTTCTTGCAGGCACTAAAGGCCCCCCGACAATGGTGGTCTACCGCCACCTGCGGCTGTTCCTGTTTGGGCGCCCCCAGGACACCATGATCCAACCAGTGCTGCAAGTCACTGGGGACGAAGGCGACGAAGACCCGCAAGTGCCTGGAAGCGGGAGTCGGAAGGTCGTCTTACCGCTGCTCCCATCGCAGGAGGCGGCGGATGCGTTTGCAGCGGAGCTGACGCGGCTGGTGAGGGATCCCCCAATGAGATCAGCGTGACGTCTTTTCTTTGTCATAGACATGGCCTTCAAAGACAAAGTCGGCACATTTTATGGTGTGCGGTGTTTGACCACTCCGCAAGCAGATTGCTGTGGAAAGTGGTGTTCGTCAGTTGTTTCGAGGGTCAAAGAGGGCCGCTGCGTTGTCGAAGCGGTCCTCGTAGGCTCTGAGTACCGTTAGACTACTGATGTGACGCTAATGTCATACGTGAAGTCCCGAAAGAAGGTTCTCGTGCTTCTCCGGAAATGGACAGTACAGTTACACTCAACCGACCGCACACGAGCACTGAAGTGGCTTTGCAAAAAGCGGTCATCTTAGGTCCACTCTTGAAAACTTCCCCACTGGTTCCACGCCCCCTTACAAGCGAAGATCTTTTCGATTGATCGCAAACATATCGTAGACTGGTCCAGAAGCCCTGAGTTTTTTTTTTCTGATCCTTTCATCCCCTCCTCCCCCCCGCAGCTGAAACACGAGGGCCACCAGCTCTACTCTGACGACATCGTCTCCGCGGGTCACCGGCAGCAGATGGGTCCTCCCATGGGCATGAACGGCCAGAGCCGTGGACTGCCCATGTCGGCGGCTGGGGCGCTTGTCGGGGCCGCTAGCGGATTGGGCCCAATGGCAATGCCAGGTAAGGATTGGCAGTAAGAATCTGGTTGCTGTTACTGATTCCAGCAATTGAGGACGTAATCAAGTGTTTATTGGGAGACGAGAGGTTCCTCTTAGACTACCAGGAAAGATTTGTCGTTTTCCCGAGTCTCTTGTTGACGCAGTGGCTCTCGTACTCAGCACGCGGACTGAGCCTATGGCTGCTGCTAGGTATTTGCGGGCAGTCAGGAAACTGTTGGTGTAGCTTAGTGTTGAAACGGATTTGCTCGAGCAATGGTTTAAAGCTTCTGTTTCTGGTAGGCGAGAGCTTGCTTTCAGTCGGCTAGGATCGGTCCGTTGTGTTCTCGAGCTTGTCATTGACGCAGTGGGCCTCTGAGTGTAAGAAGTGTGCGTTACTAAGCCAGGTCGATCTGAACCGTGGGTTCAAAACCTGATTTCTGCTTCTGGTTGACTTGCGGGATCGTGCTCCTTCTGATCCCGGAAGCTCGTCAAGAAGAGTGACTCGAGCACCGGCTGATTGTTTGCACTGCACAGGTTAGGAAGTCTGCAAGTGTACTGATGACGACTACATGAGACGCTGGAGATTTGCCTGGAAGCTTCAGTGGGCCCTTTCTTTTTCCCACAAGTCTGTTCTGCTTTTGTATTACTGACCCTCTTCCTCTTCCGGTTCAGGGGGTATGCGCCTGCCCAGCCCCGGCCTCCCAATGGCCCTCCCCTCCCCCACGGGCCTCCCCCCCTCGCGCATCTTCCCCACCCCCGCCTCGCGCAATCACCTGCTGACACGTGGGCCCCCCGACCCGTCTGGCGCCCAAATCGGGACCCCTGTTCCGGGCTCCCCGCAGCTGGCCCCGCTTTCGCACATGAGCGCAAGCCAGATGGCGCAGCGCGTGATATCGAGCACGCACCACGGGGCCCACGTGGGGGCACAACTCGTCCCGGGCCACCCCGCGCCGATGGCGCACCAGCACCCGCAGCAGGTGTTGCAGCAACAGCTGCAGCAACAGCAGGTGAGGGGTGGAGTTGTGTTTTATGGTATTCTCATTCGAATTTGAGGAATCTGATTGTGTCTCCTTCGTTGTGGGCTGATCAGAAGAACGCATGACGCAATTTCCTGTTTTTCGAAGCAGCGTGTTGCTGGAGCAACAACAGGTGAAGGTGTTTCAATCGTTTGGTTTTGATCTATGGTAGACGACTGGCCGGTGCTGTCCCTCGTCCTCGTCTGTCTCTTTTGAATGCAGGAACTATGATGGGTTTTGTGATAAGTATATTGCTTCCACGTTGTCAGAAAATTCTGGCGTGTGCAGTTTCAAAGGTGGTGGGATCGGTGTGGTTCGTGATCAGGCAGTCTTACAATCGTATCGTTTCCTTTCCTCGTTCGCTTTTGAGAGACATTGACTTTCTGACGAGCAAAATTCGGTTCTTTGAAGCTTTTGTCGGGCCTGACGTCGCATCAATATATGGACTTCCGTCCTCCTATGCATGACAAGATGCCGTGTCAAAGTGCAGTTGAGGAGGAACGCATGTGCTACGAACCTTTCAATCGTCGCCTTATTTTTTTGAAGTGGACACATGGAAAGTCGTTACAAGTACGCACGTTGGCATGCGTTAGTCGTTCCCGTTACTTTCAAAGCTCGGACCGGAAATGCCGCCTGTGAATTTTTATACTGACGTCATCATCCCTTTTGTGTAATAGATGCAGCACCGGCAGGCGCAGTTGCAATCGGTGGGGCAGAGGACATCACGCAGCGAGCCTTTTCACACTGGAAAGCTCAGTACGCTGCCCTTGCATCCAGTGCTGACGTCACCCCTTTCTGACGTCCTTGTTGCTGTTCTCTCTGTCAGATGCAGCACCGGCAGGCGCAACAACAGCTGGCGGCGCAGGCGGGCGTCCAGCAGCGGCACCAGATGCAGCAACGTCAGCAGCAACAGCTGCAGCAAATGCAGCAAGTGCAGCAGCAACAACAGCAGCAACAGCAGGTCGCACGCTCTCTCTGCGCTCCATTTTTTACTTTTCTGGAATTCGGGAGGATATTTTCGGAATCTTGAGTCTGGACTTTCGAGGTCACAAAAGCCAGGTGCACCAAACGCAGCATCAGCAGCGCAGCAGGTCGCACGCTTGTTTCGTGCTCCTTCCTCGTTTCTCCTTGAAAGTTTCAGAACATGACCGTTCGGAATTTTGACGTTCCGGATATTCTTGCTCGAGAATAGCCGTGAGGGAAGCAGTGCTGTGGAGGATCCTCTGCAGGTTCAGCAGGTTGCACGAGCAATTCGCGCTTCGCTGTTGACTTCTCGTTCTTGACAGTCGATGGTCGAAGCGGGTTTGAGGGTTCCAAATTTTCAGGAGTTTTGGGCTGTCCACATGTGACGTTCTTGCGAGCGACAGTCGAGCAATTGCGAGCGTCCCTCACATGCGCGTATCACATACAAATATGTTAATCTTGGCCGTCGAGGCGGGTTAGCGTACCAGAGTGGAGGAGCAGCCGACTCTGCCGGGCGTGGAAATGATGCATGCTGTGTCCATTTTAGAAACCCTTTCAAGGACGTCATCCATCCAAACCCAGACAGCACGTTCCAGCCATCAACAGGCTCCTCCAAACTGACACGTGCTGTCCTTTCGCCACCTTCTTGCGGCGTTCCGACCTTTTTGGATATTATCACTCCAGTGCTCTGGTTGTCGCTGAATCTTTCCAGCCCTTTCCTACGCCACGAGTCATTTTCTTCTCTCCCCATCTCTAAAATACCAGCCACGGACTGAACTCCATATTTACCCTCCCAGCAGGCTCAGCACCAACAGCAACAACAGCAGCAGATGCAGAACCAGTTGAAACAGCGCCAGATCTTACACCAACAACAGCAAGCCCAAGCGCAACAGATCCAGCGCACCAACCTGCAAGCCGCGCAAGCCCAACAACAACAGCAACGCCAGCAAGTCCCCGGCACGCCCCAAACTCCTCAGGGGGGGGCAAATATGCAGCCCGCCGGGAGGGGGGGACGAGGCGCACCGACGCTGAAACAGGCGCAGATGCTGCAGCAACAGCAGCAGCAGGCAAAGCAGAAGCAGATGGCCGCGGCGCTGGCGCGGAGCCAGTCGGGGGGGTCGCAGGGGCAAAGCCTCCCCCCGCCGCAGGTATGACTTTCCTCTTTACGTCCGCACTTTTGTCGGCGAATCATAGCATTCGTTCTGGCGATGTTTTTCTTTGTGTCTCGCCTCTTCTTCTCCGTCTTTGTTTCTTTTCGCTTGTGGTCTTTGCTTGCGGTTCCATCCTCCAAAGCCGGCGTTTGTCATTGGATAGCGTTTGTCGCGTCTGTGATGTTTTGCCCTTTGATTTTGGAGATTGACGAGAGCGCTCCAAAGGCCGTGTTCGGGTAGCAAACGAGAAGTCGGCACCAGGCATCCGCCGGACCGACTCTAACTAACGAATCATGGAAGAGACGGTGACCTCGATGTTGACGTGAATCTTGCTCTCGCCTCTGATGCTGCTCAAAAGCTTTCGCTCCAGTTCCTTTGCCGCCGAATTCAAAGCTTTCGCTCTCACCCCGTCCGCAGGTGCTCATGGGTCAGGGCGGCGAACTGCCGGTCGGGACGCACCAAATGCGACTTGCGGCGCAACAACAACTGGTGCAACAACAGCGGATCCAACAGCAGCTTCGGGCGCAACACATGCAACAACAGCAACAACAACAGGGGGGAAAGCCGCCACAAAGCCTCCCGGCGGGGGGTAGTTCCGGCCAGCTTCCGACCCCCCCCTCGCAGGGGGGCCAAGCGAAGCCCCCCACGAAGCAGCAACAAGCCCAGCTGAAACGACAGCTGTCACAGCAGCAGGGGGGCAGCCAGTCGGAACAGAGCCAGCAGCAGCAGATGTTCCAAAGACAGCTGTCGCAGAACGAGGTCCAGTCGGCGAACCAGATCGCGCAGTTGCAGCAGCGGCAGGGGGCCCCGCCGGGGGGGGGTCCTCAGCCGGGGCAAATGGCCCCCCAGTTGCAGCGCATTCCGGCGCAGCAGGGTCAGCCGGGAGCGCCGCAGATGCAGCGGTCGGTGTCGGGAAGACAGGGGGCCGGGCCGGGGCAAGGGATGGAGGGCGCCATGCAAGGGGGACAGGCGCCGCCGCAAGTGCGGCAGCTACAACAGGTGAGCTCCGACAATGTGTGCGAAAGCTGCGTTCCCTGTTCGCTCCTGTGCTTATTCAAGAGTTTTGTCGTTGACATTCTCTTCTCTTGGATACATGGTGCCAAAGAAGTTCTGGTTGAGCACCGACTTCGTGATTTCGGGGACAAAATACATGTCGTGTCGAGTTGCTTGACTTTGCAATCGCTGTTATTCAAAGCTTCTTGCATTGATCGGGAGCAATGTGTTTCGAGAACTGCTCTTTGGGTCTCTTCTTTGTCTGAAAGCGTTCTCTTATTTCAACCTCCTTCAGAGCTCTTGTTTCACTAATTCTATGTTCCTTGAGTCGCTTGTCTGAGTGTAACCTAACGTTCTTGAGGATACAGGAGAACCTCTTGACCGCTGTTTGAGAAGGCTGGCAGCAGGATGTCCGTTGTCTTAATATCGACGCCCGATGAAATTCGCACACTTCAGACAGCTTTGCAGATAGTTCAACGCGTTTTATTCCCTCCACTATAGGGCCAAATGGGCTCTCCCATTGCGCCACCGAGCGGCTCGAGCCCGACGATCCAGCGGGCCGCCAACCCCCAAGTCCAACATCTAGCCGCGGGGGCGCGTCAAATGGCCCCCCAACAGCCGCACATGCAACAGCGGCCGCAACTCGGACAGCAACCCCCCCCTCAAGTTCAAATTCCCCCGGTCCAACCGCCTTCCGAGGTTGGTAACGCCGCGCAAGCGTTACCGTCTCCGAAGGTCAATCTACAGCAGCAGCAGCAGTTGCGGCAGTACATGCAGACCCTGCCCCCCGAGAAGCGGCAGGAGGTGTGGCAGCAGATCCAGGCGCGCAACGCGGCCGCTCGGTCGGCGCAGGCCGCCGCCGCGGGGGGGGTCCTGAGCCCGGGGGCTATGCAGCAACACGTCGGGGCCCTTGGTCAAACCCCCCCCGGGGGTCAAGTTAACCTGGG